GTTCAACTGATGCTCTTGATTCTCTTGATTCGTGAGTATCTCGTGAATCAAGATGCTCTTGATTCTCTCGTGAACCAAAATCTGCAAGGGAGGCCATCTCTGATTTCATACATGCTGCCCACTTAGACAGAAAGATCAGTCAACCAGTAGACTGATCAGTCAATCAGTCTATCCCAGGCATAGGCAAACTCAGCCCTCCAGATGTTTTGGGACTACGACTCTCATCATCCCTAGCTAACAGGACCAGTGATCAGGGATGATGGAAATTGTAGTCTCAAAACATCTGGAGGGGCTGGTTTGCCTATGCCTGGTCTATCCATCTATCTATTCATTTATGTCTCTATCTATCTATCTATCTATCTATCATCTATCTATCTATCTATCTATCTATCATCTATCTATCCATTCACCCATCCATCCTCTTTCTAGCTTTCTAGTTTGTGTGTCTATATCTATTTGTCTGTCTGTCATCTCTCATCTGCCTATTGTGTACCTATGTGTATGTGTCTATCTTGTCATATGTGTGTGTGGTGCTTATGGAATGTAAGTCTCTGCCCTGGGAATCTTACAATCTAAAAGTCAACACAGGAGTAACAACAGAGGGAGGGCAGGGAAGCGGTGGCAGACGTAAGCAGGGAAGCTATATGCCGTTGTTTTAGCTGCATCTGTTGTACATAGGCTTAGTTACATGCTGAGCTGCAGCAGCGTAAGGTTGCCAAATCCCAAAGGGAACAAGGTGCTCCTTCACCTTTCAGAGTCGCACAGGGAATTTCTGCTTGTTTGGCAATTACGTCTCTTGCCTGGCTAACTCATGAATGGGATCCTCCATTAGATTTTGACCCTTGCTAGATCCAGCAATTGGAAGGGACTCAGGCATCATGCATTGTAACTCCCCCTTACCCAGAAAAACTCACAACAATGTTTTGGAAATATGGGGAAGAGATGCATGAGATGCTTGCCCATCCAGTGAAACTCAAGACAGCGAATGATAGTTCATTAGGTTTGGCTGGGCTAGAGAGGACGCGATTGCGGAACTTTTCAGAAGTACAGTGGTACCTTGGTTTTAGAACAGCTTAGCTTATGAACAACTTGGAAATAGACTGCTGCAAACACAGAAGTACGTAGGTGTTTGGTTTGTGAACTTTGCCTTGGAAGCTGAACATGTTCCGCTTCCTGTCGAGTGTCTTCCGTTTGTAAATTGAGTTTTTCGCTGCTAATCAGAGGCTTCCTGTTAAGTCTGTTGGCTGTTGAGTCCCAAAGACCCATGCAACACAAAGGTGATTTTTGGAGCTTTTGTTTTTGCTATTTTTTGCATTTTTCTTTGTGTGGCTTTTTCATTTTTTTGACTGTGGCTTGTTCTTTGGTTTATGGGACTGACTTGTGCCTGTGGCTTGTAACTTCATTTTTGTGACTTGTTTTTATGACTGTGTGGAATCCAGTTCAGCTACTGATTGATTGTGTGACTGCAGAAATGGATAAAAGCCCCCCATCCAAACAATGACTATCATCAGGGCAAATAAGAATTTTTTAAATATATCATCTACATTACTGTCTTATTTATTTTATAGTATAGTACATTGATTATTGCTGGAATTGATTAATCCATTTTGCATTACTTTCTATGGGAAAGCACGCCTTGGTTTTGGAACGCTTTGGTTTTGGAGCGGATTAAGTTTGGGAACCAAGGTACTACTGTATTGGAGACTGCATGTTGGCATTATGCCTAGGGAATAGGGGTGGAAGGATCTCTCAAATTTGATTCTCTCCATTTCTCATTTTCCCAGTGTTAAATTCAGTTGTCCGCATTTCTGCAGCAATTTGTGCTCCCACCACTGCTCCCTGGGCTCTGAGCCTTCTTCCCTTGGTAGTTTCCGAGCTGGTTCCTTTTGTTTGCATTCCTGTGGTTTTTTACAATTTGTTCCTGCAATTGTCGGAGGTTCTCTGTTGCAAATGACCACAGTCTATTGATATTCAATGAGATCCAGCAGTTCCTTGCATTTCCAATTTTTCTCCATGGTACAGATAGGTTGGTCTGACTCTAGGTTGTGAAGATTATTTGCAAACGCAGAAATAAGTTTAAAGTCTTACAACTGCAGGCAATACATATTGTGTCCCTAGAAAAATATCATCATAAAACAGCTTATGAGATGTTGTGAAAGATCTATGTTAATATACCCCTTTGCCATTCCCAGGAAACAATTTTTCGTTCCTTCGTCAGATAAGGTTTCTGCTAATTAGAAAATGCAAAGGGCGCCGGCCTTTGAAAGCTTCTGTCATACTTGTTAACCTATAAAGTGCCACAATACACTTTTCTTTTTGCTGCAATGGACTAACACGTTGAAACCCCACCTGGGCAATCTTCTAAATGACAAATGCAAGTTTGCAACCTAGGAAGATGCCCAATTTTTGCAGCAAAAAAATAATCACAGACTGAATGAAATGAAATGAAATGCAGTATCTTGTTATAATGACGCCACTTATTTACTTGTTTAGGTGATCTAAATACATTTATGGATTCATTTATTAAACGTATACCATCCAACAAATTTTTAGCGTAGGTTGTCAACAAATATCAAAAACACAGTAAAGGGACATAATAAAGTGTCAGGGACTGGGTACTTTTTATCAGATGTGGTGGACATGTGGGGAAGTAAAAGCTTTCTGGGAAATTATATATAATGAGCTGAAAAAAATGTTTAATATAACTTTTGTTTAAAAAATCCGGAGGCTTTTTTGTTAGGAAGTATAGACGTAGAACTACCCAAAGAAAATAAAAGACTGTTTAAGTATGCAACAAAAGCAGCAAGTATGGTTTTCCCAGTAGTGATGTATGGAAGTGAGAGTTGGACTAAAAAGAAGGCTGATCGCTGAAGAATTAATGCTTTTGAATTATGGTGCTGGAGGAGACTCTTGAGAGTCCCATGGACTGCAAGAAGATCAGCCCTGAGTGCTCACTGGAAGGACAGATCCTGAAGCTGAGGCTCCAATACTTTGGCCACCTCATGAGAAGAGAAGACTCCCTGGAAAAGACCCTGGTGTTGGGAAAGATGGAGGGCACAAGGAGAAGGGGACGACTGAGGACGAGATGGTTGGACAGTGTTCTCAAAGCTACCAGCATGAGTCTGATCAAACTGTGGAGGCAGTGGAAGACAGGAGTGCCTGGCGTGCTCTGGTCCATGGGGTCACGAAGAGTCGGACACGACTAAACGACTAAACAGCAGCAGCAGCAGCAGCAAGGATGCGCCTAGCCCAGAGATGAAAAGAAGAAAAAGTACCGACCAGAGAAGAGGGGCAGATCAAGCTGATGGAATATGCAGAAATGGCAAGACTGATGGGAAAGATGAGAAACCAGGAAGATCAAGTTTTTCTAAAAGACTGGAATAATTTTTAGCACATTTGAGAGACCGCTGTAAACAGCTGAAATCATTGGCAGGAATACGAGGACACTTGTAAAGTAACATGAACTTTGGAAACCATGATTATATAATAGATAGATTACATTAAAAGATGCAGGAACAAAATATAGAAATGGAACCCATGGAAGGAAGGAAGGAGGTCTGAAGGTTCGAAAGAACCATTTATTATTATTATTATTATTATTATTATTATTATTATTATTGGAAATGTTATGTCTGTTGTGTATAACTCTTATGTAAAACCAATAATTTTGTTTTACAAATTCAAAGTGTTGGTGCTGACCTTTAAAGCCCTAAACAGCCTCAGCCCAGTATACCTGAAGGAGCGTCTCCTCCCCTGTTGTTCTGCCTGGACGCTGAGGTCCAGCTCCAAGGGCCTTCTGGCAGTTCCCTCACTGCAAGAAGTGAGGTTACAGGGAACCAGGCAGAGGGCCTTCTCGGCAGTGGCACCCACCCTGTGGAACACCCTCCCATCAGATGTCAAGGAAATAAACAACTATCTGACTTTTAGAAGGCATCTGAAGGCAACCCTGTTTAGGGAAGTTTGATTTTTTATCAATTTGATTTGATTTTGATTTTTAGGAATGTTTGATGTTTTATTGTGCTTTTAATATTCTGTTGGGAGCCACCCAGAGTGACTGGGGAAACCCACCCATATGGGTGAGGTAGAAACAAACAAACAAATTTGTTGTTGTTGTTTTAAAGAATCAAAAAGTAAGCTTGGCAGAATTTTTTAGTCCGCGGTGAGATTTTTCTGGGACACCCAAACACTGAGTGCATATAGAACCTCAGCACAGTATCCTACTGAAATTTTCCACCAACCCCTTAGATTTTGACATGGCCACCCTAGCCAGATAGAAATGTGGCAAGTCTGTGGCTGATGGATTTCAGCAGCCTCTCTTCTCCCAGTAGACAGCTAGACACCACGGTGAAGTTTACAAGCGGGGCAACGTCCCTCTCCTCTCATCAGACAGATCACCGGAAGAATCTCAGTCCTGAAAGTTAAACATTGCTTATCAAGGCAACAGAATACTTGATCTGAACCGATCCTTGCCTCCCAGCTCTTTCATATGCTTGTGCATGTCACAATATTCACTGGCACTGAGACCAAGAGGCGGCTTCTTTCGCTGTGTGAGTGAAGCCTGTCTCTCTTCTGAAACTTTGCATCTTACCAGTTTCGGGGGACGAGCACAAACCTGAAGAGTATATATGCCTTCCTCCTTCAGTGTGAGATCTTAGGACTGTGTGAAGCCCCATTATCCTAGTCCCCCCCATCAGAAGCTCCAGTTATTTAATCCTACAAAGAGCTTGGCTCAGGTCCACAGTTGCTGCCTCTCTAAATTCTCCCCCCCCCCACTGTCAAGGTTCACCCTGTTCCCCGTTCAGCTTCCCCCTCCCTTAGCAAGTGCAGCGCCTGTTCGCTCAGCAGTCAAGGTGGCTGATTCAGAATCGCATCGATCAACACATGATGGGTGAGTGAATGACTGGATGAGGAGGGAGGGGAGGAGCCTCCCCCTCCTTAATTTACCCACCTACCATGGATATAAACCCCTGGCTGAGAGAGAGCTGCTAACAGAGGCATCAGCAAGAAGCAACTTGAAACTTGCAGAAGGGCTGGCTGAACCCTACTTGCACCTGTCTGCATCTACCTTTGCACCTGTTCCTACCTCCTTTTGACAGTGAGTATCTGGGACAGGCAATTGTTGGTTTGGATGGGGGTGGGGGAGTCCCTTCAATCTGCTGCTGCGCTTCTTTTCAGGGAGGGAAATAAAGTTGTGGGGACTAGGGAATAAAGCCGAAGCATGACTTAATTTCTAAAAGCCGAGGGCTGCTTTGGGTTCCTGAACAGGTGTTTTTTGGGCACATGCTCCTCTTCTGCTTGCTGTTTCCTGACATTTTAGTAGCAGGTGGTTCGAGCGACTGAGCTGCTTTGCTGAGCCTAGAGATCAGGGGTCAAAAGAGAAAGAGGCTGTTTCAGGGAACCGGACATTTCTGCTGGTTGAACATTTGAGAGCAGCGTGTTTGTACGCAGTTACGTCCACACTGAGCATCTGCCGGTGTTCTGTTTTCCGGGCAGTTTAGGAAAGCCTGTTGGCCATGCCAGATCTCAACAAGGTGGCAATGTATTAATGTAAAGCTGGCAGTTCCACAAGGGACTATGGGGTGCTTTTGCAGGGCTCGCCTGGCGGCCCTGGGTTAGTTCAGGCTGCTTAGCAGGCTTTGTGCATTCTCGTCTGTTTCCTTCCAGATGGTGGCCTCTCTGAAGCCCTGGCCTCTTGTGATCGCCGTGACCCTATGCGTCTTGTTCTGCCTGGGGACCTTAGTGGATGCCTACCCTCCCAAGCCGGAGAGCCCCGGAGAAGATGCTTCCCCAGAAGAGATGGCCAAATACTTCTCAGCTCTCCGGCATTACATCAACTTGGTGACACGGCAGAGGTGAGCAGGGTCGTGTGGGTTTGGGTGTGCAGTAGTGGCTTCTTATGTACCAGGGAAATGAACACACATAGACACACACACACACATCCCTGCTGCCTGCCTGAACGTTGGTGGGGAATGGGCATTGGGTGTAGAGGTCCAAAGCAATGGAGGAAAGGCTTTAGCTCCCTGCCAAGTAGAGCACACATTCTTAACATTCCCCAGGTGAAGGAAGCAGAGGGAGGGAGTCAGGGCAAGGCTGCTGTCTGAGACTGTATCCAGCTCACTAGCATCCTTGTCTGTCATCAGTTGTGAAGCTGCAAGGAAGCCATGGTGAACCCTTTCGAAATATGACACCTTTCTTCAACCTTAGAGTGTTCCTGTGCCAGGTTTCATTTTCTCTGTGTTGTGAAAGCTTGCTAACAGCTTTCCAGCCCTGCAGCATTTCTCCAATGAAAATAGGGACGTCCTATTTACTACTGTAAGGGACATGGGTGGCGCTGTGGGTTAAACCACAGAGCCTAGGACTTCCCAATCAGAAGGTCAGCGGTTCAAATCCCCGCGACGGGATGAGCTCCCGTTGCTCGGTCCCTGCTCCTGCCAACCTAGCAGTTCAAAAGGACGTCAAAGTGCAAGTAGATAAATAGGTACCGCTCTGGTGGGAAGGTAAATGGTGTTTCTGTGCACTGTTCTGGTTTGCCAGAAGTGGCTTAGTCATGCTGGCCACATGACCTGGAAGCTGTACGCTGGCTCCCTCGGCCAATAAAGCGTGATGAGCGCCGCAACCCCAGAGTCGGTCACGACTGGACCTAATGGTCGGAGGTCCCTTTACCTTTACCTATTTACTACTACTACTACTACTACTACTACTACTACTACCCTGCCCATCCAACTGGGTTTGCCCCAGCCACTCTGGGTGGCTTCCAACGTATATAAAAACATAATAAAACATGAAACATTAAAAAACCCTTCCCTATACAGTGGTACCTCTGATTGCGAATGGGATCCGTTCCGGAGGCCCGTTCGCAACATGAGCAGAACGCAACCTGCAGCAGCACATCTGCGCACGTGCGGGCTGCGATTCGCCGCTTCTGCGCATGTGGGTGACATCATTTTGCGCGCCTGCATATGCGCGAGCAGCGAAACCCGGAAATAACACTTTCCGGTACTTCTGGGTTGCCGTGGGACGCAACCTGAAAAAACGTATCATGAAGCAAACATAACACGAGGTATGACTGTACAGGGCTGACTTCAGACGTCTTCTAAAGGTTGCATAGTTACTTGCCTCCTTGGCTCGAGGGGGTCACATGACTCCATACCCTCCAACATTTCTCTGATGAAAATAGGGACGTCCTAAGGAAAAGCGGGACATTCTGGGATCAAATCAGAAATTGGGAAGGCTTCTGCAAATCAGGAAAGCAGGGACACTTGGAGGCTCTGCAAACAGTTTTTATCTTCTGCTGAGTGAGTGTGTAAGTTAAGAAGGCCCATGAAGCATGTTCTTAATCCTTATTTGCCTATGCAAATTATCACTACTTTGTCGAGTACGTTAACTATGGTCTGTGAGCCCACAGAGTGTAGCTTTTCATTTGCAGAGATTGCTGAGCCCTGCAGCTTTTAAAGGCAGCCAATCAGCAGCCCAGCTGCTTAAAAAAAAAAGCCCATTTCAACACCTCCACCATTAGCACCAACTGCCTGGTACAGCCCATTAACTGTCATCTCCTAGAAACTTAATTGGAAATCCGACCCAGGAGGCAATTAGCAAGCCCTTGCCCCTCTGGGTTGATTCATTTTGTCTCCATGTCCTTCTTGAACTCCTGACCCAGTTCTGAACCCAGGGGAGCTGTGGATCTGATTTCTGCAAACCACGGAACGGCAGCGCATATATTCCTGCGGGGGGGGGGGGAGCACAAGCCTTTTAGAATCCACTGATAAATGCCCACCTTTGCAGGGAGAGTCACACCCTAAGGGTCAGCTCATGTAACCAATCTTCTTTGCTGCTCTTCTTTGACCAGCCTTCTTTGGGGATGTTCAAACACAGGCAAGATTTGCAATGCAGGTTTTGCACTTGAGTTGCGTGCCCAAACCATTATATTGGGAAGATTTTAATGTCTGACATTTTGTGATGTCTTTATATGTGCTGGAAGCTGCCAAGAGTGGCTGGGGAAACCCAGCCAGATGAGTGGGGTATAAATATTATTATTATTATTATTATTATTATTATTATTATTATTATTAAAGGTTGTTTAGGGCTACCTGAAGTTTCTACCCTCTGCTTCAAAATTCCTTGCTAATAATAATAATAATAAGAATAAGAATACTAAATAATTTCTTATTTATACCCTGCCCATCTGGCTGGGTTTCCCCAGCCACTCTAGGCGACTCCCAACAGAATATTAAAAGCACAATAAAACGTCAATCATTAAAAACCTCCCTAAATGGGGCTGCCTTCAGATGTCTTCTAAAAGTCAGATAGTTGTTTATTTCCTTCACATCTGATGTGAGGGTGTTACACAGGGCGGGCACCACTACCAAAAAGGCCCTCTGCCTGTTTTCCTGTAACCATACTTCTCACTGAGAGGGAACCACCAGAAGGCCCTCAGAGCTGAACCTCAGTGTCCGAGCTGAATGATGGGGGTGAAGGTGCTCCTTCAGGTATACTGGGCCCAAAGGTGTAGACATGGGTGGTGATGCACCGGTAGCTCATTCTGTACATGCTTAGAGTCATTCCTTTCTTATCCTTGCTCCATCTGTTGCAAGTTCAGTGTGGGGCTCCTGCCTTGTAGCTGCTGAAATTAGGTGGCAGGGAGAGGAAGAGTAAAAATCTGGACATCTCTCCAAGGATACTTCTAAGATGGCACTAACTCAGTCCTTCCTCTCCATCCCTCTCTCTGCACAAGGTATGGCAAGAGATCCAGTCCAGAGAGCTTGATGTCTGAACTCATTTTTGGAGACAGCAGCAGCAGCAGTAGCAGCAACAGTGACCACAACATGAGATCACGGTGAGTCCTCTTAGCATTGCAGGGCATAGCTGTTTTTAGAGTACCGGAAGCCATTTGTACCTGACCTGGATCCTATTCTTTCTAAAGGTGTGGGTGGCGCTGTGGTCTAAATCACTGAGCCTCTTGGGCTTGCTGATCGTAAGGTTGTCAGTTCGAATCCCCACGACAGAGTGAGCTCCCGTTGCTCTGTCCCAGCTCCTGCCAACCTAGCAGTCTGAAAGCACACCAGTGCAAGTAGATAAATAGGTACCGCTGTGGTGGGAAGGTAAACGGCGTTTCTGTGTGCTCTGGTTTCCGTCATGGTGTTCCGTTACACCAGAAGCAGTTTAGTCATGCTGGCCACATGACCTGGAAAGCTGTCTGTGGACAAACGCTGGCTCCCTCGGCCTGAAAGTGAGATGAGCACCTCAGCCATAGCTCTCAACTTTCAGATTTGAAAATAAGGGATCAGCAGCCTCACCTGTCCCAGGGACAGTCTACGGGATATCTAACAATCCAGGATAGCAGCAGGAAGCAGTGGTAAATGGCACCGGAATAAGGGAATTTCCCGCAAAAAAAGGGAAGGTTGACAGCTATGGCCGCAACCCCGTAGTTGCCTTTGACTGGACATAACTGTCCAGGGGTCCTTTACCTTTCATTTTTACCTATTCGTTCTAACCACAACAACCTTTAAGGATTGCTAAATAGGAAGGAAAGAACATTCTCTAAATGCTCAGATACCTTTCTGTGTGATTACTGTGATGTCTAATCTGTAGAAACAAAGGTGAGTTTAAGACTCAGACTTGCTTGGAAGCCACCTCCATCTTGACCCAGTGCAATGTTTCCCCCCCGCCCCCCCGCAACCCCCCGAAAGATTACTCATCACTAGGAAAGCAGCATTCTGCACTTATCCAAAGGAACCTCCCTGCTACCCCATGCTAAACTATAATTATGTTTATATGCCACCTTCTCCTCAAAGATGGTGCATGTGGTTCACTTTTATCCTCACAACAACCCTGTGAGGTAGGTTGGGCTCAGAGGCAGTGACTGGCCCAAGGCCACCCCAGGGAGCTTTGTGGCTGAGTGGGGATTCGAACCCAGGTCCTGCTCCAGCATTCTGACTGTTACACCACACTGCCTCTGAAGACAAATGCGGAATAATCTCAGGAATCGTGCACTGCGGATTCAGAGCCGTGCGTGATCCAGTGCAATTATTCCATCCTTTTATCTTTTATGGCCCTATCTAGCACATCCTTATTCAGATCTAGCACATTCAGCGACACTGAAAAAAGGTTTATATGAAACATATACAGTGGTACCTCGGGTTACAGACGCTTCAGGTTATGTGATTTTGGGTTGCACCCTGCGCCGAACCCAGAAGTACCAGAACAGGTTACTTCCGGGTTTCGGTGCTTGCACATGCGCAGAAGTGCTAAATCACGCTTTGCACATGCGCAGAAGTGCCGAATCATGACCCACGCATGCGCAGATGCATCTCTGTAGGTTGCGAATGTGCCTCCCGCACCGATCACGTTCGCAACCCGAGGTTCCACTGTATTTAATAATGCAATATCATTTAAGCCAGGCTTTCCCAAACTTGAGTCTCTAGCTTCTTTGGGGACTGCAGTTCCCATCATCCCTGACCACTGGTCCTGCTAGCTAGGCATGATGGGAGTTGTAGTTCAGAAACAGCTGGCGACCCAAATATCAGGCGGCAGAGGAACCAACCCCCACGGCAGGTTACCAGGAACGGATAAGAGAAGGAAAAGTCCCTATCATCTGCTTTTCATTCAATATTCACAGAGAGAGGCTCTTGGAATAATGGCATTTTCCCAAGTAAATCTTCACTTCCCTTCTCTTCCACTTCCCCATTCATCAACAGCACTCCCCCCCCCCCCATGGTCTCCAAGCCCTTTGCTCTCCTACTTTTAAGGCCTGCCGGGTTCTAGGAGGTTGTGGGTCTGGAATGCTTTCTAGTGATAACTCCACCCTTGCCTATTCAGAATCAGAAGTAAGTCATAGTTTAGTGGAGCTTACTCCCTGGAAAAGGGGTATTGTCAGGCAGCAGAGGAACCAACCCCCTCTGCAGGTTGCCAGGAACTGACAAGACAAGGAAATGTTCTTACCATCTGCTTTTATTCAGTATTCACTGAGAGAGGTTCGGGAATGCGGCCTCTCAGAATTATGGTGTTGCTCAGAGTCAAACCCCACTCCCTCCGTCCCTCCCACTTCTCATGAGTCATCACTACGGGTGTTGAAAAGTGCCTTTGGCCAATAATAATAATAATAATAATAATAATAATAATATTTTATTTATATCCCACCCTCCCCAGCCAAAGCCGGGCTCAGAGCGGCTAACAACGGTAAAAATAGCACCGTTTACATAAAAACACAGTCAATTAATTGAAATACATTCTAAAATCAGTTCAGAATCAAATTAATGGCAACCGTTGGGCTAGAGTTCTATGAAGATTACAGAAGGAGAAAGGGGGGTCAGACTGTGCTTTGGCCAAAGGCCTGGTGGAACAGCTCTGTCTTGCAGGTCCTGCGGAAAGATGTCAAGTCCCACAGGGCCCTGGTCTCTTGTGACAGAACGTTCCACCAGATCGGGGCCACGGCTGAAAAAGCCCTGGCTCTGGTTGAGCTCTTTGCTCTCCTACGTTCAAGGTCCGCCATGTTCTGGGAGAGGGTGTTTGTATCTGGAATGCTTTCGAAAGACACGGTGTCCATCAGCTGTCACCCTCCTCCTCCTCCTCCTCCTCCTTCTTCTTCTTCTTCTTCTTCCACCTCCTCCTCCTCCTCCTCTCCCATTATTTCCCCACTATCCCCCTCAACTGCCTCTGAGCTGTGACCTCCCTCAAACCCCAGTTGTAATTCTGAATTCTGAGAGCCAGTGTGGCTAAGATCGGTAAACTCGTAATCTGGTGAACCGGGTTCGCTTCCCTGCTCCTCCACATGCAGCTGCTGGGTGACCTTGGGCTAGTCACACTTCTCTGAAGTCTCTCAGCCCCACTCACCTCACAGAGTGTTTGTTGTGGAGGAGGAAGGGAAAGGAGATTGTTAGCTGCTTTGAGACTCTCTAGGGTAGTGATAAAGCGGGATATCAAATCCAAACTCTTCTTCTTCTTCTGAACTGTCTTCTTCTTCTCTGGAAGGGTCAGGCTGGAGATGGCGGCTCCACCATTCTCCCTCTTCCCAGTCCCTAACACCAAGTTTTGGGAAACCCTGGTTTAAAGCACCCACCCTGTGGTGTGCCATTGCTCTGGATGGATCTGGGAGGGTGGGTGGCCTTGTTTTTGGGACAGGAGCAGCGAACCTCGCTCCTTCCAGTGCAATTGTGTGATTCTTCCTTTCCTTCCTGCAGATTTGATGATTCCTATGGATGGTGACGACCTTCGCACACCTCGGCCGATGGCCCGCCGGCTGCCACTTTTTAGACGTTCCAATTCTGTGGTGTCGTTTTGCGGTTTTTTTATTTCATTTTAAAGAAAAATAATCAACCCGTGAAGAGAGCCGAAACTTTTCTTTGAAAAGACCCTCTCCTCTCCCCCCACTTAGATTTTCTCCACTTCGTACTCGTGAGGCTTGGGGAATCATTTCCCCTCCCCAGACAACACTACAACAAAGCCATGCCTCCGTCTTTCCATAAAACAGCAGGGGGCGACACAAGAGATCTTTGTGTTTGGGGACAAGGTGGGGGTGGGGGTGGGCTGCCTTTGTGGTGACCTAGGTTGTATTCGTAGTGACATCTGTGTTGACTCACCAGTGCAAGAGCCTACTATGTCTCCTCTGGGTTGATCTTTATTTTATACACCATTTGTGTGCGCGTGTGTATGTGTGGTTATGGGTGAATGTATGTAAATGTATGCATTTTCAATGAATTTTCTCTGCATCCACAATAAAAAGCAAGTTTAATGGAGAAGCCTCCTGGAATTTTTCCTTTTTTATGCTCTCTCTCTCTCTCTTAAAAATATATTATTTTAATTACATTTCCCCAATTAACTTCAAATCAAATAATTACATAACATCTTTGTTTCACGGATAGGCTTCCCACTCACACTTCCATAGTGTTTTTATTCAAACCCTTTTTTTCTTTCTTTTTTGAAATCTTTTTTATTTGATTCCCCCCCCCCCCAATACAGAGTTATAAGAATCCAAATATATATCCATATATAGAGATTTCTCCGAATTTTCTCCGAATGTTAAGCATCCTTAACAAACCAGAGTCCCTGGGATTCTCTGGGAAGCTGCAGGTAGACTCAGGGGCTGACGGATGGTTGCCATTTTATCCATGAGCATAGGAGCCAACTCCTATGGGCCGAGGGATCTTTGCCCCCCAATAAAATATTTGAGGGGGCCACTCCCCAAAGTTGAATTGCCATTCAAATTGTGTGTGTAAAACCGCATCATGCAGCCAGTTATGCAGGGTGGAGCTTACCTGGCCCCCCCAATATTTTGTTCAAGTTGGCACTCCTGTCCATGAGGGAGAGACAGAGGTACGGTGAGGTTTTAATAGGATGATTCCAGATGAGTGTTTTAATGTGGGGTCAATACTCCTCAGGCAACCTCCCCCTGCTTTAATTAGATTTTATTTTATTTCTTTCAGACACGTATACTCCACTCAAACCCATTCATGACGATAGTTACTAAATAAATACGCCGTGTATTTCTATAATGCCCAAAGAACAAGTCTTTACAAGTCAAAACACACCTGGCGTGTTTTATGAAACACATCTTCAGCAAACAGCCTTCGTCCTCAGGACAGCAAGGTTTGGGGCAACCATGTATTTGAATTTCATTGCTGTGGTCCAGCCATCATTTGAAAGACATATATCCAGTTAGCACAGCAAGATATTTTGGAATACAGCGATGTCGTATTATACACATTGTCTGCATTTCAGCGTCGCGAAGCCACACACGATGGTTTGTTTATTACGGTAAGTGAACAGCCTATTGGCCACAGGCCAGGGATTTAATCTTTGTGAAGTTTTTACATCGTTTCATATCTATGTTGTAGACATACATGATGTTTATTTAGTACCTTGACTTTATTTGCTCTTTTGCATCTATTGATCGGCCGGGGAAGGTTTGCCTTACAATGACAGAGCACAATACAACAAGCAAGAACCAAATACACCCAAAAAGTCATAAAACATCATTTGGTGACATAAGAGAACCAGCTGCCGGTAAGGGAAAATGTCATCAGCTGTGACATTTCCCATCACAATGACTGTGATGCAGAGTTAAGTCACCCTGGGTAAAATTTCCCTTAAGGTTACAGGATCCTTTTAGGGTACGAACCCAGGTTAACGCATCCACTTTTGGTACCCTGGCTGAAGTCATTATTAAGAAGAATATTTATTAAATTTAGGGATGCTGGAGAATTCTGGAAGGTTCACAGGCTATGAAGGACTTGCTCACCAATTTATTGGCAGCTAGGAAGTGGAACAGGGATGCAGGTGGCACTGTGGGTTAAACCACTGAGCCTAGGACTTGCCGATCAGAAAGTCGGCGGTTCGAATCCCTGCAAAGGGGTGAGCTCCCGTTGTTCGGTCCCAGCTCCTGCCAACCTAGCAGTTCGAAAGCACCTCAAAGTGCAAGTAGATAAATAGGTACCGCTCCTGCGGGAAAGTAAACAGTGTTTCCGTGCGCTGCTCTGGTTCGCCAAAAGCGGCTTAGTCATGCTGGCCACATGACCCGGAAGCTGTACGCCAGCTCCCTCGGCCAGTAAAGTGAGATGAGCGCCACAACCCCAGAGTCAGCCACGACTGGACCTAATGGTCAAGGGGTCCCTTTACCTTACCTTAGGAAGTGGAACGGGGCAAGCAGAATATAAAATGGAAGAATGACATAAAGAGGTGTGGGATATAGCTATTCATTATAAATTAACATGTGGCATTAAGGTAAGACGAGGAATATGCAGGAGAAATGATTTAGAGGAGATATGGAGGGTGTTTGTAGAATTTGTACTGTTAAAACAGAAAGGGGTCAAACCATCGCAAGAGGTGTTGAAATTTTGGGAGTTTGGGTAGTTAAAACAGAACGGTCTCGGTGATGGGGTGCACATTTTTGTTCTTATTTATATATGCTTATTACCTTGTCAAAATAAAAGAAGAAGAATTCCAAAGAAAACAGAAACAAGGGCAGGAATGGCTGATGCTTGCTTACTCAACCCCTGTCCAGAATCAAAATCAATCCCGCGAAATTGGTTTTTGCTGTTGCTGCTGATTTCATCTCAAAAATTATTTGCGATTGCCTTCGCCCGCATTTGGATCACGTTTCCTTGGCATTGAGATGAGCAGGGGTGGAGCAACATAACGATGACATAATTTACATAATGAACTTGAGGGGGTTTATAGCAAGACCTGCATTCATGGCCACATGGAACTGGAAGAAGGTTTGAAGGCTTTGTTTAGAGGTTAAGATATTTCCTCACATAGAGGATGTGGACAGAAGGACAGAAGAAACCATTTTTTAACCGTCGTACCCAGATCATAGGATGATTGGGAGGGAACAGACGTAGGAGTTATCAGAGACTGGGATGTTCCCTTCAGGCCAAAGTATATTCTAGCGCATGAAGAAGAATTCAAAGACTGATGCTACTGCAACCAAATACCTTGAAACTTTATTCAGATAGTAGATTGGGAAAGGTTATGGAACCACCAGGCAATGTTTTATCATATGTGGTGGAATTGTAAAATAATAAAAAAGTATTGGGAAATGATTTGTAATGAAATTAAGAAAATGTTTAAAATAACTTTTGTTAAAAAAAACAGAAGCTTTTCTTTTAGGCATTACAGGAAAAGAATACCAAAAGAAACGAAGAACTCATTTATGTACGCCACAACAGCAGCCAGGATTCTATGGGCACAACTTTGGAAAGATGAGAAGACACCAACGAAAGAAGACTGGCAAGCCAAAATGATATGCAGATATGGCAAAACTTATAGGAAGATTAAGAGATAAAGATAACAGAGAATTTAGAAAAGACTGGAATCCATTTATACAGTACTTGCAGAAACATTGTGAAGGAATAGACTCACTGGCAGGGTTTGAATAACACTTACAATTAAGGAAAGGATAACAAAAAGATATTGAAATACAATTAGAAAGATGATTAGAAGTATACCTACAAAAGAGATTACGAAATTAGGTAGAACAACAATAGCAGAAGGAACAAATGCATCAAAAAACCAGAAGGAGAAGTGATTTGTCGTCCCCCCCCCCCCATTTTGTGATGTCATTATGTTGACTGAATTTAAAATTGTAAAATCTAATAAAAGGAAAGGTTATGGAAAACATGTTGTACGCTGAAAGAAAATTATATGAAAATGACGTACTGGTGGTATTTGACTCCTAGTAAGATAGCAAAAATGTATAGAACAAGTACATTTGCTGGAAATGTAAAGAAAAAGAAGGTACCTTTTATTGCATGTGGTGGTCATGTAAGGCAATAAAAGCTTTCTGGGAAATGATATATAATGAACTGAAAAGAATGTTTAAAAGAACTTTTGTCAAAAAACCAGAAACTTTTCTATTAGGAATTATAGGTACAGACGTTCCAAAGGAGCAGAAAAGATCTTTTATGTACATGACAACAGCTGCACAGATGCTACTAGCTCAGGGAGGAAAGAAGTGTCCCTACCAGAGAAGAATGGCAAACTAAGCGGATGGACTATGCAGAAATCGCAAAGCTGACTGGAAAGCTCCGGAACCAAGAGGACAAAAACTTCAAAAAAGAATGGGAAAAATTTATACTCTATTTAGGAGACCATTGCAAGCAGATGAAAACATTAGCAGGATTTTGATCTCACTTGTAATGCAACAAATATTATGGACAATATGGATTGATAGAAAATATAGATTACAGAATAATATGCAGTTGTAAATGTTGGCAATAGGACCTGTGGAGACAGTGGGGGGAAGTCACGAGATTCAGAGTAATCATGTGTAATTCAGAGTAATGGATGGATACGTATTTGTATTGTTATAATTTTATATTTGTAAAATCAAATAAAAATGATTTTTTTAAAAAGAGGAACTTTAGAGGAAGGCTGGGGAAATTCAGACTGTCTCATTCTCAGGACTCTTCCTCCCCAGACCACATCTCTCACCAGCCCTGTTCCAATACCCACTTAAAGTGCTTTTCATTGGCTGAGTCCTTGAACTGAATCACTGATCTGGGGCAAATCCAGGCTTTGCTAGGCAGCTAGACTGGTGACTGGGAGTGGCCGCCGAGACCATATAACACCAGTCCTGAAAGATCTACATTGGCTCCCAGTACGTTTCCGAGCACAGTTCAAAGTGTTGGTGCTGACCATGAAAGCACTAAACGGCATCGATCTAGTGTACCTGAAGGAGCGTCTCCACTCCCAACATCCAGCCCGGACATTGAGGTCCAGCGCCGAGGGCCTTCTGGCGGTTCCCTCACTGCGAGAAGTGAGGTTACAGGGAACCAGGCAGAGGGCCTTCTTGGTAGTGGCGCCCTCCCTGTGGAACGCCATCCCACCAGATGTCAAGGCAATAAACAACTATTTTACTTTTAAAAGACAACTGAAGGCGGCCCTCTTTAGTGAAGTTTTTAATGTCTGATGCTGTAGGTTTAATATTCAGTTGGAAACTGCCCAGAGTGGCTGGGGAAACCCAGCCAGATGGGCGGGGTATAAATAATAAATTATTATTATTATATTATGTGGGGACAGCCCTGGACCACTTCAGTACAGCACAGTCAAATTCTGCATAGACGCATTTTTTTGATGCTTCTAATCAGTGCTTTTTTTCCCTGGGGGGACACAGGGGGACGTATACCCCTAAACATTTTGTGAATCTAAACTTGGCCTCATTGAGGGGCAGTATTTCAATATGAGTAGGAAAATGAGAATACACCTAAACATATATATATTTTTTTTAGAAAAAAGCACTGCTTCTAGTGCCCTTCATCTGAGCACTCAATGTGTGCGAAAAGTTGTAGCTCATGGAATCTTGAAAGAATTCATTCTCCACCTTTGAAGTATTTCTTCTGAGTAAAAATTGCTATCTTTGGCTGCTCAGCATCTTCTCTCCTAGGGATGGACAAATTGGTCCATTTCAGATTTTCTTAGTTTCTCATCTTCGCAGTCTTCGGTTTTTATGCATTTACACAGCAATCTGCCAATATATATATATATTTAAATCAACCTTCATGAAAATTTGCCAGCATTTTAGGGCAAATTCCTCCCAATATACACATTTTTGTATGTAGCCGTGAATAATATATGCGTTTTGGCAGTTATGTTCACAAATAGACGCATTTTTGTACGTTTTGGAGAACAGCGTCACAAAATTCGAAGAAGTGCAAATTTCAGTGGATAGCTGTGTTCCAGCTTAAAAACCAGGTAGTGTTACCAACCCTTCACAATGTGCCTGTCACAACAATTATTGGCGCTGAGACTTAACAGGTAACTTCTACCATGATGTAAGCAAAGGCCACCCCCTCTTTAAACATTGCAGCTGATCAGCTTATATTGATGCTTCTCTTAAACTTCGAGAGTACAGTGGTACCTCGGGTTAAGAACTTAATTCATTCTGGAGGGCCGTTCTTAACCTGCAACTGTTCTTAACCTGAAGCACCACTTTAGCTAATGGGGCCTCCTGCTGCCGCCGTGCCGCCGGAGCACGATTTCTGTTCTCATCCTGAAGCAAAGTTCTTAACCTGAAGCACTATTTCTGGGTTAGCGGAGTCTGTAACCTGAAGCATCTGTAACCCGAGGTACCACTGTATACCCCCTACCTCTATAACCAGAATGTCTGTATGAATGTATAAAGCGCTATCATCCTAGCCCCATCAATGTTCCACAACAGTTCCAGTTATTCAGTCCTACAAAGAGCTCGGCTCAGAGACACAGTCGCTGTGTCTATAAATCCCCACACCCTGCCTGGGTTGAACTGGTTCTCCTTCCTGCTCCCCCCCCTTTACTGGGCGCAGCTTCCTTGCAGAGCAATCAAGGTACCTGATACAGAATTGCGTCGATCAACAAAAGATGGGCGAGTAGGATGGGGAGGGAGGGAGGAGCCACCCCCGCCTTAGTTTACCTACCTCCAAAGGATATAAACCCTCGGCCGAGAGAGCGCTGCTAGCAGAGGCACCGGTGAGAGGCGACTTGAAATTTGCACCCCTCGGCACCCAACTTTTGCACCTGTTTCGACCTCGTTTTGACGGTGAGTACAGTGCGGCAGGAAAGCAATTGTGCTTCAGTGTGTTGCGTTTCTTTTCAGGGGGGAAAAGAAAGTGTTGGGGAATAGGGAATCAGAGGCCGGCTGAAGCACAACGAAGTTTCTAAAATCTGGGGGCTGTTTGCGGCTGACAAACACAAGATGCTCTGTGCGTTTTGGGGCAGCCGGTTCCACGTTTAGATCTGAATGGGAGGAGAACTGATTTTAAAAGCAAAAGAAAAGAGCAACTGAGGAGTGCAGATCGTCTCCTTGATCTTCTTCTCCTTAACTCCTAGAAGCCCCTCTTTCTAGCCATTTTCAACCAGTGGAGAGCTTGGATATTAGAACTGATTCTGGCTTAGGGCAGAGAGAAACTGCAAGGGGGAGGAGGCCAAAAGAGGGAGGAGGGATATCACTGGAGTACCATTACCATCAGCCTCAACCAGCATGGCTTATTGCCAGGGATGGTGGGAGCTGCAGTCCATCAAGATCAGGAGGGTCACAGGTTCCTCATCCTTGTTTTAGGTAAAGGTAAAGGGACCCCTGACCATTAGGTCCAGTCGTGGCCGACTCTGGGGTTGCGGCGCTCATCGCGTACAGCTTGCGGGTCATGTGGCCAGCATGACTAAGCTGCTTCTGGCGAACCAGAGCAGCGCACAGAAATCCCGTTTACCTTCCCGCCGGAGCGGTACCTATTTATCTACTTGCACTTTGACGTGCTTTCAGACTGCTAGGTTGGCAGGAGCAGGCACAGAGCAACGGGAGCTCACCCCGTTGCGGCGATTCGAACCGCCGGCCTTCTGATCGGCAAGTCCTAGGCTCTGTGGTTTAACGCACAGCGCCACCTGCATCCCATCCTTTTTTAAAGGATGCTTAAAAGTCCAGTATGGAGAGGGTTTGCCGTGGAAAAGTGTCGTATACTTGTCTCCACTACAGTATACAAGGAGCTATTGTCTGGATAGCTAAATCTCCAATAAGCTTATGGCCAAGTGTGATTTGGACTCTCCCATGCAGGAAGGGGGAGAAGGTCAATTCAGTTTGTACGTCAAGCAGAATTGATCAAATCCACACCTTTTGAAACAACATGAGACTCAAAACACAGCCACCCTTCAAAATCCGCGCTCTTCTAAATTTTGTGATTCAGTTCTAGAAACAAGAACCAAAGAGTGTTTGCCAAAATGGATACATATCAACATATTTGCAGAAATGAAATGTGTATATGCATTCTATTAGGAGGAACTGCTTTTATCAAAACTGCTTACCAAAATATGTTTGTAAGACTCATTTGCACTAAAATCTGAATAATTTTTATGAGGGTTTAAAAAAAAAAATCCTGCAGAAACATGGGGAACTGAATTTAAGATTAAGAGAAACTGAGAAGTGAGAAACTCAGGAGAACTGAAATCAACAGACCTTTCAGTCGTACTCCCATATGAACCCAACACTCTCTCTCTATTATCCAAGTGCTTCCTTCAGATTCTTCACTTCATATCCTCCTGTTCTGCTTGCTTTCAGTCTGCTTCTTGAATATTAGCAGCAGATGCTTCAAGAGACAGAAACCCTAACTGCTATCTATGCTGAGCTTCAGAATTGGGGCAAATGTGTTATGAATGTAGAGAGAGGGCATATCTGTAAGCAGGATGTTCTGGAGCATGGCCTCTGCAGCATGAGGTGCTTATTCCCACACAGAACATCTGTTTATGTTTTGCTTTCCAGGCAGTTTAGGTAAGCCTGATGCTTAGTACAGTGGTACCTCAGGTTAAGAACTTAATTCATTCTGGAGGTCCGTTCTTAACTTGAAACTGTTCTTTTTATTTTTTATATTTTTAATTGGTTTTCGCATATTGCATTACAATACAGATGTACCAAAGCCAACACCATTTCTTCCCCATCCCCCTATACATTTACATTTATATTTCCTCAATCCATCATATTATTCTTTTCTCCTTCCTCCCACTTCCCTCTGCTCCCACTCGATTTCCTCCACATTATACAATTTACAATAATCTTTGCATTCTACAATCTTCTCAAATTGTCTATATATTCTTAATACTAATTTTTCCCCCCATCCAGTACTTCACATTTTAATCTAGGCATATTAGCGTATCTTTTTTTGAGCAACATTTTGCCATATATTCATCAAAATATTTCCACTCCTTTTTTAATTTTTGATTTGACTGATTTCTTATTATAGCAGTTAACTTTGCCAAAATTAAATATTAATTTAGTTTACAAATCCATTCCTCCTTTGTGGGTATAATTTGTGACTTTCACCTAGCAGCAAGCACTATTCTAGCACCTGTACTAGAAACTGAAATTGTTCTTAACCTGAGGTACCACTTTAGCTAACGGGGTCTCCTGCTGCTGCTGCGCCGCTGGAGAGCGATTTCTGTTCTCATCCTGAAGCAAAGTTCTTAACCCAAGGTACTGTTTTGGGTTAGTGGAGTCTGTAACCTTAAGTGTCTGTAATCTGAAGCATCTGTAACCCGAGGTACCACTGTATACCAGATCTTGACAAGTTGGCGACGTGTAAGACAGCTAATGTAATGTGAAACTGGAGCTTCCACAAGGGACTGGAAGCATGGGGAGCTTTTGCAATGCAAGCCTGGTAACACTCAGTTAGCTAAGGCTGCTTTTCGGACTCTCTACATTCTTGTCTCTTTTCCGCTAGATGGTGGCCTCCCTGAAGTCCTGGCCTCTCATGATCGCTGTGACTCTGTGCATCTTGTTCTGCCTGGGAACCTTGGTAGAGGCCTACCCGCAACAGCCAGAGCACCCTGGAGAAGATGCCTCTGCTGAAGAAATGGCCAGATACCTGTCAGCGCTCCGACACTACCTTAACCTGGTGACAAGGCCAAGGTGCGGGTTGCTTTTAAAGTGGTGCACTGATGGTCTCTGGAGTGGCGTCTGTGAGCCCTGTCTACACACACACACACACACACACACACCCCTCCTGCCTGCTGAATGTTGGTGGGGAATGAGCATTATGTGCAGGGCTCCCAAGGAAGGGAGAGAAAAATGCAGCCTTCTTCCATCCTGTGCACATTTATTTAACATTCCCCAGGCAAAGCCAGCAGTGGGAGCGACTCCCTATGTGGGTGAGTGCATGAGTCAGAGCAAGGTTAGCAGCTGAGGCAGTACAGGTGTCCCTGGAGATGTGGGTGGCGCTGTGGTCTAAACCACTGAGCCTCTTGGGCTTGCCGATCGTAAGGTCAGCGATTCGAATCCCTGCGACGGGGTGAGCTCCCGTTGCTCTGTCCCAGCTCCTGCCAACCTAGTAATTCTAAAGTACGCCAGTGCAAGTAGATAAACAGGTACAGCTGTGGCGGGAAGGTAAACGGCATTTCCTTGCGCTCTGGCTTCTATCACGGTGTCCCGTTGCACCAGAAGCGGTTTAGTCATGCTGGCCACATGACCTGAAAAGCTGTCTGTGGACAAATGCCGGCTCCCTCGTGAGGCCTGAAGCGAGATGAGCACGCAACCCCATAGTTGCCTTTCACAGGACTTAACTATCCAGGCGTACTTTACATTTTTTTTTACCTTATAGGTGTCCCTCCACTTACGCAGGGGTTATGTTCCAGGCATCGGTGAAATTGTGTAAAGTGGGGAGCACCATTTAAACACCTTTTAAACGCTCTCTTGGCCACTCTCCCTCAAATTGATTTTTTATTGTTTATCACCAATGGCCATCACAATACAATATAAGCACAAATCACACAACTACAGAATGAAAGATCCTGTGTGCTCCAGACCAAGACAAACCTAAAATGCCCAGATTTTAAATCCAGACCAAATGCAGACCAAAAAACACTGCATCCAAAAATATCCACAGCTAGAATTGAAGCTCTGGGGTTGGCAGGAGGCTGGAATACACATGAGAAAGCTGCTGCGGTGATACCCCGCACATCAGCTATGGGGCGGGGAGGCTAGGCAGCCTAAACAAAGCCTTCCACAAGGACTCCCCAGCTCCCTCCCACAATTTCAGGGTTTGAACTGAATTTTTAAATTATTTCCCAGAGGCTGTGCAGGAATAAAATGCACACCAGTGGTGTTTATGTGTGCTAGTGTTCAGTTCCTTGCCATGCATGTCTGTTGCCATTAAATAACAGGAAGGAGGGGGGGCTGCCTCATGGCTGTGGAAATCAGAGGTAGGGTGGGGAGGAGTAAAAATCCCTTTTTCTGCCTCAAAATAGGATGACATTAACTCAGTTATTCCTCTCCCAACTGAAGGTTTGGCAAGAGGTCCAGCCCAGAGACCTTGATGTCAGAGCTTATTTTTGGAGACAGCAGCAGCAACAGTGGAGCGAGCCATGATGACCGGTCAAGGTAAGTCCTAGCAGCACAGAGTGCATCATTTTTGCAGCAAACCTACCCAGGACCTGCCTGTTTCTGACCCGGAGCCAATTCTCTCTAACCACCACAACCTTGCTAAAGGGAAGAGCAAGCTCTAGGCCTGGAGACACATTGTGTTTTCTGTGTCATCTACTGGGATGGGGAGGGGCATTCCTATTGCCTCATAAACAGAAAGAAAAGTGATTCTCAAGAGATTGGAAACCACCTTGTCTGCTCCAGGAGCAATGCGTTCTAGACCTAGAACGTCAAGATTACCCAGCAATGGGGAAGCAGCTTTCTGCACGTATCTAACCCTTTTCCAAGCTAAACCACAGACACATAGAAGAATCCCAGGAATCATGTGATATAGAGTCAGGGCCATTCTTGATTCAGTTTAAGCATGGTATCATGGTATCTAGCATGGTATCATCCCTATTTTATGACATTTGTTGAGATCTAGAGCTTATCCTAGCCCATATACTCAAACAAATAATGGAAGCATAGAGTTGGAAGGTACCCTGAGGATCATCCAACCTCCTGCATTGCAGGGATATGCAGCTGTCCCTTATGGGGACTGAACCTACAACCTTGGCATTATCAGTACCACACTCTATCCAACGGAGCTAGCCGGCTGATAATGCAATGCAATGCAATGCAATGCAATGCAATGCAATGCAATGCAATAATATAATATAATATAATATAATATAATATAATATAATAATATAATATGAGGTGTTTGTTGTTGTTGTTGTTAGAATTTATATACTGCCCTATACCTGGAGGTCTCAGGATGGTTCACAGAACAATTTTTTTTTAACTTATTGGAATCACTTAATCATGGAAGTTTCACTATCAATAACCTATCTCTAACTTGCTCATGAGTAAAAACAATATTTTTGAAGCAACCAGCATTTTTGAAGCCACAATGTATGTAAACTATATGCTTGCTAAGAAACCATTTTTTAAGCACTTTGTGCACGCCTGGTACACCAATGCTCTGGGTTCTGCAGGTAAATGGTCTTGGCCTTTGGGACAGGGAGCAGCAGCGGATTGTACTTGAGCTTCTTCCTCCAATTCCCTGCCTTCACAACCATTTCTTCCTTTTTTCCAGGTTCGATGACGCCAACATGTGGTAATGATCTCGATGCTTCTCAGCCAGTGGTCCATCTGCTGCTTCTTTTTAAACAGGCAAATCGTTGTGTTCATTTTGCATTTCTCAAAACCAATTAAGCTGTGATGATTTAAAGAGTCCATTCCCCACCTCAACTTTCTCCATCCAATACTGAAGAGGCTTGGGAAAGAAACTCTCACTGCATCCCCCCTTTCAAGACAACAACATTGCAATGATCCGGGCCTCTTTCTCCCTACAAGCCAACAGGGGGTGCCAGAAGAGTGCTTTGTGGCTGGGGGCACAAAGGTTGCCCCCAGCCCTTGGCAGCAGCCAAGGTTGTAAGACCCCCCCCCCAGTGCAAGCCCTCATTATGTCTACTCTGGGTTGTCCTGTACATCATGTGTGTGGGTGTGAATAGGAGTATGTGTGTGTGTAAACGTATGTATTTGAAATTATTTCTGTTTGTCTCAAGAATTAAAAGCAAGTTTGATGGAGAAGCTTATTGCATTCCTCCCTTTGTTCCCAGCCAACTGAAGTGGGACAGTCTTTGGGTGCTGGGGTAAAGAAACTGCTACAGCAAATATACTATCGGCAAAACCAATTTGGTGTTTCGCAACTTTCTGACTAGTTGGAGGACCTTAGCCAGACCTAGCAGAGTACACGCAGAATCCACGGAAGCAATTGGCAACTTGGCTGCAGACAGGATAGATGAAGCAGGTACCAGGAACTTGTAGTTAGGTGTTTATTATATACAGCGGACTACTTACAGGAACAGAACATGGATCTTAAGCTAGCTCTCTCTGACACAACTCACAACTCCTACACTCACTGACACACTGAACTCTGAACACGAAACTCTGAACTAACACATTCCAGTTGGTAGGCCATTAATTATCACTCCCTTGAGAAAGCTTGACCAATCAGGGAGCGGTCTCCATGTCTCTGTTATCACCAGGCAGACTTACTCCTTCAGATTGCCTTCTGGCTGTCTGCCAAACCTTAATTGACTCTGTGTGAGTAGCTGCACATACACAGTTTCCCAACATATACTAGAGAATTCCAACTGGGAAACAGAATCCTGGAATACCATTTTCCAAGTCCTTGTCATGCCAAAATGTCCTCCAAGGAGAACCCTTTCTCTACTGCAGAGAAAGCCTCCGGTTCTACTCTTTGCTTTCTGTGCCCATTTTCTATGTCCAGAGAAGCTTCCAATGGAGGAGAGCATTAAAAAAAACCACTCCCCTGCTTACTGTCTGAAATAGAACGAACCATCTATTCTGACATCTCCTTCTGGTGACTGGGTAGTCCGGGTTCTGTCCTTCATGAATGGCCTGAACAATGGTCCCCTCTCTACTTCCCCGCACCCCTTTAAATATTACAATTGGTCACCTTTCCCAGTGGTGTAGCATGGTTTGCCAGCACCCGCAGCTACACGGAGGGGGTGTGTGGGAGGGAAATGGTCTCGATTGGTGTTTGTTCCACTTCAGCACTAAAGAATAAGTTTCCTCAGGGGAAAGCAGCCAGGCAAATGGAGGTACGCAGAAGCCCAAAGTCAAGATTGGCTCCCAAGGTGGCCTACACAGCTCTACCACAAAAAAAACCCACAATCTAATTTATGTCAAATGGTTATAACCAAACCTTTTCCAAAAGGTGGCTTAGAATATCATGTAAGATATTCTAAGACATGCACCAACCAGCAAACCATGGAAGAACAGCAACATCATCAAAATCAGGGGTCAGCAAGGTTTTTGTGGCTTGGGTTGGCTCCCGGTCCTGCAGATGCTGCGGTGGGCTGGAGTGCGTGCGCACGCATGCACAAACACTATTTCCTGTGCTCCTTCCGGTGCGGAGGAGGCATGCGCAGCTTCCCATTGGCTGCAGGAGCTTCCTGCAGCCAATGGGAAGCCAGCTAGCATCGTGGAGGGCGGTCCCCGCTTTGCTCCACATCGGTTTAGTGTGGCGCATGGGAATCGACTGAGCATGCGGTGGGGGTCCCTGAGTGGGTGGCAGGGGCCTATGGGCCGGTTAAATGACCCCCATGGACCGCTTGTGGCCCATGGGCCTTACGTTGCCGACCCCTGATCAAAATATAAGAAACTCAGTTAAATATCGAGAGTGAGTACTTTATAAAATAGTGATTAAAAGGGAGCACCATTAATGTAATACACAAAAGGAGAAAACGATATGCTTTAAAAACATGAGCCCCCCAACCCGCCTTATTGAGAGTCGCTGTACCTTTATGGATTTATTTTCTTGATTTATCTTTTAAACGGTTAGGGCTAACCTGGCTAATGTAGCTCCTCTCTGTTTTTATAAAAGCACTCACACACATCCATATATGTTTGGGGCAGTAGGTCTCAACCTCCCAGGCAAGTTTCCTTCTTAAAGAAAAAAAAAAAAACCCTTGTGCAATTGCCGAAATGGCCATAATGACTGCAAGAATCAGAAATCAGGAAGACCAGAATTTTAATAAGGAAAGGGGAAAATTTATAATTTATCTTAAAAACCATTGTAAACGGTTAAAAATTGTTAGCAGGATTGGAATATCACTTGTAGTTTAATGGTGAATTTTGGATATAATGGAGATGTAAAAGATTTGGATTATTAGAAAAGATGCAGGAGGAAATGATTAACAATAGGACCCCCACAAAGGGGAGGAGGGGAAAGTCCAGGAGGTACTTTGGAATCTTGATTTTATGTTGTATGTTGAATACGTGATTGTAAAATTGTAATCTGAAAAATAAAATAAGATAGATAGATAAAGGTAAAAGGACCCCTGACCACTAGGTCCAATCGCAGACGACTCTGGGGTTGCAGCGCTCATCTCGCTTTATTGGCCGAGGAAGCCGGCGTACAGCTTCCGGGTCATGTGGCCAGCATGACTAATTCGCTTCTGGCGAACCAGAACAGCACACAGAAACGCCGTTTACCTTCCCGCCAGAGCGGTACCTATTTATCTACTTGCACTTTGACATGCTTTCGAATTGCTAGGTTGGCTGAAGCAGGGACCGAGTAATGGGAGCTCACCCCGTTGTGGGGATTCGAACCGCCGACCTTCTGATCGGCAAGCCCTAGGCTCTGTGGTTTAACCCACAGTGCCACCCGCGTCCCTAGATAACAGCAAAATTCACAACTATTAATGAAAGGTGCAGGAGCCCTTTTGCATCTGTCCACCCTAGAGGTTTGAAAAGAGATGTCCTTCCCTAGGGTGGAGGGCCAAAACTCTGAACACTTGACACTTACACTTTTGTAACTTTGGAGTCTAAATTCATACATCCTAGACAGTTGACGCAAGGGGAGAAGAAAGAATCAGACAGTTGACACCTGCTGGAAATCGGACAGCTACTGCAAGGACAATAAAATAAAATAAAATGCCCTTATATTCTGGATGCACTGCTGGGATTCTGGGACTTCATGAATAACTGGGATGCCACCTGCTGGATGTAGGCAGCAGCAAGGAAGTTCCATTCAGCTGCAGCGTAACATCTTATTCTTAGAAGAAACAACGCTAAAAGTCACCAAGAGGGCCAGGTTGCAGCAAACGGAAACAGATGTTTATTAGCACGACGTAAGCCCAAATCTGTGGCCTGTTGCAGTCTCAGACTGGAATTAAGGAGACAGACACTTAGCACACCTTGACCTAAGTGAAATTATTGCATGTGTGGAAAGAGGTTTCCATGCAGGGATCCGCTGCCCTTGACATGGGAATGGGAGAACTGGCCATTTTTGGTCTCTCTGTCTCTCATTTTTACAATCTTAAGTTCAGTTCTGTGCATTTCCACATCTGTTAACTTTTTTAAAAAATTCATTGTGAAAATTCACCGGGATGTTAGTGCTAATTTCTCCTAACGTGGACTTTTTTTCCGCAAAGCAATTTCCCCTAATGCAATAATTTTTTATCTGTTGTTTTTACCGGTATATGCATCCTTACATTTAATTTGACCAAATATATGCTATTTTGCACACATTACTTGGCTGGAGAACAACATTACAAGATTTGGATGGCTGTGTTTTGATTTGTGCGTTGTTTTGGAAAGTGAAAATTATTTATGTAGGCTTGCTTATATATGTGAACTGAATTGGATTTCTCCACCCATTCCTACTCCATATATATATATATATATAAAATCGAGAGAGAGCGCCGCTTTCACAGGGAGCAAAACCCAGAAACCTAGCAACACATGCATAATTATACAAGTAGCTCATATATATGTTCACGTGGAAGTTTTTAGGTGAAGCACTATGCATCTCCATATGCTCAGCCCTCTGTGGTTTATACAGTTCTCTGAATCTTAGCGCTGTGGATCCCTGGTCTTAGTGCTGTGGGAGTCCCAAAATGCAAAGGATTTTTTAAAATATAAATTTATATATATATAAAATAATGGAAATGGTTTATTGAATATTTACAGATAAATTATAAACAGATTAAAACATTGGCGGGATTATTGTAACCACCTGCAGTTTTATAAGAGTATATATTTAAAGAATATGAATAAATGAGCAAATTAAGTTAATTTGGATAGGCAGAAGTTATTAAAAAATAAATTTAAGGAACTGCAGAAAGCAGGGGCTGGAAGTCAAGTTTTGAAATGTCAAAATGAATGTAAAACTAGTGAAATGTATAAACTTGAAAAGTATAAAGAAATAAATAAAATGGAAGAAAGTCAGACATATTCATATTGAAAGCACATCCATTTCTCACCCCCCTTAAGCAGTGTCTATATTGGCACCAGGATATCTTTCTCTCCCAGGGCCATCTGGATTGCAGCAGGAGAGAAAAGAGTTAAACCAACTGCTGCATTCTAAAACCAGAAAGATTGCCTTGCAGAAATTAATTGTTCGATTAAACCAACACAGACCCCCCAAGCGACCCATTTGGCATCACATATAAAAAGCTGTAATCCTGTATATGCTAAGGTAAAGGTACCCCTGACTGTTAAGTCCAGTCGCGGACGACTCTGGGGTTACGGTGCTCATCTCGCTTTATTGGCCGAGGGAGCCAGCGTACAGCTTCCGGGTCATGTGGCCAGCATGACTAAGCCGCTTCTGGCAAAACCAGATCACCGCATGGAAACGCTGTTTACCTTCCCGCTGGATCAGTACCTATTTATCTACTTGCACTTTGACGTGCTTTCAGACTGCTAGGTTGGCAGGAGCAGGGACCGAGCAACAGGAGCTCAACCTGTCGCGGGGATTCAAACTGCTGACCTTCTGATCGGCAAGCCCTAGGCTCTGTGGTTTAAACCACAGCGCCACCTGCGTCCATCGGGGGTAAATCTCATGGGACTCAATGGGAAGAGATTTTAGATGCCATCCCTGCCATCAGTGTGACCTATGAAGCAGATCTCTTTGGTTTTATTTCATTATTTGCCTTTCGTTAGCTACACCCTTTGTGTGTGGGCAGGTTGGCACTGAGACTACTATCAGTCCATTTTTAGGTAATAGATCTAGCAGGACCATGAAGACACGGTATGATGAAAGCTTACGTTCCCCTCTTTCAGTCTAAACAGAAGTTGTCTGTTTTGTTGTTACTACTCTATGGACCTGAAGAACAGAATTAAAGTCCAAACCAGAAACTTTCAGGCCCTGCTGTGAAAACAGCTTTTGAGGAATGAAGTTGAGGGAAGCTGTAGGCAAGTGGTGGGAATTGAACTTTTCACTTTGCACCAAGAAAGAGAGGTTTGCTGAGGGTGAAGGATCTGGCCTCTGAGACTTAAAAATAGTAGCACTTTCTGAATGATTACCACTTGGTGGATTACTGCAGGCAACATATATCTCCTACTTTGGATTGGGGAAGAAATTCAATTCCATTTGCATCCCACCTATCAAATTTGCTCTTTCTGAAAATTAACGAGAACTGAAACACAGATATCTTTCAAAGTTTTCACTCCTATGAATTTTGCGATGCAGCTATCCAACCCAACAATGTTTGCAAAAATGCAAATACAGTGGTACCTCGGGTTAAGAACTTAATTCGTTCTGGAGGTTCGTTCTTAACCTGAAACTGTTCTTAACCTGAGGTACCGCTTTAGCTAATGGGGCCTCCCGCTGCCGCTGCACCGCGGCTGCACGATTTCTGTTCTCATCCTGAAGCAAAGTTCTTAACCTGAGGTACTATTTCTGGGTTAGCGGAGTCTGTAACCTGAAGCGTCTGTAACCTGAAGCGTCTGTAACCCGAGGTACCACTGTATCAGGAAGGTGTAAATAAAAATTGGCATATTATTGAAAATAACATACAGTGGTACCTCGGGTTAAGTACTTAATTCGTTCCTGAGGTCCGTTCTTAACCTGAAATTGTTCTTAACCTGAAGCACCACTTTAGCTAATGGGGCCTCCTGCTGCTGCCGCACCGCCGGAGCATGATTTCTGTTCTTATCCTGAAGCAAAGTTCTTAACCTGAAGCACTATTTCTGGGTTAGCAGAGTCTGTAACCTGAAGCGTATGTAACCCGAGGTACCACTGTGCACACCATGAGCTATAACACTAGATGCTTTGTGCTTCTGGTTTTTTTTCCTTTCCCCCTTTTAAAGGCGATTCTTTCCATTTTATCTTCAGGCGGACTGAAAACAAATAAGTAATTAATCACTCGCATTTGGGGGGGAGGAACCCCCACAATCTAGTTCTTGCCAGCAAAATGTTTTCAGGTGGGTGAACTGTCAGGGGAGGGACGGAACTCACTGGTTGCAAAGGGCTATTAAGAGTGTCCCCCTTTACGCTGTGTGGAGGTGTGAGGGGGAGGGGGGAGGAGAAGAAAAAGGTATAAAATTCCCCCAGGAGCTGCCACAGATTGAGACTGAGAGGAAACACAGAAGGACCCACCCAGCCCAGCATATTCCTGTTTCCAGCTTCCAAAAGGCTCAGGGTAAAAACTTGTTGTGGTTGTGATGAAGCGCCTGGGACCAATTTCTCTAGTCAGTTGTCTTGCTTCGAGGAAATTTCCTTTCAAGGCTCTTGAAAGCCTGCTGTGCACCCTGATATTTTCCTGGTTTGTAGGACAGGAGGGAACGACTACAGTGGTACCTCAGGTTAAGAACTTAATTCGTTCTGGAGGTCCGTTCTTAACCTGAAACTGATCTTAACCTGAGGTACCACTTTAGCTAATGGGGCCTCCTGCTGCCGTGCCGCGTGATTTCTATTCTCATCCTGAGGTAAAGTTCTTAACCCAAGGTACTATTTCTGGGTTAGCGGAGTCTACAACCTGAAGCGTCTGTAACCTGAAGCGTCTGTAACCCGAGGTACCGCCGTATAGGATTTTCTCTCTCCTTTCTTTGCTAGCTTCTGCTGGGGAAACAGGTCCAAGTAAAAGCAGGGAGTGTTTGGCACTAGCGACGGAAAGGTCTTGAGAGGTGATAAAAGTATTTTCTTTTTCGATAATAATTTTTATTGCTTTTCAGTGACAACAATCCAATAATAGCCTCATTATAACAATGCCAAATTATAACACAATTAACAATACCAATCACTGAGGTGCCAAATTATGCAAATTAGGTTGCCCCCCGCGTGCTAGAATTAACGGTTTGATGGTTTTCTTTCCAAAATCTTATAAATTTCAATTACACTCCAGTCCAAATACCAATCCCTTATATCGCAACTGCAGTTTTATCGACCTCCATTCGTATTGACACATTGAATGATTTCTACAACTGCAGGTGAAGCATTCAAACTCCCTCCTTCCTATGGGTGGCAATTATTCTGTCTGTAATGTTTCTTTCTTTTTTTTCTTGAAAAGTTTTTATTGTTAAAATAATTTAGCATTAATACACACATATTGCGAATATACAAACATACAAACATACATTTCATACAATCCTTAAAAATGTTCAAACATACCTACACTCAATCCCACAGATAATTCCTTTTCCCTTCACCATCCACCACCCCTCACCCCACTTTTGTGTTAGACTTCCAATCTATTCAATTGCAATTTCTTTCTACTTCTATTACTTTCTTTCACACACTTTTAACCTAATTTCATGCTTCTTTTTCTATTATACATTGTTATCCATCTTATTTAGTATTCCAGTATTTAAAACGGAACTTGTTTATTCATATTGATTTTTTAATATGGTTTTGCAAGTATCCTTTAAACACCTTCCAGTCCCTATCTATCTTCTCTTTTGAGATCCTTCCAATTTCTCCCATTGTTTTGGATATATTGCAGTACTCCAATATTCTACAATACAATATTCCGTAGTGTTTCTTCCTGTCCTTGTAAGATATTATCTCTATCTTTTGCCAGCCGTTGCTGCTCTCCATCACGCTTTGGGTGGTGCTACTTGTTGTTTCAGAAGATCTCCTTTGCGCCGTCCCTGGTTCATTGCTTGCAGTTGCAAAATTCACACAGTCCCAGTAAATTTTCTGTTTTCGCCATCTTTCTCTCAGATAAAAGTGTCTTGCTTGAAGGAAATTTCCTTCCAAGGCTCTGTCACCTGCTGTGCATTTTGATACTTTCCTGGCTTGTGGGGCGGGAGGAGATGACTATAGGATTTTCTCTCTCCTTCCTAAGCTTCTTCTGGGGAAACGGGTCCAAGGAGAAGCTGAGAGCGTTTGGCACTAGTGATGGAAAAGTCTTGGGAGGTGATAAAAGCATTTTCGACCATTGTGAACTATCAAGTGAAGCCTGCTGAGGGTGGAGGAAAGGCTTCACATTCAAGTCTGTGGGCTTCCATGAAACTTCTTTTTTTATAAAAAAGATTTTTTTATTAGCATATAAAACACATACTTATACATTTACACAATACACATACATACCGTATTTTTTGCTCTATAAGACTCACTTTTCCCCTCCTAAAAAGTAAGGGGAAATGTGTGTGCGTCTTATGGAGCGAATGCAGGCTGCGCAGCTATCCCAGAAGCCAGAACAGCAAGAGGGATTTCACTGCGCAGCGATCCCTCTTGCTGTTCTGGCTTCTGAGATTCAGAATATTTTTTTTCTTGTTTTCCTCCTCCAAAAACTAGGTGCGTCTTGTGGTCTGGTGCGTCTTATAGAGCAAAAAACACGGCAACACACTACCTCTTTTTCATAACATAAAACATACCTACATTACTCTATATAATACCTACCTATACTGTACATATCAACATATCAACATACCTACACACCTACCCCACACGGACACCCACCAAGTGACTTGACTTCCAGCCGTTCTAGTTACCTTACTTTGTTTTTCCAACTAGCTTAAACGCATTTCATTATTTCTTCAATCTCTTCTTCTATCTTTTTACTTTACTCTCCTTTCACTTTAATCATTTTCTGGATTCACTCAATATCTGTCAGAAATTCTACTTTTTCCCACATAAATTTTGATGTATTCCTTAAAGATAGCCCACTCCATATTCACAGGCTTCCATGAAACTTCTGGCTGGCCAGAGACATGAACAGAAGGATGGGCTTTGACCTGGTCCAGGAAGGCTCAGAGCTCATCCTTTTGCACTGCGCTTTCAGAGCACAGATCCACACTTGGAAGCTTTGTGTCCAGGAGGCATTCCCACCCCCCACCCCCCCAGGGAAAACCTATGTTTTACCGCTAGATCTGAGCAAACACCATTCTGCGGAAAACCCAGTTGCCATTTGCTCTAATCAAACATGGGTTTTTCTGGAAAAAGAAAGAAAGAAAGTGTTTGGACACAGAGCTTTAAAGCCTGCATCTGTGCCTCAAAACATAGCACAAAAGTCAGAGTGAGCCCTTAGGTTCACTGTATCAGATGCAAAAGGATAAGGTTGCCGTAATGTTTATGAGTCTTAGAACGGGGACCGAGAAGGAGGATCAATGCATCTGCCTACCCTGCTTCACACAGTTTCCAGACCCTCCAAGTTTCCCTATTTTCCAGGGACAGTCTCGGATTTACAAAAGCCATCCTGGTTTCTGATTTGATCCCAGAATGTCCCGCTTTTCCTTAGGACGTCCCTAATTTCACTGGAGAAATGTTGGAGGGTAGCCAAGGAGATAAGTAACTAGACTGCCTTTAGAAGACTTCTCAAGGCAAATCTGAAGGGTTGTTTTTTAAAAAATGCTTAATGTTTTATTTGGTTTTCATATATGTTGGAAGCTGCCCAGAGCAGCTGGGGCAACCCAATTAGATGGGTAGGGTATAAATAATAAAAATATTATCATTGTCATTATTATTATTATTATTATTATTATTATTATTATTATTACAGTGGTACCTCAGGTTAAGTACTTAATTCATTCTGGAGGTCCGTACTTAACCTGAAACTGTTCTTAACCTGAAGCACCACTTTAGCTAATGGGGCCTCCTGCTGCTGTCGCGCTGCCAGAACACGATTTCTGTTCTCATCCTGAAGCAAAGTTCTTAACCTGAGGTACTATTTCTGGGCTAGCGGAGTCTGTAACCTGAAGCGTATGTAACCTGAAGCATATGTAACCCGAGGTAACACTGTATTATTGAATAGGATGTCCCTATTTTCATCAGAAAAATGTTGGAGGGTATGAGTTCCCCATACACTAGCTCATATTGAACTTACACAATTCCATGGACATAGCACCGTGTGGTTAATAAAACAATCTATGGCCTTTTAAACTGTTTTTTCGTGTGTACTGTTTTTGGTAATTACAATTTATGTATTTTTGTGTTTTTATAATGTAAACTGCCCTGTGATCCTCAGATGAAGGGTGGTATAGAATAGTAGTAGTAATAATAATAATAATAATAATTTTTATTATGAATAATAGCGCACTAGCTCGTTAGCTTCATATACATATACCATAATAAGGCTTAGTGATGTTGACATCCATTGCCTCCATTGCCTTGGTATCATAGGGACTTTCCCCTCCCTTTCCCAATACAGATGATCGCTCCACGGAGATTCCGTCTCTCTTTCTTCACCTTCGCTTGCTGTCTGGCTGTGTTTCTCAGCCACATTGGGGACACGGCACGCATTGCTCCCGAATTTCCCGGTGAAGATGCTCCACTCGACCAACTGGTTCAATATTACAACGAGTACCAGCAATACCACAACTCAATCAACCGTCCCAGGTTAAGTGAAATGCATTTAATTCTCATGTAGACTGTCTCGCCAGAGTGGTGCATGCTCTAGTTATCTCTCGCTTGGACTACTGCAATGAGCTCTATGTGGGGCTACCTTTGAAGGTGACCCGGAAACTACAACTAATCCAGAATGCGGCAGCTAGATTAGTGACTGGGAACGACTGCCGAGACCACATAACACCGGTCTTGAAAGACCTACATTGGCTCCCAGTACGTTTCCGGGCACAATTCAAAGTGTTGGTGCTGACCTTTAAAGCCCTAAATGGTCTCGGTCCAGTGTACCTGAAGGAGCATCTCCACCTCCATCGTTCTACCTGGACGCTGAGGTCCAGTGCTGAGGACCTTCTGGCAGTTCCCTCACTGCGAGAAGCCAAGTTACAGGGAACTAGGCAGAGGGCCTTCTTGGTAGTAGTACCCGCCCTGTGGAACGCCCTCCCACCAGATGTCAAAGAGAACAACAACTACCAGACTTTTAGAAGACATCTGAAGGCATCCCTCTTTAGGGAAGCTTTTAATGGTTGATGGATTACTGTATTTTAATATTTTGTTGGAAGCCGCCCAGAGTGGCTAGGGAAGCCCAGCCAGATGGGCAGGGTATAATCATAGATTATTGTTATGTAGACCCCCTTTTTACCTTGTAGAGCATTTTGAGAAACCAGGGCTGTCTTGAGCATATGCGGTGCCGGGGTGGAAAGATCCGCCCGGCACACCCACCCACCCGGTTGCCCAGAGTTGTCCACCTTTTTAAAGAGAGAGTTGACACCATGCTTATCTCTGCTCTAGAAAAGAAAACAGGAAACATAAGCAGCCCAGCACAACAAACCAGCCCGAGGCATCGGAGACTGAGCGAAGCAGCATGGTATAAGCAGCATGCGCTGGGCAGGCCTCTCCACAGCCCTACGCCAATCCCAGGCATGCAGGAGGGTGGAGCCAGCAGGCCACCTCAGTGCCTCGCTAGCTTGCCCACCCCTGAACTCATGGCGCAAAGCCAGCCACAGCAGAAGCGCCCACCGCAGCGCTCCAACTGACGGGCGGGCTCTTCCCGGGACTCCAACTCTCGGGCCCTGGACTCTTGGCACTGGGTGCCTCGCACCCCTAGCACCTATGGTTAAGATGGCCCTGTGAGAAATGCTCCACAGGACTCACTAGTTCTCATTAAAAGCCAGAATGCAGAGAGAGAGAGTTTGTGGTACTGCATAGGAATGAATTGTTGTTTGTGATGGTAAAGACAGTTTGACAAACCAGCTTTTCATCTTTACCCAGATTTGGTAAGCGATCCAGCAGCCAGGCACTCTGCGGAGATCCAAGCACCAGATGGGACTGTTCAAACTGACAAGTAAGTTTTATTTTTGGAACCGGTGCAAATTTCTCAGACGCATATCCCAAGGTACTTTCCATCCATACGCACATTTCTGCAAGCAGTTTTCCCCAAATATAATGCACTTTTCTGGGTTATTTCTGCTAATATGTCTGCACACGTTTTGCTAATGCACACATTTTTGCACTCATAATTTTGGTTGGGGAACTGCATTGCAAAAAATAAATAAAATAAAAATAAAAACAACCTCCCCAGAGATGTGTGAATGTCAATCGATAGTTGTGTTTCAGGCTGCTTATTGGTTTGAGAACTAGGTGGTTTCTCATTAGAATGCAAACAAAGTTGAATTTCTCCCCAAGAAATATGGCACGCTGGAAGGTGGTGTCATTGGTTTTTGCCTTCCGTGTGTTCGAGGATATCCTTTTCCTGGAGTACTTTTGTCCCCAATGTAGGGTTGTCATATTTCAAGAGGTAAGAGTCCAGACAGAAAAAGTTGTTGAGCCGTCAGCTGCTACCCATGCTGGAGCCAAAGCCCTGGCCAATTGGGCCAAAGCCCAAGCCTGAACCTGAACCGCAGGTGCAGAAAATAATATTAAACAAAACAAAAAATCCCAAACCCAGACAATTGCTATAAATTGTAAAACACCATCCCCCCAAGGATGGTCATGTAGGCCCCCCCCCCAAGGGATAAGTCTGGGATTTCCTGGATGTATGGCAACCCTACCTAGATGTCTGTCAGTACCAGGCCCTGACTGTTGGGACAAGCATTGTAGCTTGCAATGCAGGAGGTCGATCAGGGGTATATTGCAGTGTGTATTGAGCTGACTGGGCCTGTGACAGATGAAGGCCCAGATGACCTTTCTGGGTGGACAGGGGCTATAACACGATTGGATTCACAGGTGTAGCCTCAAGGTGTTAGGATGCTGTTGGCGGCTCCTGGATGGATGCCCAGGAAAGTACAGTGGTACCTCGGGTTAAGTACTTAATTCGTTCCAGAGGTCTGTACTTAACCTGAAACTGTTCTTAACCTGAGGTACCACTTTAGCTAATGGGGCCTCCTGCTGCTGCCGCGCCGCAGGAGCACAATTTCTGTTCTCATCCTGAAGCAAAGTTCTTAACCTGAGATACTATTTCTGGGTTAGCGGAGTCTGTAACCTGAAGCGTCTGTAACCCGAGGTACCACTGTGTATGTGTGTGCGTGTATATATATATATATTTCCAGAGCAGATTATCACTACAGTGGTACCTCAGGTTAAGTACTTAATTCATTCTGAAGGTCCTTACTTAACCTGAAACTGTTCTTAATCTGAAGCACCACTTTAGCTAATGGGGCCTCCCGCTGCGCCACTGTGCAATTTCTGTTCTCATCCTGAAGCAAAGTTCTTAACCTGAAGCACTATTTCTGGGTTAGCGGAGTCTGTAACCTGAAGCGTCTGTAACCCGAGGTACCACTGTATAAAGACAAGGAAAAGTTTCTTGCTGTCCTTTTTTATTTCAGATTTTACAGAGAGAGTCTATAGAACCAAGCCTCTTGGATAACGGCTTGGTCCCGAGTGAATTCGCCATACCCAGTCTCTCCCACTTCCTCATTCGTCATTCTCATCATCTCCTCTACTGTCAGGGACCATGGTGAGGAGGAAGAATGGTGGGAACCTCCCCCTCCTCCTGCTCCTGCTCCTGAATCTTCCCAGGAGAAGGAGGACAGTATAGATTTGGAACTGTGGTTTGCAGGGGGACATAGTTCAGAAGGCAGAAGCTGGGAAATACTGAATGGGGAACAGCTAGGAAAAGAAACATTGGGAGAGAGAGGGTTAACAGATTCACAGTCTCTGGACAGCATTCCTCCAGTCAGCCCAAGGTCAAGAAGAGCTCAGAAAGGGGCAGAACAGAAAGCACATAGGATACATGCTCAGATTACAAGACGTAAGAGTGACGTAGATTAATAGGGAAGGAGGGGGCGTAAGCCTTAATTGGGAGCACCGCCATTCTTGGTAGACGCATCCTTTTGTCCTTCACTGTTTATTAAAGAAACTAACAGGTAAGAATTCCCTTACATTTGATTTGCTCATTTATGGCCATGAGGCAGGAAGCCGATTTCCTGAAGCCTGACATCTATGGGTGCTGAAATGTGCCCTCTGTCTTTGAGCTCTTTGCTCTCCTACTTTCAAGGCTTGCCGGGTTCTGGGAGATGGAGGGGTAGGAATGCTTTCTAAGGACAATGTGTCAGCCGGGTGTTGTTCCGGCTCTCCCATGATTTCCCAGCTTTCCCCCTCATCTGCCTCTGAGCTGCGACCTCCCTCAAACCCCAGTTGAAAATCTATACTGTCTTCCTCTTCCACCTTCCTGGAAGGGGAGGCAGTCTCCACCATTTCTCCTCCTCTCCCCAGCCCCAGACATAAGGAGAGATGAGGAATCTCCCACTCACAGCTTCTATTGCATTCTTCCATTGCTTCTTTCAGGAACATGTCCACAAGGAGGACGTCTGCAAGCCTTCCAGACTGAACCCTGATTGCTCCATGATCCTCTTCACCTGACTTTTTCTTCATATGATGGCCGCCAGCTTCCAAGCAAGACATTCCTTACTGGGCATTCTCCTTCCTCTCCTCTTCAACTAACTGTTGAATTTAATCATTATAATAAAGCAAGATTCTCGTTGCAATCTGGTCGCCTTTGAATGTAAAACCACTGAAATCAAATGCAGACACATCTCGCAGTATCTGCTGTTGAATTGCTTTGGTGGTATTTTAAACCCAGCTTTGCAGGAGGTATCAGTGGTCCTGGGTCTGATGTACATTCACGCCATACATTTACAGCACAATGAATGCACGTTCAGTGGCTGCTGGTGGTTGGAGGATGGATGGCGGCTAACAGATTGTGGCTGAATCCAGACAAGACAGAAGTACTGTTTTGGGGGGACGGGGGGCAGGTGTGGGGGACTCCCTGGTCCTGAATGGGGTAACTGTGCCCCTGAAAGACCAGGTGCGCAGCCTGGGAGTCATTTTGTACTCACAGCTGTCCAGGGAGATGCAGGTCAATTCTGTGTCAAGGGCAGCTGTCTACCAGCTCCATCTGGTATGCAGGCTGAGACCCTACCTGCCCGTGGACTGTCTTGCCAGAGTGGTACATGCTCTGGTTATCTCCCGCTTGGACTACTGCAACGCGCTCTACGTGGAGCTACCTTTGAAGGTGACCCGGAAACTACAATTAATCCACAATGCGGCAGCTAGACGGGAGACTAGGAGTGGCCCTCAAGACCATATAATACCAGTCCTGAAAGACCTATATTGGGTCCCAGTACGTTTCAGAGCACAATTCAAAGTGTTGGTGCTGACCTTTAAAGCCCTAAACGGCCTCGGCTCAGTATACCTGAAGGAGCATCTCCACCCCCATTGTTCAGCCCAAACACTGAGGTCCAGCGCCAAGGGCCTTCTGGCTGTTCCCTCCCTGCAAGAAGTGAGGTTACAGGGAACCAGGCAGAGGGCCTTCTCAGTAGTTGTTCCTACCCTGTGGAACACCCTCCTATCAGTTGTCAAGGAAATTAAAAACTATCTGACTTTTAGAAGACATCTGAAGGCAGCCCTATTTAGGGAAGTTTTTAATGTTTGATGTTTTTTCATGTTTTTAATATTCTGTTGGGAGCCACCCAGAGTGGCTGGGGAAACACAGACAGAAGCGCGGGGTGTAAATAAATCATCATCATCATCATCATAAATGAATCATTGGAACTGAAACTTAGCCATCACAGATCCACAATTCACAGCACCAATTTAAATTTTTTTAGTTGTCGTCCCCATTAGATTCACAAAATGTTTAGGGGTATGTGTACCCCTGCATCCCCCCGGAAAAAAAGCACTGACCTTAACAAACTACAGTCGACACACTTTGAACCATTCCTGGAGCTTGTTCTGTGAACCACCCTGAGACCTCCTGGTATAGTGCGGTATATTAATAATAATAATAATAATAATAATAATAACAATACATTTTATTTTATTTTATTTTATTTTATTTTATTTTATTTTATTTTATTTTATTATTTTATTTTATTTTATTGCATTGCATTGACTTGACTTGACTTGACTTGCCTTGCATTGCATTGCATTATCAGTTGGATAGCTGGTTGTAGGTTCGATCCCTGTAAGGTACAGCCACATATCCCTACATTGCAGAAGGTTGCGGCTTGAGCATATAGGATAAGCTCTAGATCTCAACAAATGTCATAAAATAGGGATGATACCATGCTAGATACCATGTTACCATGCTTAAACCGAATCATGAATGGCCCTGAAACCATATTACATGATTCCTGGGATTCTTCTATGTGTCTGCGGTTTAGCTTGGAAAAGGGTTACATATGTGCAGACATTACCTTGCCAACAAAGGTCCGTATAGTTAAAATCATGGTTTTCAGAAGTTGAACTGGAAATGCGGCTTCTGTTTTGAGCTTTCCGTATTGAGGCTTCCATTTTGAGGCTTCCGCTTTCAGTTTTCAAACGTTTTGGAACTCGAACGGACTTCCAGAAACCAAGGTACCACTGTACTTTTTTTTTTATTTGCAAAAGATGGTAAGACATCTTTTCCAGACAAGAGCAAGAGCATCGCGTGATACTGAGGACAATCCTAGGACGACGGTAGGAGTTTTCCCTTTTTGTTTTCCAATGTATTTCTTATCAATAATAATAATAATAAAAATTCGGTGTGGAGCGAGCAATTTTTCATTCTGATAGTGTGGCCCAGAGGAAAAAGGTTTGAGAACCACCGATCTATATGCTAACTCTAAGCCTCTAAGTTCTGTTCGAGATATAACCGCATAAATGCACACGTTCATCGGCAAGATGGTGCTACTTATTTGATAAGGGAAAGTGTTGTTGTATATAATCGGAGCTCGACAAGGAACATCTGGAGTTGCTCCAATGATGCATCATCACTGGGGTATTTCGGAGGCACTGTTTTGTCGTCATTAGCATAGCTGAGGAACATGGCCGCACAGCAGGTGAGGGCAAAGAGAGATACCCAGCTGTTCCGCGGAAAGACCGTCTGTTGCAGGGAGGAGATAAAGAAAATACAGGGCACTCTCATGATTCTGGGCAGGTGGAAAACTGGCAGCGAAATAATAATAATAATAATAATAGTAGTAACAATAGTAATAGTAATAATGATAATAATAATAATATATTTATACCCCGCCCATCTGGCTGAGTTTCCCCAGTCACTCTGGGCGGCTCCCAACAGAATATTAAAAACACGATAAAACATCAGCCATTAAAAACGTCCCTAAACAAGGCTGCCTTCAGATGACTCCTAAAAGCCAGGTAGTTGTTTATTTCCCTGATATCTGATGGGAGGATGTTCGACAGGGTGGGCGCCACCACTGAGAAGGACCTCTGCCTGGTTCCCTGTAACTTGGCTTCTCACAGTGAGGGAACTGCCAGAAGGCCCTCGGAGGTGGACCCCAGCGTCCGGGCAGAACAATGGGGGTGGAGACGCTCCTTCAGGTATACTGGGCTGAGGCCGCTTATGGCTTTAAAGGTCAGCAGCAACACTTTGAATTGTGCTCGGAAACGTACTGGGAGCCAATTTAGGTCTTTCAGGACCGGTGTTATGTGGTCTCAGGGGCCACCCCCAGTCACCAGTCTAGCTGCCGCATTCTGGATTAATTGTAGTTTCCAGGTCACCTTCAAAGGTAGCCCAACGTAGAGCGCATTGCAGTAGTTTAAGCGGGAGATAACCAGAGCATGCACCACTCTGGCGAGACAGTCTGCGGGCAGGTAGGGTTTCAGCCTGCATACCAGTTGGAGCTTGTAGACAGCTGCCCAGGACACAGAATTGACCTGTGCATCCATGGACAGCTGTGAGTCTAAAATGGCTTCCAGGTTACGCACCTGGTCCTTCAGGGGCACAGTTATCCCATTCTTCAATCCCGTATGCTGATAGCAAATCCAAGGTTGCATCCACACCAAACATCTAAAGCACCACTTTAACAGTCACAGAGAACCCTGAGAAGTGTGGTTTGTTAAGAGTGCTGGAAACTGTAGCTCTTCTTAACAATCCAGAGTTCCCATGACTCTTTGGGAGATGTTATGAATGTTAAAGTGGTGTCAGGGTGTGGATGTGACCCCTACGTGGCTAAAATGGGACCTTCCACATGAGAGGGAAGTATCAGCAGAAACATACACAAACACATTAAGTGGGGGGGACGGGACCCTAAGAAGTGAGCCTCAGAAATAGCCCAGTGTAGACTGTACCAGTCACTGTAAGTCACCACAGAAAGCTGGTTGAAGCAGAAAATTGGACTTGGGCAGAGGAAGGGAATGGAGTATCATGAGGAAGGGCATGCAAGGCAGAGGAATGGAATGGAGTATCCTGCGAAAGGGTATCCAAGGTAGAGGAACGGAACAGAGTATCCTGCAGAAGGGTATTCAAGGCAGAGGAATGGAATGGAGTATCCTGCGAAAGGGCATGCAAGGCAGAGGAATGGAACGGAGTATCCTGCGAAAGAGCATGCAAGGCAGAGGAATGGAACAGAGTATTCTGCACAATTCCCTCTTGCTGTTGTTTTCCCCTGCGGCAGATGAAACGAGGAAGCTGGATCGGCCTCTTGGCCATCGCCTGCTGCGTGGCTTTCCTCCTGGGCCGCCTTGAGAGCGCCGGAACCACCCCAATTCCCCGGCTATGATGTTTCGTTAGAAGTCCTAGAAGACTATGAAGAGCAACTTGAAGGATTTATTGAGCAAGAGAGAAGGTAAAAAGCGTTGTCTCCTATCCTGTTTATCTACATGAAACCACTGTTAGTGGGGTCATCCATAGTTTTGGAGTATGTAAGGAATATACTGGAACGCGGGTGGCACTGTGGTCTAAATCACTGAGCCTCTTGGGCTTGCCAATCAGAAGGTCGGGGGTTCGAATCCCCACAATGGGGTGAGCTCCCGTTGCTCTGTTCTAGCTCCTGCCAACCTAGCAGTTCGAAAGCACACCAGTGCAAGTAGATAAATAGGTACCACTCCGGTGGGAAGGTAAACAATGTTTCATTGCGTTCTGGCTTTTGTCACAGTGTCACATTGTGGAGAAGCGGTTTAGTCATGCTGGCCAAGGTAAATGGCGTTTCCGTGCACTGCTCTGGTTCGCCAGAAGTGGCATAGTCATGCTGGCCACATGACCCTTTACCCTTTACCTTTAATGAATATACTGATGACATGCAGCTCTGCTTCTCCTTTACATTGGCAGGAGGGGCAGTGGATGTGCTGGGCTGGATGAGAGCCAACAAACTGAAGCTCAATCCAGACACTGGATTGAGGCACTGTTAGTGGCTGTTTCTCTAGAACAGATGGATGGGAGGTGGCCTGCTCTCTCTCTCTCTTTGAAATTGTTTTTATTTGACTTTACAAATATAAATTTATAACAACACCAAATACATATCCGTACAGTGGTATCTTGGTTTACGGCATGGGTAGGCAAACTGAGGCTTCGGGGGGGGGGGGGGCAAGATCCGGCACAATCGCCTTCTAAATCCGGCCTGCGGACAGTCCGGGAATCAGCGTCAAAAGTTATTTTAAACATTCTTTTCAGTTCATTATATATCATTTCCCAGAAAGCTTTTATTACCTTACATGACCACCACATATGATAAAAGGTACCTTCTTTTTCTTCACATTTCCAGCAGATATTTGCACTTGTTTTATACATTTTTGCTAACTACATGAGTAGAATGTGCCCTTTTATTTAAAATGCATCTCTGGGTTATTTGTGGGGGATGGGAATTCATTCATTTCCCCCCTCCAAAATATAGTTCCGTCCCCCCCGCAAGGTCTGAGGGACAGTGGACCGGCCCCCTGCTGAAAAAGTTTGCTGACCCCTGGTTTATGAACTTAATCCATTCCCGAAGTCCATTCTTAAACCAAAGCGTTCTCAAACCAAGGCATGCTTTCCCATAGCAGTGGGGGACTCAATTTACAAATGGAACATACTCAACATGTTCTGCTTCCAAGGCAAAGTTCACAAACCAAAACACCTACTTCTGGGTTTGCAGCGTTGTTTCCAAGTTGTTCATAAACTAAGCTGCTCTTAAACCAAGGTACCACTGTTTAAAGAGATTTCTCTGAATCTTGAGACTTCCCCCATCCCCTCCATGGGTCCTTTTGTCAGACTTTGATTTTGAATTGATTTTAGAATGTATTTTAATTAATTGACTGTGATTTTATGTAAATTGTGCTATTTTTACTGTTGTTAACCACTCTGAGTCCAGCTTTGGCTGGGGTGGGCGGGATATAAATATTATTATTATTATTATTATTATTATTATTATTATTATTATTATGCCTGCACTCCACAAACACAATTTTCTTTCTCCACACTGAGGTGTCAGAAACACACACCTGCTGAGGACGACCAGTAATACAAGACCCAAAGGGCCGTTCTCTGTGCATGCAACAGCCTAAGCGAGAACTGATTCGCTTTACTTCTATCCCCAAGGGCATGGGCAAAAGATGGAAGGCTATATGTTGGACTGACCAGTGCCTAGACTGACTGATGAACAGCACTGGTAAGTTGGATTCTAGGAGCTGGGCTGGTGTGGGAAGCAGAGAAGTGGCGCCCGCCCAGTGGAACGCCCTCCCATCAGTTGTCAAAGAGATAAACAACTACCTGACATTTAGAAGATATCTGAAGGCAGCCCTGTTCTGGGAAGTTTTTCATGTGTTACATTTGAATGTATCTTTAAACTTTGTTGGAAGCAGACCAGAGTGGCTGGGGAAACCCAGCCAGATGGGCAGGGTACAAATAAATTTTTATTATTATTATTATTATTATTATTATTATTATTATTATTATTTTCACTTATATTATTATATTTTCGCTTACAAAATGAGATGAGCCATTTGTGAACATCATGCGCTCAGCTCCAGGAACATCTTACCTCTCGCTTGGCATGTGTCGAGGCAGTTTTCGTGAGTGGCCAATGGTGAGCGAGTGGCACTCTGCAGATGCTCAGAGGCATCTGGTTCTGGTTGACTAGCATCAACACTGCCCTGGAAGCCATGCTCTAGTGGGCATGATTCCCAGGGTCCCTTCCAACTCGACAATTCTATGGTTCTAGGCCAGTGGTGGTGAACCTATGGCACACATGCCAGAGAGGGCACTCAGAGTCCTCTCTGTGGGCACGTGCAACATCACCCCAATAGGACCATAGCTTCTGTGCTGGGGGTGGGGGAGGAGTGCGGAGGAGAGGAGGGCTGGCATTAGGGTTCGGGTCAGGATTAGAATTAGGGTTAGGGTCAGTGTTGTTTTATGTTTTCTTGTGATTTTGAGTCATTTGCGGTTGGTTTGCTTTTTCCAATTTCTTGTGCTGCTGCTTTTTCACAAGTTGCAAGTTTGTGAGCTTTGTGGTTTTCTGGAAAGTCTCAGTTTTTATTTTAAATGCAGCCCTGGTGCTGAGGGAGAGAAGGCTGGACCGGGGCAGCAAGCAATCAGGCAGGGGATGTTGCTGCTGCCCCCCATCACTGTTCTAGGCGAATGCGGGTGACACTGTGGGTTAAACCACAGAGCCTAGGACTTGCCGATCAGAAGGTCGGCAGTTAGAATCCCCGCGACGGGGTGAGCTCCCGTTGCTCAGTCCCTGCTCCTGCCAACCTAGCAGTTCGAAAGCATGTCAAAGTGCAAGTAGATCAATAGGTACCGCTCCGGTGGGAAGGTAAATGGTGTTCCCGTGCGCTGCTCTGGTTCGCCAGAAGCGGCTTAGTCATGCTGGCCACATGACCCGGAAGCTGTACGCCGGCTCCCTCGGCCAATAAAGTGAGATGAGCACCGCAACCCCAGAGTCAGTCACGACTGGACCTAATGGTCAGGGGTCCCTTTACCTTTACCTTGTCTCATTCTTTTCAGTTCCATTTCCCACAAATGCCCACTAGATGGAGCTAAATTATTATTATTTTTTAACCTTTGCTGTGTAGCGCAGAATGTTCTTCATCTGCAGCTCCCACTGACCACCAATTTTTAAAAATTCATTGCTTGGCTTTTTAAAAAAATCTTTTGATATTGCTTTTGATATTAATTTTTTGGAGGTGGTGGTAGAGGCTGGCAGGTCATCTTGGAAATGTTTTTACATGGAGTGGGGGTGGCGGCGGCGGCGGACTCAATATATATATTTGTTGGGAAATATTGGATTGTTTTATTTTTTTCTCCAGGTCTGTGCCAAGAAAAGTTGGACTACATTACTGCCATAGTGGACATGTTGGAAAAGTGGTCTCTTTTCGATTTTGTCCAGTTTCCTTTTCCACAGATGCGAACCGGTGTTGCCCACAGAAGCCCTTTCTGTCTTCCTTACTTAATTATGGCTCAATCAGATAATTAGAATTTAAATGAAGTGAAAACTGCATTGTGTCACTTCTTTTATTTCCCCCCCTTTCCAGATTGTTAGATCTGAAATCATATCCAATGGGGCTTATTTTCCATAACGGGAATAAGAAAACCCTGACCTACTAGATAATGTCAGCCATGTGTTCGACAGCTGCAAAAATACACAAATTCCATGCTAGAAATCATTAGGAAAAGTATAGAAAACACTTATCAAAATGAGGATAAGGCTGTTTTAGGCTTTGGACTTGATGGTGGTGGGCATGCTATCCTGGATTACTCTGTTTCTTTCAAAATGTGGCAAGATGATGATAATAATAATAATAATATCATTTATACCCCGCCCATCTGGCCGGGTTTCCCCAGCCACTCTGGGCAGCTCCTAACAGAATATTAAAAACACAATTAAACATCAAACATTCAAAACTTTCCGAAACAGGGCTGCCTTCAGATGTCTTCTAAAAGTCAGATTGCACCCTCCTCATTGAGATAAGTGGGGTCCTGTCCTTTTGCCCGACAATTGTGGCTTAGGGTGGCTATTTTACACCCCTCACACAAACACCAATGACAAACGAGGATGCAGGTATGCATTGTTGTTGTTGTTGTTTAGTCGTTTAGTCATGTCCGACTCTTCGTGACCCCATGGACCAGAGCACTCCAGGCACTCCTGTCTTCCACTGCCTCCCGCAGTTTGGTCAAACTCATGCTGGTAGCTTCGAGAACACTATCCAACCATCTCGTCCTCCGTCGTCCCCTTCTCCTTGTGCCCTCCATCTTTCCCATCATCAGGGTCTTTTCCAGGGTGTCTTCTCTTCTCACGAGGTGGCCAAAGTACTGGAGCCTCAGCTTCAAGATCTGTCCTTCCAGTGAGCACTCAGGGCTGATTTCGTCCAGAATGGATAGGTTTGATCTTCTTGCAGTCCATGGGACTCTCAAGAGTCTCCTCCAGCACCATAATTCAAAAGCATCAATTCTTCGGTGATCAGCCTTCTTTATGGTCCAGCTCTCACTTCCATACATCACTACTGGGAAAACCATAGCTTTAACTATACGGACCTTCGTTGGCAAGGTGATGTCTCTGCTTTAACCCAAACCCTGCTTTTGCACAAATAAAGGCTAGTGGGACCCAGAGAAATCACGTTTGCCGGGAGCGTCGCCCTTTTAAGGAGGCGCTGCCCCCTAGAGGCCGCTCCGAGGAGCGACGCGAGCCAGTCCGGAGCCTCGCCTCGCCAGATCCAGAGCCGCGGGAATTCGCAGCGGCTTCGGAGCGCAGCGATTCCATCCATCCATCCATCCATACCATCGCATCCCAGCTTCGCTCGCTCGCTCCTCCGGCGTCTCCGTCGCCTGTGCACCGAAGCAGGTGAGCGGCGGCCGCGTTCCTTTCCCTCTTTGCCTCCCCTATTCATTCACGCCGTTTCCCCTTCCTACACGCCATGGAGCGTGTTTAATCAGAGCGCGCCTAACAACGTGGGAGTTTCCCCCCTGCCGGGTCTTTGATCTTCCTCCCCTCTTCTCCGTTCTACCCCCGCCCCCGCCTCCTCTAAACACACAACGCCATCAATCCCAGGCTTGCACTCCGCGACCCCCACCACCCCAATTCGGATTTTAACACCCCCCTCTTCTTGTGTGAAATAGAGACCTTCGTCTTTGATGGCGAAGACGCGCCTCTTCATTTTCAAGCTCTCGCCGACCACCCCACCCCCTAATTCTTGCCGCTAGGTCGCAGGGGCGCCTTTCACACAGCTTCCCCCCCCCCCAAACCCCTTTATGATCTGAATATTTGCAGTGGGTCCCTTTCCTCTTCATTGCATCCTCCTCCCCGCCCCCTACCCTTGCCTTACTCCTTGCTTTTGATGATGGCTGCTTCGCGCGTGGAAATCCGGCGTTGCAATTCATTCCCCAGCCCGCAACAGGAGGAGGGTGATGCCCTGGGTGCTACTGTCGGCTTTTAATCCGGTTTCTCTTTAATTATTTTTATTTTAACTATTTAACTATTTAATTTAATTAATTTTTATTTTAATTATTTAATTATTTTTATTTTTAATTAAATTTGTATACTGCCCTATACCCCCCACCCCACCCCACGGGTCACATTGATTGATGGATTGCGTTTGATCCCATCCTTTTTCTCTCCACGGAGCTCAAAGGGGGCAGACATGGTTCTTCTGTCTCCCCTCATTTAAGCCCCACAACAACCATGCGAGGGAGGCTGCCAGTGAGCGAGCTTCACGGCCGAGTGGGGATTTGAAACCTGGCCTCCTAGTCCAACGCTCTTAACCCATTTTAATGTATTTTTAATCTTTGTTGGAAGCCGCCCAGAGTGGCTGGGGAAACCCAGCCAGAAGGGCGGGGTGCAAATAATAAATTACTATTACTGTGCCACGCTGGCTCCTAGTGCCATAGACCTGCCCTTACCCCAGAAGTAAGTCCCACATGGTTTACTCCCAAGCAAGCTGGTAGAGCATTGCAGCCTTCGTTTTTCGGTTTCCTTCTCCTATCCTCCAATCACGTTTTTTATTTTGATTGCTTTTGGGTGAGGCTTGCAAAGTGGGGTCCCTCTTCTCATTCTGTTCTGGCAGAGAGGAAGGGGATAACTGTCACAGACATTGTACAGTGGTACCTCGGGTTAAGTGTTTAATTTGTCTCGGAGGTCCGTACTTAACCTGAAACTGTTCTTAACCTGAAGCACCACTTTAGCTAATGGGGCCTCCTCCTGCTGCCGCGCCGCCGGAGCACGATTTCTGTTCTCATCCTGAAGCAAAGTTCCTAACCTGAAGCACTATTTCTGGGTTAGCGGAGTCTGTAACCTGAAGCGTATGTAACTTGAAGCGTATGTAACCTGAGGTACCACTGTAGAGTTAAAAGGGACCACAAGGGTCATCTGAGGGATGCGGGTGACGCTGTGGGTTAAACCACAGAGCCCAGGACTTGCCGATCAGAAGGTCAGCGGTTCGAATCCCCGCGACGGGGTGAGCTCCCTTTGCTCGGTCCCTTCTCCTGCCAACCTAGCAGTTCAAAAGCATGTCAAAGTGCAAGTAGATAAATAGGTACCGCTCCGGCGGGAAGGTAAACGGCGTTTCCGTGCGCTGCTCTGGTTCGCCAGAAGCGGCTTAGTCATGCTGGCCACATGACCTGGAAGCTGTACACCGGCTCCCTCAGCCAATAAAGCGAGATGAGCGCCGCAACCCCAGAGTCGGCCACGACTGGACCTAATGGTCAGGGGTCCCTTTACCTTTACAAGGGTCATCTAGTCCAGCCCCCTGCAATGCAGGACTACTTTTGCCCTATGTGGGACTTGAACCCACAACCCTGAGATGAAGAGTCTCATGCTTTACCAGCCGAGCTATCCCAGGGTATATACATCACCACAGCCTGTTGGTTTAGAGTTGTACACCCTGGAATATCAAAGGACCTGAAATGCTATACAACCCTAAACCAGGCGGGGCAATAAATTTTATATATATATATATATATATATATATATATATATATATTAATTAAAAGCCCTACCCTGTATTGGGGGATGTGGAAGGTTAAAGGTCAACCATTTTAGGAAAGGGAGTAGCACTTGAGAGCCATAATGCCTAAGAGTGCTCCTTTTTATCCCCTCCCCATTAATGTTATTGTCATCGTAACAGTTACAATAAAGAAACATGTCATCTGTCATCTTTAGCTGAGATTCCTGCATTGTAGGGGGTTGGGCTAGATGACCTCTGAGGTCCCTTCCATCTTTATAATTCTATGTCCAATGTGACATTCTGGTGAGTGTTTCAGCTCAGAAACTGTTCTATAGAATACAGTTCCGCCGAGTTCAGTTGTGCTCCTTTTAATTTTTAATCCCATCCTTATCCAAGGAAATTATTATTATTATTATTATTATTACTCGTTTCATTTCTATACCATCATGTATTTTAAAGAAAAAAGGGTGATGTATTCAGTTCTCTCCTCCTTGGTTTATCCTTGCAACTACCCTGGGAGGTAGGTTAGGCAGAGAGAAAGGCAGGGACAGAGAGGCAGAAAGAGATACTGGCCCAATGTCTCCTAGTGAACTTAAATGACTGAATGAGGATTTGAACCCAGGTCTTGCCAGTCCTAGGGCAGATTCACACTATGCATCAGGATAATCATAAAACACAACAGGAATACAATGAATTGCAACTGGGTATAACAGAGACAATACAGATATAGCGGCAGTTAAAAATATATATTAAACCCTGATCACTAAAATATAACCTAAAATTGTCATTTAAAACCTTAATCATTTTGGTAGTACAGCTTGTTCCCTAAGTTTTGTGGCACCATGCATCTAAAGCCCATGAACAACTCTCCACCCCCCAAAAGTTTTTAGGAACGGGGCGGGGGTTGGGACTTTGGTAATACAGCACCCTGGGAAAGGACGCAAGTTGGTGCCCTCCCCTCTCTCACCTTCCATTCTGCGCATGCTCTCAGTGTCCTGTGCGGGGAAACTGAATCCAGCGCTGCTGGGAACTACAGTTCCCTGAATTCTTGTAGGGTAGCCATCCGCTTTAAACGTGTGTTGGATGTGGTTTAAGTGCAAGGTGTAAATCGGCCTCTAGTCTGTCACCCGAAACACTCTGCTGCCCTGGTTCTTGCTGGTGAGGGTGCCATCATATCGGTATCATACTTACTATCTGAGTCTGAACAGGCACCTGTTGTCCACTAGATGCCCTTATTCTCAAACTCCAGGGGTCAGCAAACTTTTTTCAGCAGGGGGCCGGTCCACTGTCCCTCAGACCTTGTGGGGGGCCGGACTATATTTTGAAAAAATAAAATAAAAATGAATGAATTCCTATGCCCCACAAATAACCCAGAGATGCATTTTAAATAAAAGGACACATTCTACTCATGTAAAAACACCAGGCAGGCCTCACAAATAACCCAGAGATGCATTTTAAATAAAAGGGCACATTCTACTCATGTAAAAACACGCTGATTCCCGGACCGTCCGCGGGCTGGATTTAGAAAGCGATTGGCCTGGATCCAGCCACCGGATTTGCCTACCCATGGGTTTGCCTACCCATGTCCAACTCCCATCTGCCCCAGGGAGCATGCCCAGTGGTCAGGAATGATTGAAAACAATAGTCTGCAGACATATGTATGAGATTAGCACACCTTCGCCAGGTAGATGCAGGAGAGGCAAAGAGGGAACTGGGTTGGTGCGACTTTGTAGCAAGAGAGGGGAACCTGTGGCCCATCAGTGCTCTCTAGGTGACCCTCCGATCTCCCCCCCCCTTAGGTTACACCCCTCACTGGTCCTAATTTGCACGCCCAGATATTTTTGCCTAGTTAGAATGAAAGAGGCGCATGCGACTGTGTGTAGAAATGAGCCCACTTACATGGGTAAAAATTGCAATTATTACTCCACCCACTTTTGGCCCTGGCCCCGCCCACCACTGACAATGTGGCCCCCAAACGGTTGCCCAGAAGGGGCATGTGGCCCTTCAGCTGAAATCATTTCCCCACCTCTGGTCTTGACACGACAAGTTTCACCTGCCACAATTCCCTCTTCTGCACAATTTTCAAAGTTGCAGATGTCCTAGCCCCTGCTGCGGTCCAGGCACAGACATTGCATACTTTTAGAAAGTTGATTAGCGAAACGTGGCGTTACTAGGAACCACCCCAAGTATTTTGTGTCTATTTTTGATTTGTCGGGGTTCTAATACGGTAGAAAATAAAGCGCCTCTTGGCTTGCCTTGTGGGTAGAAAGTCTTTAGTTTTTAAGAAAGAAAGGTAAAGGACCCCTGGCAGTTAAATCCAGTCGCAGATGCCTCTGGGGTTGCAGCGCTCATCTCGCTTTAAAGGCCGAGGGAGTCGGCGTTTGTCCGCAGACAGTTTTTCCGGGTCATGTGGTAGCACGACTAAGCCGCTTCTGGTGAAACCAGAGCAGTGCACGGAAACACTGTTTACCTTCCCGCCAGAGAGGTACCTATTTATCTACTTGCCTTGCGTGCTTTCGAACTGCTAGGCTGGCAGGAGCTGGGACCGAGCAATGGGAGCTCACCTCGTGGCAGGGATTCGAACTGCTGACCTTTTGTTCAGCAAGCCTGAGAGGCTCGGTGGTTTAGACCACAGCGCCACCCGCATCCCATGCTTTTAAATAAATAGTTTTTAAGAACTACAGTGGTACCTTGGGTTAAGTACTTAATTCGTTCTGGAGGTCCGTACTTAACCTGAAACTGTTCTTAACCTGAAGACCACTTTAGCTAATGGGGCCTCCCGCTGCCGCCATGCGATTTCTGTTCTCATCCTGAAGCAAAGTTCTTAACCCGAGGTACTATTTCTGGGTTAGCGGAGTCTGTAACCTGAAGCATCTGTAACCTGAAGGGTATGTAACCTGAGGTACCACTGTATTGTTGAACTCATAATAGCTTATATAGGTTCATATATAACTCAGTTGGTAAAACATGGGACTCTTAATTTCAGGGTTGTGGGTTCGAGAACCATGTTGGGGTTGGACTAGATGACCCCTGGTCCAATTTTACAATTCTATGATTCTATAATACACAAAAGTGATTTACCATGATTTCGGCATTCTAGAGGTGAATATGGTTGGAGCGGGGCAGGGGCAGCGGTGGCACAAACCCTACAGTTTTCTTGCAAATTAAAACTTATACAGGGGTTAATAACAGGTTAATAACAGTTTCAGGTTAAGTACCGACCTCCGGAATCAATTAAGTACTTAACCCGAGGTACCACTGTATTCTAATTGCAGTTTCAAGATTTATAGTTATAAGAATGGTTGGACTGGGTGGGGGGTTGTGGTGGGGGAGGGATGAGTTGCACGTTGACACATAAAATGATTACTTAAAAATTCCCAAGGATAAAAGGACTTTAAAAAGAGGGGAGGAAGCAACCATTTAAGTGTGGTGCTAATGAAAGTGGGAAAATAATGGAAACTAAATCTCAGCGGTTCTTTTTTTTTAAAAAAAATGCATATGAAATTTTATTTCAGCTGCGCTCTGCTCATCCTCAAAATGGCTCTCTCCGTGGTACCGCTTCTGCCCGTTTCGAAAACTGCTGACAATAAAGAGGGCATTTGTGTGTTTTTCTTTGAAAACAAAGAGCAGCAAACATTGGAGCTTTCCATCAGCCTGAGTGGAGCAGGGTCTTACATAAGGGGGAATGTGGTGATAGGCTGGTAGCACAGAGCAGCTCAGCAGCCTACGATTTCCCCCTTCCCCCCCCCCTCAGCCCCATGGCAGGTCCTAGCTTGTCACGTGAAATCAGGCTCCTATAATCCAGAAGGCTACTGCTTTTGAATGGATGATGTCGGAATCCTTTTCAGCTGCTGGGGAGGGGAAAAAAGGCTGGAGGAGGCTGCTGAGTGAGTATGTAGGATTTGTATCTGTCTCTGTGTGTGAGAGAGAGCTGTTTTACGATGAGATTGATGCTTCCCTAGAGACCATGGCGGCGTAGGCACTAACCTGCTTGCAGCGCAAAAATGTCATTTCCCCCTCAATCCGGAATCGTGTATGGTTATCCTAAGTGCGCTGCTTTCAGCCTAGATTGAGTCTGGATCATAGCTGTCAAATTTTTCCTTTTTTAAATGGAAGTTCCCTTATTCCGAATAGGATTCCTCGCAAGAAAAGGGAAAAGTTGACAGCTATGGTCTGGATCCTGCCATCCCCAATGGTTGGGGTGGATTCAAGTTTCAAGAAAGGGGATTTCGACTAACTACCAGGTGGCGCTGTGGGTTAAACCACAGAGCCTAGGACTTGCCGATCAGAAGGTCGGCGGTTCGAATCCCCGCAACGGGGTGAGCTCCCGTTGCTCGGTCCCTGCTCCTGCCAACCTAGCAGCTTGAAAGCACGTCAAAGTGCAAGTAGATAAATAGGTACCACTCTGGCGGGAAGGTAAACGGCGTTTCCGTGTGCTGCTCTGGTTCACCAGAAGTGGCTTAGTCATGCTGGCCACATGACCAAGAAGCTGTACGCCGGCTCCCTCGGCCAATAAAGCGAGATGAGCACTGCAACCCCAAAGTCGTCCGCAACTGGGCCTAATGATCAGGGGTCCCTTTACCTTAACAGGAATAACTTTCTGGTGGTGGAAGCTATTGGGCAGTGGAACGGACTCCCTCAAAAACAGGTGGGCTTCACTGGTTTGTTTTTTATAGAAGAGGTTGGACGACCATCTGTCATGGATGCTTAGGTTTGAGATTCCTGCATTGCCAGGGGTTGGACTGGATGACCCTGAAGGGTCCCTTGCAGCTCGATAGTTCTGTGATTCGCTAGTTCCTTGATACGTGCTTGAAAACCCACTCTTAGATGAGGTTTTCCTTTTCCTCCCTGCTCATGCCCCAGGTGAACAGAAGAGGAGGAAGCGGTGATCAGGGTGGATAAAAATCAATGATATTTTTTAAATAAATAAATAAATCAGATTTTTAAAATTTAAATCGGATTTTTTAAAAAAATAATAATTGGATTTTTAAAATAAAATCCTTTTGGAGGAAAAAAAAATCTTTCTAAATATAGTTTTCTATTTAAGTTACATTATAGTCCAAAGGCTATTCATCAGGAAATAAGGATTTGTTTTAAGTTTTTCATGTGTGCTAAAACTCAGTTTTTTAAAAAATTGTTTAACCACAACAGTTAACAAACATGGATACATATGCTATAATGTTATTGTTTTAGTTAAATAAATTGTTTAAATTGTTATGAAGGAAATGATTGTTTTTCTCTTTCCAATAAAGTACAGCAGAAAAGTTAAAACAGTTAACTTATTAAACCTCACAATAATTTTGTAATTATCGGTCTATGTATTTCGAACAGTATAACCAAGTCAGTAATTTTTGATATAACTTGTAAAAACTACTCTGAAAATTTATTAATCCAAAAATGAAACCTTCATCTGGTTGTAAATATTAAGATTATACCAGCAAGAATGAGTCTTTCTGTAAAAACAAACAAACAGATTTAAATCAAGTCTTAGAATCATAGAATCATAGAACCATAGAGTTGGAAGAGACCATAAGGGCCATCGAGTCCAACCCCCTGCCAAGCAGGAAACACCATCAGAGCACTCCTGACATATGGTTGTCAAGCCTCTGCTTAAAGACCTCCAAAGAAGGAGACTCCACCACACTCCTTGGCAGCAAATTCCACTGTTGAACAGCTCTTACTGTCAGGAAGTTCTTCCTAATGTTTAGGGGGAAATCTTCTTTCTTGTAGTTTGGATCCATTGCTCCGTGTCCGCTTCTCTGGAGCAGCAGAAAACAACCTTTCTCCCTCCTCTATGTGACATCCTTTTATATATTTGAACATGGCTATCATATCACCCCTTAACCTCCTCTTCTCCAGGCTAAACATGCCCAGCTCCCTTAGCCGTTCCTCATAAGGCATCGTTTCCAGGCCTTTGACATTTTGGTTGCCCTCCTCTGGACACGTTCCAGTTTGTCAGTGTCCTTCTTGAACTGTGGTGCCCAGAACTGGACACAGTACTCCAGGTGAGGTCTGACCAGAGCAGAATACAGTGGCACTATTACTTCCCTTGATCTAGATGCTATACTTCTATTGATGCAGCCCAGAACTGCATTGGCTTTTTTAGCTGCCGCGTCACACTGTTGGCTCATGTCAAGTTTGTGGTCAACCAAGACTCCTAGATCCTTTTCACATGCACTGCTCTCAAGCCAGGTGTCCCCCATCTTGTATTTGTGCCTCTCATTTTTTTTTGCCCAAGTGCAATACTTTACATTTCTCCCTGTTAAAATTCATCTTGTTTGTTTTTGCCCAGTTCTCTAATCTGTCAAGGTCGTTTTGAAGTGTGATCCTGTCCTCTGGGGTGTTAGCCACCCCTCCCAGTTTGGTGTCATCTGCAAATTTGATCAGGATGCCCTTGAGTCCATCATCCAAGTCGTTGATAAAGATGTTGAATAAGACCGGGCCCAAGACAGAACCCTGTGGCACCCCACTAGTCACTCTTCTCCAGGATGAAGAGGAACCATTGATGAGCACCCTTTGGGTTTGGTCAGTCAGCCAGTTACAAATCCACTGAGTGGTAGCATAGTCAAGACCGCATTTTACCAGCTTCTTTACAAGAATATCATGGGGCACCTTGTCAAATGCCTTGCTGAAATCAAGGTAGGCTACATCCACTGCGTTCCCTTCATCTACCAGGCTTGTAGATTACTGACTAGTGATTTAAATTGTGATTTAAATCTATTTGATTTAAATTAAATCCACCCTGGCGGTGTTTGTGATCTTGGTACACACCCAGTCACAACATCATGGGGCAGGTATGGATACACACACTGCACAGACGACCTTCTTCTGTTTTCAAATGTACACATTGTGGGGTAATGCAGAATCAATCTGTGGTTTTTGGAACGGAAACCAGTTCCTCAAGAAGCACTTTTCAGGGACTAAAAATACGCAAGATCTCGATGGTGTTTGGACTATGTGGAATAAGCAAGTACTCAATCTCCATTGATTCTAAAATAAAATGTCTCAGCCTGCAACAAATCTCTCGCCAACCCTGGACTGCTTGTAAGGATGCAGACAGGCAGGTGGGAACTGGCTGAGAGCAGACTGAGGTTGTTGGGGCCATTTGCCCCATTTGCCCTAAGGAACCAACCTCCTCCCTACCCACCCACTTTCCAGTTCTCCTTCCAGTCCTCCTATCCCTTAAGCACAGGTAAGGGCCTCATCCAGCCAGCATGCTGCTCACAGTTGTGCAATCAATCGTTCTTAATTCTCTTTCCTTGACAATCCTCTTATCCACTGGCAAAATTCACGAGCTCTGCTTTATGGCTGGCACATGGCGTCAGAAAACTTGTAGACAATGCCACACACTACTAAGGAAATATGCAGGGGTTTTCCTGACACCCGGCTTTGGCTGTCTGCCCCAGAAGTAATAGGTGTTCAAAATTAGCCAGGTGCCAGGCGCCAGGCATATTTTGTACCTGGCTATCAGACACTTAAGGGACGCCGGTGGCGCTGTGGGTTAAACCACAGAGCCTAGGACTTGCCAATCAGAAGGTCAGCGGTTCGAATCCCCACGACGGGGTGAGCTCCCATTGCTCAGTCCCTGCTCCTGCCAACCTAGCAGTTCGAAAGCACATCAAAGTGCAAGTAGATAAATAGGTACCGCTCCGGCGGGAAGGTAAACAGCGTTTCCGTGTGCTGCTCTGGTTCGCCAGAAGCGGCTTAGTCATGCTGGCCACATGACCCGGAAGCTGTGCGCTGGCTCCCTTGGCCAATAAAGCAAGATGAGTGCCGCAACCTCAGAGTCGGCCACCTGCGTCCCTGATGTCACCAGAACTAGCCAGATGTTTAACTGAGACTCAATCACAACCAGTCCATCATTTCAAAAATAAGGCTTTATCGTTGCCTTGTCCCCAAATGGCAAGTAGGCATTCTGTTTTGGTGACCGAAACCTTTATTTCGCAGGGGTCAGCAAACATTTTCAGCAGGGGGCCGGTCCACTGTCCCTCAGACCTTGGGGGGAAGGGTGGCGGACTATATTGTGGGAAAAAAATATGAACGAATTCCTATGCCCCACAAATAACCTAGAGATGCATTTTAAATAAAAGCACACATTCTACTCATGTAAAAACACGCTGATTCCCGGATCGTTCGTGGGCCAAATTTAGAAGGTGATTAGTTTGCCTACCCATGGTTTATGGAGTCATTTGGCACCTAGATTATATACCTGAGTTTTAATAATAATAATAATAATAATAATAATAATTTATTATTGATACCCTGCCCATCTGGCTGAGTTTCCTAAGTCACTCTGGGCAGCTCCCAACAGAATATTAAAAACACGACAAAACATCAAACATTAAAAACTTCCCTAAACAGGGCTGCCTTCAGATGTCTTCTAAAAGTCAGATAGTTGTTTATTTCCTTGACATCTGATGGGAGGGCATTCCACAGGGTGGGTGCCACTACCGAAAAGGCCCTCTGCCTGGTTCCCTGCAACCTCACTTCTCACAGAGAGGGAACTGCCAAAAAGCCCTCGGAGCTGGACCTCATTGTCTGGGCTGAACGATGGGGGTGGAGACGCTCCTTCAGGTATACTGGGCTGAGGTCCGTGCCTTTCACACTGTGTTTTGCTACTCTGATTTCCAGCTAGCCTCCCTGCCAGCTCAGAAACCCTCTGGCTCTCTCTCCAGGCTCTCAATTCCATTTCTTGTTAGACCAGAGATGGGCAATCTTTGGTCCTGGAACCTGAATGTGACCCCCAGGTCTTTCTGTCTGGCCCTTGGGAAATACCCCAGGCGATATTTTCCCCAGTGTTGCTCCACACCCTCTTTGAGTGCTTTTGCCTGGCTAGCAGAACGCACCTTTGACCTGCTGTAAAGAATATTTCTTGCTCAGCTGGCTAGAAGATGGAAAGATGGTGTGAGCTGATGTGTACTGTATGTAGAAACCTTTCGATTCCGTGTGTGCCTGTCACAGCCTACTTTACAAAGGTACTTCCTGCAGCCAACCTGTTTCTTTCTGTCCCTTCCTCCAGGGATGCCTTGCCACTGATCGTAAATAGCCAATTGATTTTATTTATACGCTTGCAAGAATTTTAGAAGAAAGTTGACCTTCATTTCCAGCTCCAGACTGATTAAAACATTCTATTGCAGGCAACTTCCATGATCGGACTACAGTCGTACCTTGGTTCTCGAACGCCTTGGTACTTGGATGTTTTTGCTCCCGAACGCTGCAAACCCGGAAGTGAGTGTTCCGGTTTGCGAACACTTTTTGGAAGCCAAAAATCCAACGTAGCTTCCTCAGCTTCCAACTGAGTGCAGGAAATTCCTGCAGCCAATCAGAAGCCGTGCTGTCAGGGACGGAGGGAGAGAGCAAAAGCCAGAGGGATTCAAGAGAGCGTCCAGGGGTTGGGAGAAGCAGCCCATCTTCTGGGGAAGAGAATCAGCATAGCACCAGTGGAGAAAGGGGGCAGATGGGGGAAGCGGCGAGGCGGTCCCATGACTCCTTGCCTGGGACCAGCGGGGAGAGTAGGGGCCCTCCGTTGCCCACGCCCTCCTTGCGCAGAAGGCTTTCACGCAGAGAGAGTAGGAGGAGACTAGGCGTCAAAGAGCTTCTTTGCTGGAAGAAGTTTAAGAAACGCCCACTGACGGATTCTGCCAGCGATTGAGTCAGCCACGGGTGAGTGGCTGTCCGGACAGAAAAGGTTCACTTAGGCAACCCAGCCAGGTGTTTGCACCCAGCTGGGGATATAAGCACCGGCTTACGCACGAGCAACCCCTAGAACCATTACACGTGCCTTAGGTATTTGAATGTTTTTGGAAGTTGAACGGACTTCCGGAATGGATTACGTTCGAGAACCAAGGTACGGCTGTATTTATGTGTAGCCCAGATCATCAAATCAGTGTAGAAAAAGTGTTCTAGAAGTTTCCCGGCTGCCTCTGCTGCCTGAAAAACCTTTGCACTTTGCTTTACAGTTTTTCCATTGGGATTTTAAGATTTTATAAAACTGGCATCTTTAAAATGCTTACAAAACATTTGCAAAATCTTGTAACGTTTTTAGCTGCTTAGTTCAGGCAGCAAGGATGGAAAAATACCTGCTCAAGATATTTACGCAGTCTTTAGACTACAGATCCATGATGCAGCAGAGCTGGAGACAGAATATGCATGTGTGATTATATCTGAGGCCCCACTGTAATGGAAGCAATCCTCTGATAATTCAAGGCCAAATATCAAAAAGGGTTTCCAAAAGAAATCCATTGTGCTTCCCACCCCCACTAGATCGAAAGACAAAATTCATCCTTGCGGGTTTCAATATCCCTAATTTAAGTGGCTGAGGGTAGTATTCAGGAACTGTTCATCAGGGTCCTGCCTTGGAATCTGTTAGCCTAGGAAGCTGTGAGTAAGGAGGTGATATAGGCGCCTCTGGGCATGTGCAGAAGGCCAGCTCTAGAAGGGGGGCATTTGCCAGAGCTCAGTCGGTAGAATATGAATCTCAAGGTTGTGGGTTCGAGCCCCATGTTGGGCAAAAGCTTCCTGCATGGCAGGGGGTTAGACTAGATGATTCTTTTGGTCCCTTCCAACTCTACAATATGGAGAAGCTCCAAAATGAGTGGGGCTCCTGAAAGCAGCTCACCATTTCAACTTTGCACAGAGTATCCCAATCAGATAAGACGCAGCCCGAGAGAATTCTCATTTTGCACATTCAACCTCTTCCAGTTTAGCCGGGTCCTGCCGAGGAGACCAGCTTGACTCCCTCCCTCCCAGATCCTGGATCCGGGTCTGCCTTCGGGCCCCACCAAACATCTACGAGTCCATTAGCAAAAGGGATGTGACTCCTCCGTCCCCAGAGTACTATTGATCCCTTGGTTATTGATGGAGCCCCTGCTCGTGGGCATGTTGGCTGTGTGATGGATTATTTCCCTCTGCCGCCAGAAGACCAGGTTGAGATTTCTCTTGCGAGCTGTCAGCGAGGGCTGCATTAATAATGGAGCGTCTTAGGGGTGACTGGCCGGGGCAATTTCCTTGGCTTGTGTTTTTATTTATTTTTTAAGTGGCTTGCTTGGAAAGAGAAGCCTGCAAATTGCGTGGCTTCTGTTTGCTGAAACCCTGGAAGGTGTAGAAGTGAAACCTGAAACTCATCACTGCAGCCCCCATAGCCCCCAAATACCAGCAACTATGTTGATCATGTTGTTGTTGTAGTTTAGTTGTTTAGTCGTGTAAACTCTTCGAGACCCCATGGACCAGAGCACGCCAGGCACTCCTGTCTTCCACTGCCTCCCGCAGTTTGGTCAAACTCATGCTGGTAGCTTCGAGAACACTGTCCAACCATCTCATCCTCTGTCGTCCCCTTCTCCTTGTGCCCTCCATCTTTCCCAACATCAGGGTCTTTTCCAGGGAGTCTTCTCTCTCATGAGGTGGCCAAAGTATTGGAGCCTCAGCTTCAGGATCTGCCCTTCCAGTGAGCACTCAGGGCTGATTTCCTTCAGAATGGATAGGTTTGATCTTCTTGCAGTCCATGGGACTCTCAAGAGTCTCCTCCAGCACCAGAATTCAAAAGCATCAATTCTTCGGCGATCAGCCTTCTTTATGGTCCAGCTCTCACTTCCATATGTTGATCATATGTAATACGAATTGGGATGTTCAGTTGTTGTTGTACTACATCCTTCATCATCCCTGACCATTGGCTGTGCTGACTGGGGCTGATGGGAGTTGGAGTGCAATGACAGCAGGAGGGCCACAGGTTCGCCTTTCCAGATATAATTCTGAAGGAGTAGTACCTGTTCCCCAGTTTATTATGTTCCACTAACAGTTACAAGATGGCGAGCTGGCAAAGGGCAATACAGTGGTTAACATGTGTCACTTTGGCTGGGGAGAGCTAGGCTCATGTGCCTTGATCAGTCCTAGTTGCGGAATATTATCCTGACAGAGAAGGGGTTTGGAATCTTTTTAGGTTCCCTCATGGTCTTCCTGGGACCGCAATACCTCAAGGGCCACCTCTCCCCATATGAACCGACCTGGAGTCTGCAATCATCTTCTGAGACCCCTCTTTGTGTGCCTTCTCCACGAGAGGTTCAGAGGGCGGCAACACAAGAGCAGGGCCTTTTCTGCAGTGGCTCCCCATTTGTGGCATGCTCTCCACAGGGAGGCCTCGTTGCTGTTGGGAGGGGGGCAAGATTCAGTTCAGTTTGCATTTAAATGCAAACAACTCAAATAATTTGCAAACTGATGCAGAAATGTGGAGAACTAAATTTCAGATTGGGGAAAAAAAGAGAGAGAAACCAAGTTGACAGATTCATCTACCCCTTGTCTAGAGATGGTGTGTGGTCCCTTCTGGGGGGTGGGCCTTTGCCCCACAGAGGCAGTGTCCCCAGTGTTGTACTTCAAAGGATGTGTAAGTCTGGAATTGGATTTTTGCTGTCCATATTTTAATCGAAGTGGGAAGACTATCTTGGAGGGCATCTAATGCTCACCTCTTCTTCTAGGAGGTAGGCATTGCCAAGCCCACAACACTCATTTCTGGACCTGAGCCTAGAGAACACAAGCATCTCATTTGAACCATGGGCCTCCCTGATCCAAACCCAGCACTGTTATTGTACCCCAGCCTCCCCACTCTGGTGCCTTCCGTATGCTGTCAGACTACAACTCCCATCATCCCTGACCATTGGCCAGCTGGGAGCTGGAATCCAAGAATATATTGAGGGCAGCATGTTGGTGTAGGCTGCTCAACCCCTTGTAGCAACCTGGTTTTCTTCTATTTGTAAATAGGTAAAGCTGCACGAGGTTTGAAAATCCGCTTTGCCTGCTTATGGTTAGTAGCTAGCTTAGAACTATTTTTATGCTTTGAGTGTGAGCATCTGTTGAGCTGTTCAGCTCCAGTTTTGAGAAGGGAGAGGATGCAACGAATAAAGCCCATCCTGTACAGGGAAAGCACAGGGAGTAGTCCAAGAACTGCCAAGAGATGCAAAAAGAAAACAACCCAAAAATCATAAGCAGTACAGTATAGTGAGAAGCACCGCCACAGGTGAATCCCCTGCAATGGAGTCGAATGCCTTATCCCGAGCATCCTGAGTCTACTGCTTCTGTCAGAAGTGTCTCCATAGGCTTGCAAGCAGCAGTCACAACTCTGCAAATGGAATATACCGAAAAGGACAGCATCCCAAAGCAGAATCAAATGGGAAGGGGGAGATGCAGGAGGCAGACTTATGAACTCATGTCATATAACCCCCACCCGTGTGTTTTGAACAATTAGGTCTCCATAAGATGATTGTCTCTGTTGAGATTTCTTAGCCGACTAGTTTCTAAGAAGCTACAGATTCCTATGGTTGTAGAACTTAGAAAGGTTAAGGGAAGTGCTGATCCTGGAGTGCTGATCTTCAAAACATAGGGGGTACACTAGGAGGGTTTTTTTGCCTGAAACCTAGGCCTGGTCCTGTTAGCAGTGTGGGTAGACAATCTCAGCCTGCTTTTAAATGCTTTTAAAACGCTCTTAAAGAGGAGCTTTCCAACACCAAAGCTTAAGCAGAGAGCGCAGAGAGACCCACCTGCCTTTAGTTCTGGCTCCGCCCACCACTGACATTGGCTCCGCCCATTATGGACATTAGGTCCTCGACCAGTTACCAGTAAGGGGAAATGGTCCTCAACAATGAAAGTTCAGAGACCAAGGCATGGTCAGGGAGTCAGCCAGCGATAAATCACACAGAGTAAGTGAACAAGGAACAGGGCATGCTCAGGGACACAAGGCCTAATGAGCACAGCAGCTCTTCTCAAGGTAGGGCTTGCCCCTATGAGGCAGTTGTGGGAGCAGAAGGTCCAAGGCTGCCTAAATCTCCTCCCCCCATGGTTCTTCCCAAGCAATCTGAGACTACGACAACACGCCTGTCTCTGCTCCTCTCTCTTCATACCTCTTCTGGTTCTGGGAGACTTGGTGGGAGGGGAGCTTCTTCACCAGTCTGGCTCATCTCTGCCTCTTGCCTCCCTCCTCTCCTGCTTCCGCTGCTGATTCTGGACTTCTCTCTGCCATAGACTCTCCCTGCTCACTAAGCCCTGTCACCCCTTCATCTTCTGACACTTCTTTCTCCCAATCTCCTCCCTCTGACCACTCATTGTCATCCCACTACCACTCTCCAGTTTCTGAGCCTTCTTCCTTTGGGGGTTCCCCAGCTGGTGCCTCCCCCCATTCCTCTGTGTCCAGCCAGCCCATGACAGGCGTTTGCTGTCCCTGGGTTCAGTACAGTAGACCCTCTGAATGCGCCTCTTGGTGGCCTCGACTGACTCCTCCCCAGCTTTCTGGAAATGAGAGCTGGTTTTGTAAGCTCAGCTCCGTTCTGGCCCTAGATTCAAAGCATGTTCGGAGTTCCCTGTTCTTTAATTCTAGGTGCGTTTCTACAGTTGGCAGATCTTGTGGTTGTAGCTGGAAGCTGCCCTCCTCATGCCCTAGACTAGGCATGTCCAACAGGTCGATCTGTCATCTCCTAGTTATTTCTCCCCACCAAAAAAAGCTCAAGAACTTTGGCTCCTTAAAAGCATAGATTACTGTCAGTTTTTTTTAATATTGTGAGTAGATCGCAATCTCTTGGGAGTTGGACATGCCGGCCCTAGACCATCTATCAGTTGTTCCATTTCTCTCCTCTTCACAGCACCGCCAAGAAGACTCACCAGAAGGAACGCCAGCCACCTGAACTTCTGACACTGCGCAAACATCCCCAGCTGCTGAGATGCCTGTTGCTTCCACCGACTCAGAAACAGGTAATGACTCGCTCCTATCTCAGCATCCCCAAACCTGCTCCACTCCGAGTACAGTCGTACCTTGGTTTTCGAACAGCTTAGTTCTCGAACGTTTTGGCTCCCGAACGCCGCAAACCCAGAAGCGACTGTTCCGGTTTGCGAACTGTTTTTGGAAGCTGAACGTCCGCCGGCGCTTCCGATTGGCTGCAGGAGCTTCCTCCAGCCAATCAGAAGCTGGGCTTTGGTTTCCAAACATTTTGGAAGTCGAAGGGACTTCCGGAACGGATTCTGTTCAACTTACAAGGTACGACTGTGCTACGGATTATTCCTCAAATATCTGCTTTGTACCATTTTACGACTGCCCGCAAGTATGCCGGGCTACGGCTGGAACCAAACACTTGCTCGCGAGCACACCTTGGCAGACGAATCCAGGTGGGAAAAGTTTCCTTGATGATGGGGGGGGGGGGGGGGGCTCGCAAAAGCAGCTATAGAAAACAAACGTGCCTGTATGTAAAGGTATATAAGAAAATTCTAAAATCCACGGTAGGGTGGTACCTTCAATTAGGCCAACCAAAATATCACAAAGCAGTGGGACAGCTGTTGAGTTCTCCAGAGCTCTTTGTCAGATCAGGAGTGGGGAAGCCCTCGAGATGTTGCAGCTCCCATCAGCCCCAGAAAGCATGAGCAATGGCCAGGGATGATGGGAGTTGTAGTTCAGCCATATCTGGAGGGCCACAGGCTTCCTGCACCAGGGCTAGATGGTAAACGGAGCAATGTGAGGTGGAAGACTTCATTGTTGTTTTTGGGGGCTGATGTTGAAGCCAAGGAGTCTGCCTCTAGGGCTGGGCAATATACCGTCCAAAACTGTTTTGAAGTCCATATCAAGATATTGGTTTCATAATTTTTGACCTGGCGATATATACCACCAATCGTGATGTGTCTTTGCTATGCAAAAAACACCATGTGGGAGAGGGTGATCCAGTCACGCTTCCGAAGGGTCCTGCCGGCTCCTCCATTCATGAGCATCCCGCTGGCCCTCAATGCCTCTTACCGGGTCTACCTTGCAGGGGTGGCAGCGGCGGCGGCTGACATGGGCTACGACGGTTACTACTGGCCCTCGGTGAAGGAGGAGATGGAGACGGGGAGCTGCTCTGGGGGGTTCCCTGCCCCCAAGGCTGTTAGCGGCCCGGAAGGGAAGGGCCCCAGAAATAACCCAGATCATTCCCCGTGGTCTTGCAGCTCTGGGTTATTCACTTATTATACACCAGATTCTGCAAACAGCCCCAACAAGCCGCCCCCTCCCCAGATCTGACTGCAAGGAGGAAAGTAAAGGAGGCAAGAAGAGCAAAACTCGCACCGCTTTCTCTCAAAAGCAGCTGCAGATCTTGCACCACAGATTCCAGATGCAGAAATATCTCAGTCCACAACAGATCCGAGAACTGGCCTCAGCCTTGCGACTCACCATGTGGGAGAAAGCGTGATAGCTCCATCCTTATTCCAGACATTGTGATATATCAGTATATTGCGACATTTGGTTGTGATACATTGTGATGTTGAAAAGCACGTACCACCCAGCCCTGGTGATTCAGTGGGGGGAGAAGGTAGCAGACATCAAAATGAGGTCCTGTGCAGGTATTTGCTTTCCTTTGCCCTTGCTTTTGTTGCTGCAGAGCCGAGTGCACTTTCCCATGGCGTAACATGATCCTGACTCATTCTGCTTTTTGTATCAGGGTTTGCATGGCCTTCCTTTTCCGCGGTGTTTTGCATCAAAAGTTCTTATTGTTGCTGGGAAATATAAGCAGGAGCGTGAACAGTGCTGAGTATCTTAATTTCCCTCCAGCTTCTTTGAGGTGTTTAGTCTAAGTGGGGCTCGCAGAGTTTGTTGTCATTCCTACGAGTTTCTCATAAACTATCTTTTGTGCTTTTGTTTCCTTGGACAAGATTATAACATCGTTTGGGAAGTACTTGATAGTCAGGGTGCTGTGTATATGGCACAGACTTCTTGTCAATAACTTTTGGGATTTTCACCATTCCAAATATTCCGACACTCATCTTGACTCAAAAAGGTGCATATTTTGAGAGAAACTGCAACTCCATTCACACAGCAGTTTGTTCCATGTGGTCTTTGTTTCAGAAATGCTGTTGGGCTACTTCAGTTGCTTTTGTTTGATTTGGAAACAGCCCAAAGTCTGTGAGTTTTGATAACAAACGTGGTTTGCGACGGGGGTTGAATAACTTTGAACACAGCTGTACATCATAACGTGGTTTGTCCCTTGAAGGAGGCGGCCTTTGTTCTTTCAAATTTCAAAGGTACCTACAAGAAATATGCAAAATAACTAAGCAAGTATTAGAAGTCACCCCAGAACTGGCCCTACTAAACATCTTCCAAGATAATAATGCCCACTCACATAATAAAGAGCTCATAACCCACCTACTTTCAGCAACCAGAAACATCATAGCAGAAACTGGAGAGACCTGTCAGGAGTAAGCATGGACTATTGGTATCAAATAGTATGGGAAGCAGCCTTATTAGAAAAACTAACCAATAAACTGAAACTGACGTGGGGACAAATAGAAGAAGATGCCTTAACCCGGTATGGTTCCCCTTTATCACATACATAGTCCAACAAGAATCTGCCGACAGCATACGAATCAGTCTGGCTAACCTGATCCAAACACCCACACACACACCCCACTCACACACAAAAACAAATTTCACTACAGCCAACCAAAGACAACCAACCACATCCTAAGCCACCACTAACCTCTCTCACCACCAAGGAAACACAATAAGCCAGGGGTCAGCAAACGTTTTCAGCAGCGGGCCTGTCCTCTGTCCCTCAGACCTTGCAGGGGGCTGGACTATATTTTGAAGAAGAAAAATGAACTAATTACTATGCCCCACAAATAACCCAGAGATGCATTTTAAATAAAAGGACACATTCTACTCATGTAAAAACATGCTGTTTCCTGGACCGTCCACGGGCCGGACTTAGAAGGCGATTGGGCCATATCCGGCCCCCAGGCCTTAGACCAAGAAATAATAATAATAATAATAATAATAATAATAATAATAATAATAATTTATTATTTATACCACGCCCATCTGGCTGGGTTTCCCCAGCCACTCTGGGCGGCTTCCAACAGAACACTAAAATACAATAACCTATTAAACATTAAAAGCTTCCATAAACAGGGCTGCCTTCAGATGTCTTCTAAAAGTCTGGTAGTTGTTTTTCTCTTTGACATATGGTGGGAGGGCATTCCACAGGGAGGGAGCCACCACCAAGAAGGCCCTCTGCCTGATTCCCTATAACTTGGCTTCTCACAGTGAGGGAACTGCCAGAAGGCCCTTGGAACTGCACCTCAGTGTCCAGGCAGAATGATGGGGGTGGAGATGCTCCTTCAGGTATACTGGAGGAGGAGCTTTCATGCAGCTTTGGGGACACGAGTGCGCCGGAGGTGCAGTGATGAGCAGCTGTGCATGGGGGTGGTGGGGCAAGCCCCCTGTGGGGTGCCTTTTTGTCACCCCCCCTCAGGGATGGCACCTGGGCCACACCGCCTCCCACCCCCCCTTCGTATGCCTCTGCTCCCAGGGTGCACATCTCATGGACCACAGGAGCCATTTGGTTTCAAGTCTCTGCACTCATCCTCAGCATCCTCACCTGCTAGCTCTCGTCTCGATTTCTAAGCTCCTGCCTGTCCAATTATATCTCCTCTCTGAATCTTCCGATTACACAGGGAGCGCAGCCTGTAATCCTCGCAGCTCTGCATAAGCCGGTTAACCACACATGGTAGTGAAAGTGTCAGGTTTTGTCCTAAGCTGAGAGCTACCACAACTGTGGATGAAGTTTGCAGGCTAGAATTCCAAACAGCCTTCATACATACCCACAGCCCCATTAGACTGGATATTAAAGGTAAAGGTAAAGGGACCCCTGACCATTAGGTCCAGTTGTGACCGATTCTGGGGTTGTGGTGCTCATCTGGCTTTATTAGCCAAGGGAGCCAGCGTACAGCTTCCGGGTCATGTGGCCAGCATGACTAAGCTGCTTCTGGCGAACCAGAGCAGCGCACGGAAATGCCGTTTACCTTCCCGCCAGAGCGGTACCTATTTATCTACTTGCACTTTGACGTGCTTTCAAACTGCCAGGTTGGCAGGAGCAGCGACCGAGCAATGGGAGCTCACCCCATCGCAGGGATTCAAACCGCCGACCTTCTGATCGGCAAGTACTAGGCTCTGTGGTTTAACCCACAGCACCACCCGCATCCCAGTCTGGATATTAGGCAGCCCCTATTTCCTCTCTCCTTTCCTTTTCTCTAGCCAAGTACAAAACCCCATCTGCTAGGGTAAAGCGTGGCTCTGTGTGCATATAATAGGGGTACAAGAATGTTTTCTATTGGGGAATGTGGGTGGGCACTGTGCTCTAAACCACTGAGCCTCTAGGGCTTGCCGATCAGAAGGTCAGCGGTTCAAATCCCCGCAACAGGGTGAGCTCCCGTACCTCTGTCCCAGCTCCTGCCAACCTAGCAGTTCGAAAGCACACCAGTGCAGGTAGATAAATAGGTACCACTGCAGCAGGAAGGTAAACGGCGTTTCCGTGTGCTCTGGTTTGCCAGAAACGGTTTAGTCCTGCGGGCCACGTGACCCAGAAAGCTGTCTGTTGACAAACGCCGGCTCCCTCAGCCTGAAAGCAAGATGAGCGCTGCAACCCCATAGTCACCTTTGACTGGACTTAACTGTCCAGGGGTCCTTTACCTTTTGCCTTACCTTATATTAGGGGAAATTGCTTTGCAAAAAACGTGCGCATCAGGCAAAATTGCATATTAAAAAAAAAGTATATTTGCAGAACTTTGCACTAAAATGCTGATGAACTGTCATGAGGGTGCTTTTATTTTTAAGTAACACATTGCAAAACTGACATGGACATGCCGAGAACTGAATTCAGTATTGGACAAATGAGAAATTGGGTTTATTTGCCCCTTCCTGTTTGTGACTTCTCCCATTCTGAGAGATTTGATGTGCTGGTGGGATTTGGGTTCAGGGCTGCAGCCAGAGTTGTGCTCCTTCTGTCTGTCTCCCTGTCTCTCTCTGTCTCTGCTTCTCTCTTTAAATCTTTCTTTCATCCATCCCTAGTTTTAGCGTAACCTTGGATGCAAATCTCTTCCCCTCGTTGCCACAGAAACGAGGATGTAATAGAGCAGGCGCCGGGGAAGGGGAGGAGTAGGGGAAAATCAGGGAGCATCTTAAAGAGATTAGAAAACTGATGGCTTCCTGTGCAAAAACCCTGCATCAGGTGGAGCTCATGAGAGAGGCAAGGGGGGAATGAACAAACACATCCCCCCTCCCAAGCATCTTGGCCTCTTTCCAAAGCCTCAACAAGTACAGTGATTCAAATGATTGCCATGCTTCAGTGAAAATGATTGAATATATATACAGGCGTACCTTGGTACTTGAACGGAATCCATTCCGGAAGTCCATTCAACTTCCAAAATGTTCGGAAACCAAAGCGCCGGACGTTCGGCTTCCAAAAATTGTTTGAAAACCGGAACAGTCACTTCCGGGTTTTGATTGTTTGGGAGTCGATTTGTTCGGGAGCCAAGCTGTTCGAGATCCAAGGTACCCCCCCTCTCTCTGTATCCTATTCTTCCTCCCAAAGGAGCCCAAGACAGAGGACAACAGAAGAGCAAAACAATAGAATTCAACACAAACACACAATGTTTTAAACCATTTAAGAATATTGGAAAACACTTCAAAATAGCCACCTATTTTCACAGCTAACAATTTCAGGCTCGCCAGAAATGGAATATTTTAGCCATTTGACATCTGGATGAGGAGCAATGCTGATAATAATACAGTGGTACCTCGGGTTAAGTACTTAATTCGTTCCGGAGGTCCGTTCTTAACCTGAAACTGTTCTTAACCTGAAACACCATTTAGCTAATGGGGCCTCCTGCTGCCGCTGCGCCGCCATAGCACAATTTCTGTTCTCATCCTGAAGCAAAGTTCTTAACCTGAAGCACATGTAACCTGAAGCATATGTAACCTGAGGTACCACTGTAATAATAATATCCTCCAGTTGGTTAATATGAGGGAGACACTGTGGATGATGCTGAACTTGGCAGGATGGTTTTCAGGTTCTCAAGTTTTGGTTGTCTTCTCAGCACCTGCAGGTGAAAGAAGTAGGTCTTGGAGTGTTCGGTTAGACTTAGAGCATGGGTAGGCAAACTAAGGCCCGGGGGCTGGATCCGGCTCAATCGCCTTCTAAATCCGGTCCGCAGACGGTCCGGGAATCAGCCTGTTTTTACACGAGTAGAATGTGTGCTTTTATTTAAAATGCATCTCTGGGTTATTTGTGGGGCATAGGAATTCATTCATTTCCCCCCAAAAATATAGTCCAGCCCCCCACAAGGTCTGATGGACAGTGGACTGGTTCCCTGCTGAAAAAGTTTTGCTGACCCCTGAGTTAGAGGCGGCGGGGAAGCTGTTATTTGATTGGCTTCAGCCCTTTTCTCCTTAGCTCCGCCCATGCTAATCAAGCCCCGCCTCTGAGCCTTCAGCCTCTAATCCCCACTCCAAACCCTGCCAGTGCCCTGCCCACCAGCTATGGAGGGACCATAGCTCAGGGGGAGTGTGCATAAAGTCCCCCATTCATTCCCTGGCACTTCCAGCTGAAAGAATTACATAACAGGTGATGGGAAAGACGCTCTGCTGGAGTGGAGACCCATCTCCTGGTATACCCCGTGGAGGACCTTAAGGTCCACAAATGACAACATTTTGGAGGTCCCAAGTCGCAAGGTGGTTAGGTTGGTCTCAACTAGGGCCAGGGCCTTTTCAGTACTGGCCCCGACTTGGTGGAACACTCTGTCACAACAGACCAGGGCCCTGCGGGACTTGCCATCTTTCCGCAGGGCCTGCAAGACAGAGCTGTTCCGCCTGGCCTTTGGTTTGGACTCAGTCTGACCCTTATGTTTCCTTCCCCCTTATGGCTTTGACTTTTAAAATGAGGCTGCGTTTTAAATGGCATTTTAACCTGTATTTTAAATTGCTCTTTTTCTTTTTTCTTATTATGTTTTACTGAAATTTTATTGGTGCTAGCCGCCCTGAGCCTGGCTCTGGCTGCGGAGGGCGGGGTATAAATAAAATTTATTATTATTATTATTATTATTATTATTATTATTATTATTATCTAGAGTAGATGGTCAAAATAGCTTGGCAAGACAGCTGCTTCCTATGCCCTGCTCCATATTTGAATGCTAACCAGGCTTTGCCCCAACCTCACCTTCAATTTCAGAATCTGAGCCTCTAGGGTCCTAGCAAACTGGCTTGGGAGGGGGCAGGAATCAAGACCACTCCTTTCTTCAACAGTCAAGATAAATTTGTGTTGCATCCGTAGTTGGCACCTGGAATTCTCCATCCTATCCAGCAGCTGTTAAAATATAAGCCAGGCTAGCTTTCTGGCGAACCGATAGCCTGGGTGATGGGCCATTAAGGGAACAAAGGAAGTGGGTCTGTGCCAGATGACAAATGGGTGGAGTTCCTCCCTCAACTCTTGAATAGTGAGAAGGACAAAGGGCAGAGTGGAGAGAGTTGGGTGGTGTGCACTAAAAGCTAGAAGGAAAGTGGTAGACTGGGAAGTCAGAGGGATGCTTGATTTCTGTTTGAATCCAAGGCTGTGACTATGAGGGAAGCAAATTATTGCTGGGGTGTTAATGCTGTGACCCCCCCCCCCATTTTAGACTCAGGTTGTGTGTGTGTGTGTGTGTGTGTGTGTGTGTGTACAGGCTGGGGGAGGCATTTTGCCAAATTTTCCCCTGGGTCTGCTGATACTTTCCAACAGTTTGAGGGGAGACTGAAAGTTCTCTGGTAACTTTTGCTGATAAAGTTTGGCTCAACTCTAGCCTAAACAGGCTTGATTGACTTAAGTACCCTTTATAAGATTTAAGTACCCTTATAAGATTTAAGTGTCCTGAGGCTGGAAGTGGCACCCAGTTCCTAAAAACACTGGCAGCAATCTTTTAAAGAGACAACATTATAATTTTGAGAACCAAGCGGAATAGATAATTATTCAATTTCTGGCCACTTTGAGGGCTTGTAGCCTAAAAGTGGGATATATGTACATAAAAATAGATTTCTAGGTTTCTGGGCTGCAAGTGTTTGGAAAGCTTCCATATTTGGTTTAAAATCTGAGCAATCTTTTTAGCTAGACATTCAAGGTGGTGAAAGCCCACTTTTAATGTACAGTAGTAGTGAGGGTTCATGGCAGCAAAGCACATTTACAGTGGTATCTTGGGTACATATGCTTCAGGTTGCATACGCTTCAGGTTACAGACTCCGCTAACCCAGAAATAGTACCTCGGGTTAAGAACTTTGCTTCAGGATGAGAACAGAAATCGTGCTCCGGTGGCGTGGCGGCAGCAGGAGGCCCCATTAGCTAAAGTGGTACTTCAGGCTAAGAACAGTTTCAGGTTAAGTACAGACCTCCAGAACGAATTAAGTACTTAACCCGAGGTACCACTGTATATCACATTTAAAGGGCGGTAGCTGCTGGTCCAAATCCATTAATCAGCCAGTTTCACTTGTTGCCCCATCAGAGTTCAGTCCAAATTTGCTGGCAGTAGAAGAGAGAACACAATTCACAAAGCCAACCTCCTTGACAAGTGTTACTTGCTCTTGTAAGCAGGCACAAATGCACACACACACACAGTTTATATATTTTGCATCTCATTGTCTGGCAATTTTTTTTTGCCTCATTTGAGACTGTTAGAAAAGAGGTGGGGAAGAACTGCCTCCCCTTGCCTTTGGTTCCGCTGCAAAACTGAGCTGAGAGCAATCTTAACAGGGCTGTGGTACCCTGAGACGGTTGCCACGGCAGCAGGAAGAAGTGCCCTCAGCATCTTTCCAGAAGACAGCTGTGAATGGCAGCCCAGTGAGTGACCTCTTTTCGGAAGAGAGGTTCTTCGTTTCCCCTCTGAAATCGGAGCTTCATAGAGGAGGTAGGAGATAGCTGTCCCCGAGGCAAGGGACTGTGGGGATGAGAATGCTGCCCACTTCCCTGGTGTCCCAGATTAAGGCTCCGTCCTAGATGTGTGTGAAATATTTAGTAGGGTTAATTCTGTGGAAGCTGCTTTCTGTCTACCCAGGGGTGGAAGCAACAGCAGCCAGTTGAGAGACAGAAAGAGAGAGGTGTAAAGCCAAGCCACACATTCTGCTGTAGCAAAGATGACCTGAATAGCTCAGTTGGTTAGAGTGTGGTGCTGATAGTGCCAAGGTTGCAGGTTCGATCCTTGTATGGGACAAAATGCATATTCCTGTCAGTTTGCATTTCTTAATACAGAAAGTGTTGATCTGATGTGTAGATGTCTTTCCTATTCTACTTAATTCAGGAAGGTTCTGGAAGCTTCTCTGTGTGAAAGAAGCAAGCAGAAGGTTTGTGAAGTTTGGGTTATTCCTTCAGAGAAGCAGAGTACAGTGGTACCTCAGGTTAAGTACTTAATTCGTTCCGGAGGTCCGTTCTTAACCTGAAACTGTTCTTAACCTGAAGCACCACCTTAGCTAATGGGGCCTCCTGCTGCTGCCGCGCAGCCGGAGCCTGATTTCTGTTCTCATCCTGAAGCAAAGTTCTTAACCTGAAGCACTATTTCTGGGTTAGAGGAGCGTGTAACCTGAAGCGTATGTAACCTGAAGCGTATGTAACCCGAGGTACCACTGTACAGCAGGCTTAAACTGGCTCTCTTATCCAGGGGTCAGCAAACATTTTCAGCAGGGGGCTGGTCCACTGTCCCTCAGATCTTTGGGGGGCCAGACTATATTTTGAAAAAAAGAAGGAGGAACGAATGCCTATGCCCCACAAATAACCCAGAGATGCATTTTAAATAAAAGCACATGTTCTACTCATGTAAAAACACGCTGATTCCCGGACCGTCCATGTGAAATTGGGCCAGATCTGGCCCCCAGGCCTTAGTTTTCCTACCCATGTTCTTATCTCTCTCTGTCAAGGTCATGCCGACTATAATAGTAAGGCCAGAAGGAGCTTGGGGTTCACTTTCTCTTTCTTTCTCTCTTCCTTCTGGTGTGGTGGTCTGTATGCTTAGTGTTAAGGTTTAGACTTCTTATAAGTTATTGGAAGTTTAAGTTAAGTCTTCCGCAACTGGATTTCTTATGGACTGTGCCAATCCCGAATGTATTGGATTTGTGACCATAATGCTCATATGCTTTCAGTAGCAGTAAAGCTCTTCTGGAGGAAATACAATTGCCTCTGGTCTATTTTGGGGGGGAATCCTGCAATGTGTTTAAGTTGTTACTCTGCTAACTATACACTGGAACCTACTCTTGATCAATATTGAGTAGAATTCCATGAGAATTCCTGCAATGGCAAAGGGTTGGACCAGTGGTGGCCTTGCACCTGGAGGGAGGGGCTAGTGTCCCGGGGGCACGTCGAGCATCCCAGGGGGGTGATGTCACCCTCCCTCAGGGATGACACCCAGGGTGGGCCACACCCACTGCACCCAACTTGCTCTGCCTCTGGGTTGGACTCGATGATCCTCAGGGTCCCTTCCAACTCTACAATTCTGTGATTCTATGTCAGCTTTCAGATGGGCAGCCATAAATGCTGGGGCTTGAACCTAGGAGCTTCTGCATGCAAAACAGATGCAAAACCGCTGAGCTTTGCTTCTTCATCTAGGCTTTGTGCAAGGAAAGAGTTCTGCATAACCTGGAAGCTTTGTGAATGTTCTGAGTAGCATTCGTGTAGGGAAAGATGCCATCATGCCTGTTTTGGTTAAACTGAAATAAAAGTCCGCTTTCCCCTCCTTTCTTTGCATTCACGGAGCTGGAAGGGATCCTGAGGAATAATTATTGTTATTTAGGGAAGTTTTTAATGACTGATGTTTTTATGTATTTTTAATCTTTTGTTGGCAGCCGGCCAGAGTGGCTGGGGAAACCCAGCCAGATGAGTGGGGCAGAAATAATAAATTATTATTATAGAAATAATAATAAATTATTGTCATCTAGTTCCGTGGTTCCCAACATGGGGCACATGCCCCACAGGGGGGCAATTTGATTTTTAAGGGAGGGGGCAATTTGGAAGCTTGTTTAGATCAAGCCAATGGCCTTTTAGGCTTCCTCCATGTGAATAGGAGTTCACTTTTTGAATAATAAGAATTATATGTCACCGGTGGGGGTGGGGGTGGGGCAGTGCATCAGGAATTTAGAGATGCTTAGGTGGGGCATGGCCAAAAGAAGGTTGGGAACCACTGATCTCGTCCAACTCCCTGCAATGGAGGAATATGCAGCTGTTCCTTACGGGGATCGAACCTGCAACCTTGGTGTCATCAGCACCACGCTCTAAGCAACTGAGCTTTCCAAATACCTTTTCAGACTCTGGCTGAACTAACAGTTCAGCCAAGTGGACAATAGGGGTCCAGCCCCCTGGTTAGGATGTGCTAATGCATACCTATCTACACTTCCCATTTGAAACTGGGTTGACCCCAACCCTTCATCCCCGGCATCTCCCCACACATCCATGATTGAACATGGTTAATATGCACCTTCTTTTGTCACTAAGTGCTGCTTACTGGTGGCTGCTAAATTCCTTCACAAATGCTGTTACCCACCAGCTGTCCTTAGAGCTATTGCAGGTGGCACGTTCCTATCTTGGTAACAGACTCTGACAGCTGAGCCTTCTTTAAGTTATCGGGAGTGTGTGTTGACAACGACAAAGAAGTGGTAATTCATAGCTTCTGGTTGTGGCAAAAGGGGGGGGGGCGGCTTTCTGTGTTTTAGGGAAATGTACAATTTCGGGTTGATCTTTCCAAATGTGCCCCTGGACATTTCGAAAATGCATTTGGCTTCTTTGGAATCCTCTTGTTCACTTATCGCACAATGAAGACTGCCCATTTCCCTCCATCGGATGGGGAAAGGAGTAGATTCAAAAGCATTGGTGGCGGGTGGCGCTGTGGTCTAAACCACTGAACCTCTTGGGCTTGCCCATTAGAAGATCGGCGGTTCGAATCCCTGCAGTGAAGTGAACTCCCGTTGCTCTCTCTCAGCTCCTGCCAGCCTAGCAGTTTGAAAGCAGGCCAGTGCAAGCTGATAAATAGGTACCTCTGTGGCGGGAAGATAAACGGCGTTTCCGTGCACTCTGGTTTCTGACACAGTGCCCCACCGCGCCAGTAGTGGTTTAGTAGCAGTTTAGTCATGCTGGCCACATGACCTGGAAAGCTGCCTGTGGACAAACGCCGGCTTCCTCAGCCTGCAAGCGAGATGAGCGCCGCAACCCCAGAGTTGGCCATGACTGGACCTAATGGTCAGGGGTCCCTTTACCTTTACCTTTATTCCATATCTTCCAACATTTCTCTGATGGAAATAGGGACATCCTATTCCATACCCTCCATCATTTCTCCAGTGAAAACAGAGACATCCTAAGGAAAAGTGGGACATTCCTGGATCAGATCAGAAACTTTGATGGCTTCTGTAACTCCAGGACTGTCCCTGGAAAATATGGATACTTTGGGGGCCTGCTGGATCCAGGCCTCCTGCCAACAAGGGGGAAGCGGTGGCAGCCCAGCCCAAGCCCCCAAACCTGAGCATGCAAGGCAGGCTCTGAAGCCTGGTCTGCTACAGGTGCAGCAGAATATGGCAGTAATATCCCATTGCGGAATAATAATAATAATAATAATAATAATAATAATAATAATAATTTATTTATACCCCGCCCACTCTGGGCGGAAAGATGGTGCTGTTTCAGAACCTTTCTCCCTGGTGTGATAGTTTTTATTTTCAGGATTTTTTTGTTTTTAATCGAGGGAGCAGAGTTTTAAAATATGCCATGTGGAACCCTGCTGTCTGAAGTACAGTGGAACCTTGGTTCCCAAACGTTTTGGCTCCTGAACGCCGAAAACCCGGAAGTAAATGCTTCCGTTTTCGAACGTTTTCCGGAACCCGAACGTGCGACGTGGCTTCCGCTGAGTGCAAGAAGCTCTTGCAACCGGTGGGAAGCCAAGCCTCGGTTTCCAAACGTTTTGGAAGCCGAACGGGCTTCCGGAACGGATTTTGTTCGAGAACCGAGGTTGCCACTGTCGTACGGTCTAAGCTGCCCCCTCAGGGTTGAGAGTCCCGAAACTCCCGTCAAGGGCTGGCAGAGACTCCAGCCGAGGCAAAACCCCCTCATGAGGAGAGGGAACTGCTGGCTCGCTTCTCCCTCTCCATCTGCTGTCTCTGCCCTGTCCCCTCATAACTCACAGGGACAATTAGCGACTATAACGGGGGGGTGGGATACACGAGAAGAACGGCCGGCCGTCTCTGGGAGAGCCTCACAATTCTCAGCAGTTAGTGCCTGGCGTTTGCGTGTGGCTATTGCTGTCACAATGTTTTCAACAGCCTCTCAAACGTTCGCCCCACAGCGGTCAGTCATCTTCAGAGGCCTCTCTGCCTGCTCTGTGGACTGACAGGCAAGAGAGGAACCCCAGTTATATTCTGTATTAATGAATTTATCATCTGGGGATGAAGCAGATGTTTGTGGCTGTCTGCCAAGACCCACGAATGTTGCTTGTTTGTTTGTTTGCGTTCTGTGTGCGCATGTGGACAAAGGCACAGAGGCTGCAGTCTGGTTTTTCCTTCCCTCTCAGGGAATGCAAATATGAGGGGGAATCCCCCCCCCCATCGAACACAGCAAATGAAGTAGGATTGGTGATCCAGCCAGTAAATTGATCAACAAAAGCGTCCGTCGTTAATGAAATGTTCTCCTCAATTAGCGAGTGGGCTTGGAAATGTAGGGCACACTACTGACTAGGTTGTGCCAAATACCTCCCCGTTTGGTTAAATTTTGTGAAGGGAAATGGCTTTTCCCCCTTCCCGATGTAGCAAGATTCTGTATTTATTTAGGGCATTTGTCTAAGATAAAAAGGCGCCCCGAGCAGCTGAAAACAGACCCCATTTTCCAGGGACAGTTCCAGACTTACAAAAGCCTCCCTAGTTTCTGATTTGATCCCGGAATGTCCTGCTTTTCCTTAGGACATCCCTATTTTCCTCAGAGAAACGTTGGAAGGTATGGAGTTATACGACCCCGGAGCCAAGGAGATAAGTACAGTAACTATACAACCATTAGAAGACATCTGAAGGCAGCCCTGTATAGGGAAGTTTTTTGTTTTTGTTTTTTAAAGTTTAATGTTTTATTATGTTTGTGCAGTGGTACCTCGGGTTACATACGCTTCAGGTTACAGACTCCGCTAACCCAGAAATATTATCTTGGGTTAAGAACTTTGCTTCAGGATGAGAACAGAAATTGTGCTCTGGCGGTGCGGCAGCAGCAGGAGGCCCCATTAGCTAAAGTCATGCTTCAGGTTAAGAACAGTTTCAGGTTAAGAACGGACCTCCGGAACGAATTAAGTACTTAACCTGAGGTACCACTGTATATATGCCAGAAGCAGCTGGGGCAACCAAGTGAGATGGGCAGGGCAGGAATAGTAAAATTATTATTATTATGGGATAGGACGTCCCTATTTTCATCGGAGAAATGTTGGAGGCTGTGGTGGGGAGGTGGATTACATTTTGTGGCCTGCCTCAGGTGCCAGAATGTCTTGGGCTCGCCCTGATCGTACCTGTTTTGTTATGATTTCTGTCCCCACCCCAATAAAAAATGAAATAACATCCCTGATTGCAATACCCAATTGCAAATTCAAATGTATCCCTATCGTGTTTTATGACTTCCTTGATATTGTATGTGGGGTGGAACTGGTCTGTGACCGAAATAATAAATTCATTCATCCCTGTTGTTTCTCTACACAGCAATGCAGCAGGTCTTGGACAATCTCAGTGACCTCCCCAACTCTATGGGAGCCGGAGACCTGGACCTCATCTTTCTCCGTGGCCTCATGGAGAGTCCAATAGTAAGATCATTGGCTAAGGTACAGTTACATGGGGTAGTTGGGAGAGGGGCAGTTTGCTGCAACAGATCCTGCTTCTCCAGTTCCACCCACTTCCGCTGCATCGCTTACTCCTTCTTAATCTTGCCCTTAACGCTTTTGCCAAATAGATTAGCTGACAACCTATTCTCTGCTCGCTTTATTTCCCCTTTACCTGGATACACGATCCGGCCTTCACACTGCGCACACATAATACAAATGCACACACACACAAATGCACACACATATATGACTTCCTCCATGTTTTTTAGCTGAATGGGTCCCATGTGGTGTGACAGAATGGATGATGGTGTCTTGCCAAGTGCAAGGTGGTTCTTTTAAAATGAGATTCAGGAGGAATACAAAACAGAAGTGGGTGAGAAGATTGAAGATTCCATTCTAAACTGGTTACGACAAGTCCAGATAAATGAATGATTTAAAAATGATAAGAAAAGACTTGCTCGTGAAATCTCAAAATTCCAAAGAGAAATAATAGAATGTGATATTAAAGTGAACGGCCTTGGTCGAGTATACCTGAAGGAGCGTCTCCACCCCCATCGTTCTACCCGGACACTGAGGTCCAGTGCCGAGGGCCTTCTGGCCATTCCTTCACTGCAAGAAGCCAAGTTACAGGGAACCAGGCAGAGGGCCTTCTTGGTAGTGGCCCCCGCCCTGTGGAACGCCCTCCCATCAGATGTCAAAGAAAAGAACAACTACCAGACTTTTAGAAGACATCTGAAGGCAGCCCTTTTTAGGGAAACTTTTAATGTTTAACAGACCACTGTATTTTAATATTTTGTTGGAAGCCGCCCAGAGTGGCTGGGGAAACCCAGCCAGATGGGCGGGGTATAAATAATAAATTATTATTATTATTATAAAATTATAAAGTACTATCGGGAATGTACAACTTGTTGTTGGAATGGGAAACCAAAGATGAAGAGGTCAAATGTCTAATGATAAAGCGGGCTAAAGATGTGGGACGTAATATCCAAATGTCAGATTGGGAAAAATTATGGAGAAACCATCTGAAATTTACGGCCTGTACACTGATAAAAGGAAATTACGTGAAAATGATGTGTAGGTGGTACTTAACACCAGTCAAGTTATCGCAAATGTATAAATCAGAAGATAAGAAATGCTGGAAATGTGAGGAAGTAGAAGGTACATTTAATCATATGTGGTGGCAATGTAAAGATATATAAAAATAAATAAATTGGGAAATGATATATACGTACATACCAAGCAGGCACTTAACCCTCAACTTGGAAGCCCTCAAGAAGTGGTGAAGTGCCCCCAGTTTGCACAGCCCCGCGGCTGAGCAGTCCATGGACGAGCTTCTCTCTAAAACTCTGCCCACAACCATCCAATTTATAGATAGCTAATCTGTGTGGTTTGCCTGACTGGCTCCATGTAGACCCCTAGCTACGTACAGATTATTCATTAGCCACCCACTCCCAGTGCCTCACTTTCTCCCAACAATGTCCAACGTCAAAGACCTTTTCTTTGCTTTTGCTCTAAACTTGGGTCTCCAGCTGTTTTTGGACTACCCATCATCCCTAGTGGTCAAGAGTGATGGGAATTGTAGTCCAAAAATGGCTGGAGACCCAAGTTTGAGAAACCTTGTTCTAGCAAGACATTTTAAGTTTAAAAGTGCCATTTTAAGCAGGCAAAATTTCCTCCTCAAAATTCAAGCCGCTAGTGTCTCTCAGGGTAGTTTTTCAAATAACAAATCTCTTAAGTTGTCCAGCTGTCCAACGCTGTCAAGTACTAACTACCATTGCATGCTCTCCATCATGTGGGCTGGCTGGTATTTTTGTTTGTTTTAAAAGCCATTGCATATCAACTGGGGACCTTTGCCGGATTCCCCGCTGCTAAGTAGTTTTGTGTATTATTTACTCTCCTCTGCTTGTTCATATTCTTTGTTTTTGTTGATGTTTATTGATCAGACTTATTGATTTTGCTGCAAGCTGCCTCAAGCTGAGACAGAAAGGCCCGGTTATAAATGGGTTTTTCATTTAGTGTTTTTATAAGAAAAAAATGTTACAAACAAGGTGTAACACAGTTAGGATAAACTGCGGGGTGGGGGTGGGGGCAATGCTAGTCTTACTCAAGAGTAGACCCATTATAGCTAATGGGCATGACTAACAAAATTCATATTTTAATTTGTCTACTCTGTGTAGGACTTACCGAATTTTTCTGTGTATAAGATGCCCCCACATATAAATGACCTCTATTTTTTGAGCCCAAAATTAATTAATTAATTGCAGCATTCTGTGTATAAGACAACTCCTAATTTTAAACTTAAAAAAATTGGGGGGAAATATAGTCTTATACACGGAAAAATACAGTAATTGAATAGAGCCCAAACATGTTTACTTCCAGTTTTAGAATGTTTAGCATAGGGTGGGATACTATCCCCCAATTCTGTTATTCCAAAAATGTATAAATAAACCCCACATTTCAAGAAATTTGCTTTCTTGAATATTTATCCCAGCTGTTGCTTGGTGTGCCAGTTTAAATACCAATGCTGATTCCCATGTTTTTTTTCTTAACTACTCTGGGATGTAAAGTGGGTTTTTATTTTTTCTAGTATAAAATGTTTTCATTTACTTTTCCTTATTTAAAATATTTATGGATCACCCTTCAGTAGGGCTTCCCCAAAAGAAGATAACCATCTTATTAGTAGATATAATTAGCTGTAATCTGAGTGTGGTTTTTGGTTTGAAGCTCAATAATACAATTTGTGTACTTGCTACCTGTCCAGCCTGCACTATCAAACACAATTGCTAGCATCAACCAATAAATTATTGTCAAAACCTGTCAGGCATCAAACAACAAAATTCAGTGTAGCGGGATGTGAAAAGCAGCCATCAAATATTCAGCCACTTAGAGAATAGCGGGAGAGTATTTGACAAAAGCATTCACTAGTTTGAACTTGGAGGGGATAATTTTGTCTCAGCACACATTACGGTGCAGAGCATTCCTGTTCAGGCTTCCAGCCAGCGATGTGCTTTTCCAGAATAATTCATTCCATCCTCCCTGTCCATAGTTTTCCATTTTCTTCCCTGAACAGTCAGGCAGTATTCTGCACCTACTGAGCATGCTTATTCCTCCTCATTGGGCTGTTTTGGGTACTTCTGCAAATCTTGGAGTCCCCACACCCCACCTCTTCTGATTGGATGGCATTGTTTTGGCTGCACAAGAATGCACACTTGAAGAATGAGTTCCCTGTTAGAATATGGGATACCATGGAAATAGTTTGATGAACCCGCAAGGGCTTATATATCCATGATGGGAACAGGTGGCGCTGTGGTCTAAACCACTGAGCCTCTTGGGCTTGCCGATCGGAGGGTTGGCAGTTCAAATCCCCGCGATGGAATGACCTCCCATTGTTCTGTCCCAGCTCCTGCCAACCTAGCAGTTCGAAAGCACACCAGCACAAGTACAGTGGTACCTCGGGTTACAGATGCTTCAGGTTACAGACTCCACTAACCCAGAAATAGTACCTCGGGTTAAGAACTTTGCTTCAGGATGAGAACAGAAATTGTGCGGCGGCAGCAGCGGGAGTCCCCATTAGCTAAAATGGTACTTCAGGTTAAGAACAGTTTCAGGTTAAGAACAGACCTCCAGAATGAATTAAGTTCTTAACCAGAGGTACCACTGTAGATAAATAGGTACCGCTGCGGCGGGAAGGTAAACGGTGTTTCTGTGCGCTCTGGTTTCTGTCACAGTGTCCCGTTGCACCAGAAGCTGTTTAGTCCTGCTGGCCACATGACCCGGAAAGCCGTCTGTGGACAAACACCGGCTCCCTTGGCCTGAAAGCGAGATGAGCACTGCAACCCCACACTCACCTGACTGGACTTAATTGTCCAAGGGTCCTTTACATTTTTACCTTCATATAAAGGTAAAGGGACCCCTGACCATTAGATCCAGTTGTGACCAACTCTGGGGTTGCAGCACTCATCTCACTTTATTGGCTGAGGGAGCCAGCGTACAGCTTCCGGGTCATGTGGCCAGCATGACTGAGCCGCTTCTGGCGAACCAGAGCAGCCCATGGAAACGCCATTTACCTTCCTGTCGGAGTGGTACCTATTTATCTACTTGCACTTTGACATGCTTTTGAACCGCTAGGTTGGCAGGAGCAGGGACCGAGCAACAGGAGCTCACCCCATCGCGGGGATTCAAACTGCTGACCTTCTGATTGGCAAGTCCTAGGCTCTGCGGTTTAACCCACAGTGCCACCCACGTCCCTTTACCTTCATATAGAATAATAAAATTGTAGAGTTGGAAGGTACCACAACGGTCCTCTATGCAGGAATCTTTTGCTCAGTGTGGGGCTCGAACATACAGCCCTGAGATTAATGTCATGTCCGAAGTAGCCATGTGTAAGCCGGACTCTGTTGAGGATTCTAAAAGTTCCCCCAGCGACAGGCAGAGGAAGATGTGGTATGTGAGAAATGCTCACAGTTGCGGGTGCACAAACACTCTCAGAGACATTAATCCCTGGCCACCTTTCCGTTGTTTACCTCTGCTTATCATTCTTCTGGCAGCTAATTGTCCCTCATTCTCTCCACTCAGCCGCTAGGGAAAATTAGCCATTAAAATGAAAGATAATATAAGCAAACAACCCAGGAAGAGTAGACAGCCAACAGCGCCTGCTCTCAAGTGTGTGCAGTCGTTATTGTCATGGAATTCTACTCAATATTGATCCAGAGCAGAACTCCAACATATACTTAGCAGAGTAAAAACTTAATAGACCAGAGGCAATTGTATTTCAACCAGCAGAGCTTTACTGCTACTGAAGGCAAATGAGAACAATGGTCACAAATCCAATACATTCAGGATTGGCGCCGTCCATAAGAAATCCAGTTGCGAGACAATACCTACAAAAGATGACTGGCTACACAAATTAAGCGAATTTCTAGAAATGGCAATGCTAACTGCAAGTATAAGAATGCAGTCAAAACTTAGTCAAGAATATATGGATAAACACTGTTCAGAAAAGAATTTGCAGATATGTTTAGATTAAAGGAGTAAAGTGGAACAGAAACCATTAATAAGTCATGTCATAAAGAGATCAAAATATAAAACTTAAAAGATTGCAAAGTTTTATACGAAATTCAAAATATATGGTAGTCAAGGTGTGGTGGAGGGAAGCGGTGTGGTGTGGTGATGTGTAGTCACAGGGCTGGGAATGACTTTTGTTTGTGTAAATAGTAATGTATTTTTGTCTTATCTATGTATTTCCTTTTCTCTCTTTTTTGTTCTGTTTTATTATTTCCCCCCCTGTACCATTAAAATTCAACAAAATTTAAAAAAGAAATTAAAATTAAAAAAGACATCCAGTTGCAGTAGACTTAATTTAAACTTACAATAACTTATAAGAAGTCTAAACCTTAACACTAAGTACCGTATTTTTCGCCCTATAAGACGCACTCTTTTCCCTCCAAAAATGAAGGGGAAATGTGTGTGCGTCCTATGGGGCGAATGCAGGCTTTCGCTGAAGCCTGGAGAGCGAGAGGGGTCGGTGTGCACTGACCCCTCTCCCTCTCCAGGCTTCAGGAAGCTATCCGCAAGCCTTGGGAGCCCGTGGGAGTTCCTCCCGGGCTCCCCCGGCTTGCGCAGAGCTGCCTCTTATCCCGAAGCCCCGGCGCGCTGAGCAGTCACGCCGGGGCTTCGGGTAGCTCTCCGCAAGGCACGGGAGCCCAGCGCCGGGCTCCCGCGGCTTGCGGACAGTTGCCTGCATGCTGAAGCCTGCGTGCGCTGAGCTCAGCATGCCCAGGCTTGGCGCAGCTCTCCGCAAGGCGCGGCAGCCCGGCGCTGGGCTCCCGCGGCTTGCGGAGAGTTGCCTGTTCTGGGGGCTGGGGTCGCGGGAAGCTCGGGCTTCCCCCGCCCCAGCCCTGCGCCTGGGGGGAAAATAATTCCCCCCCTTTATTTCCCCCCCAGAAAACTAGGTGCACCTTATGGGACGGTGCGTCCTATAGGGCGAAAAATACGGTATACTACGTACAGAACACCACACCAGAAGGAAGAGAGACAGAAAGAGAATGTGAAACCCAGGCTCCTTCTGGCCTATTATTTTAGTCAGCATGATCTTGGCAGAAAGAGATAACAGAACCAGTTTTAACCAGCTGTACTCAGCTTCTCTGAAGGAATAACCCAAACTTCACACACCTTCTGCTTGCTTATTTCACACAGAGAAGCTTCCAGAACCCTCTTGAATGAATTAGAACAGGAAATATCTCTACACATCAGATCAGTGCTTTCTGCACTAAGAAATGCAAACTGATCTCTGTTATTGTTATTAGTGATGACCACTTTAGGTGCGTCCAAATGATCCAGAAGAGGGAAGAACGGAGGCAGAATTATACACGCTCTGCTGACAGGTGTGGGGACCCGGAAACAGACCCCTATGCGAAATGGTTGCTGCCTAGATCATTAATATACCACCCTCCATCCGAAGATGGCAGGGCAGTTCGCAGCAAACCTTTTTCTGGCTTTGGAATTTGGAGCCAGGTTGCTTTTGAAATAGGGAATGCATAAGCAGGATCTGAAAAATACATTTTATTTCAACCAAGTTCAGATAATAACGAAATTTAATTTATTTATAATCAAGTAACAATAACTGAAATAGTAACTGAAAATGAAATGGGCAGCATCTCTCAGTCTGAAATGCTGAATTCATTTCTAACCAAGCTAGCTGTAACACATAGTCTTTCAATTTTCTTGATTTCTCGCTTTTCAAATCTTAATTTCAGTCCTTCGCATTTCCACTTCAGTTTGATTTTTAAAAATGTCCCATTAAAATTCACCAGTGTTTAAGATGCACATTTTTTTAATGTCATATACCCATTTCTGTAAAACATATTTGTCTTCGTTTGTATGCTTTCACAGTTAATATGCATTTTCACGCACAGTTTACCTCAGTTATATGCATTTTTGTACACATTACTCGGCTGGAGAATGGCAGAATTCAGAGAAGTGCAAATCTCGAAGGATTGTTGCATTTCCGTTTACATACAGTTTCAGGAAACTGCATATTAGGTAGATCTGCCTTTTGATGTGAATCGAATCAAATTTCTCTCTTTCCTCTCCTGCCACATCCTTACCCCAAGCCGCTTTTCTCCTTGAGGGAGAAGATACAGGGACCACATATCTTCCAGCCGCAGGCTGAAAAAAGAGCTTGGGGAGTGATTTTGAGCAGGGAAATGGCCGGAAGGGTAAGGGTTAAGCAGACCCTCCCTCATGCTGTACCTCTGATCCCAATCACTGCATCCGGCAGCTTCTCTGCCTTCCACACCCATTTCCCCCTTTTAATAATAGTAGAAATAATAATAATAATAATAATAATAATAATAATAATAACAACAATAATTTATACCCTGCCCATCTGGCTGGGTTTCCCCAGCCACTCTGGGCAACTCCCAACAGAATATTAAAAACACAATAAAACATCAAACATTAAGAACTTCCCTAAAGAGGGCTGCCTTCAGATACTGTAAGAAAACTGGACATCTCCTGTTTCTCCTTTAGTTTGGCCCTGAGCTGGCCGCAGAAACCTAGCGAAACTTGTATGTTAATGTTTCCTGGATTGAGGGCCCTTCTCACCCAGCCCCTGTCAAATAGTGGAGTCTGGGAAAGTTGCTCTCGAGAGGGCTAGAGTCAGGATTTTTGGTCCTATTTTTCAGCTAAAGCTATCCAGAAACATCCCACCTCGCTATTTCCCAGTGCTAGCCCTGGATTCCAGAACTGGCTCAGATTTCGCTCTCCTTCCCACCGCCCTCCTGCTGACTTCAGGCAGGCAACGCTAAGCTTCTCCTTGAGAGCCTTCTTATTTTTAGTTCCTTCTCTTTTGTGTCTGCCTCCCTTTGGGCAGCCTTTCTCGAGGCTCCTGCAGAGCCAGCGATTCATCCCTTTTGCAGCAAAGACCTGCTTGATTTTTTACTGCGCTCCCTGTCAAAGGCTGGGAGAGGCTCTGATCTTTCTGGGGATGTTGCTCTGAGCAAGTGGGCTGTGTGTTTGTGTGAGAGCGGCATGTGTGAGTAATTCTTCCAATCCCCTTTCCTTTACACAGTTCACAACACACCCTCTCTTTCCCCCCTCACCCTTTTGGCCCTGGAAAGTGCTGATGAGTTTTTCCCAAGCTCTGCAGGAACCCATATTGAAAATTTGGAGAGCTCTGTCAACCACACACACACGCTTTTGGTTTAACTTGGGGGACAGGGCTGTGGGTTTTTCATGCATCCACATAAACATAACCCGGTAGGTCTCCAGCATCCACAGTGTCCGAAGGACAAAGGGTTAGCGGGGCTTTGTTGGTTTATTTACATGTGCCTCTCTAATCCACCCCCCTCCTTCGCCCTTTTGCCACCCGCCCACTGTGCAGGCTCACGAGCGACTGGAGGAGACAAAGCTGGAAGCCGTGAGGGACAACAATCTGGAGCTGGTCCAGGAGATACTCAAAGACATCACTCGCATCGCTCAGCAAGACAGCACAGCCGCCGAACTGGCTCGCATTCTCCAGGAGCCTCACTTCCAGGTAGGCAGCAGCTGTCTCTCAAGATCCGGGGAAATGGCGAAACTTACCAGAACAATTCAAGATAACAAAACTTTTTTTTATAAAAGAATGGTAATGGTTTATTGAATATTTACAGATAAATTGTAAACCAAAACATGAGCAGGATCATTGTAATAACCTGCAATTTTATAGGAGCGTATGTTTACAGTAGACAATTAAACGAGCAAGTTAAATGAATTTGGATCTTAAAAAAATAAATTTTAGGAACCGCAGAAAGAGGGGGAAGGAAGTCAAATTTTGAAATGTTAGATTGATTGTAAAACTAATGAAATGTATAAATTTGAAAAGTATTAATAAAAAATTAAAATCAGCAACAACAACAACTTCCCGATACAAGGCTGCCTTCAGATGTCTTCTAAAAGTTGTGAAGTTTTGTATCTGAAGGGAGCCTCACTTCCAGGTGAGAGGCAGCTGTCTCTCAAGATCCGGGGAGTGAGAAAAAGGTGTCACTTCCAGACCGAACTGGGGTAGTTGATTTCGCATGGACCCTGGAGCCCGGGCTCGTTGTAAGTGGCCCAGGAAGGAGGACAGACAATTCACGAAGGGCTCGTTTCTCGTAAGGAGGTGTCAGCAGGAATCCCAGCGCATATCAGCTTTGTCTGTGCGTGACACACACAGAGAGAAAAGTGTCGGGAGAAGTGCCCTTTCGCACAAAGACCCACAGGGCCAGGATATTAATAAGGGACATCTGTGGATTTGCCCTATTTGGCAGCAGGAGTTGGGGGGAGGGTTCCGACTTGGCGATGGATAAAGCTTTCTGCTTCATGCCAGGCTGAGGGGCGAGGCGCCTTTGCTCAACAACATGCAACAGCAAGATTTATTTTTTTCCGTGTGTATAAGAAAGACATGGTTTATGTCCTCTTTTTTTGCAGAGACACCTGAGGCATCTGGCTTAATGCTGTTGGTTTATTTGCTTGCTTCCTTGTTGCATTTGCATCAGGTCTTTCTTCTGTATGGGCTGTGTGGCAACACACCAGGAGTTCCCAGGTGTTTTCCCACTTAGGATCTGACCTGATGAATACCTGCTTAGCTTCAGCAAATTTCCGGGATCGTGTAACTTCAGACTGTTGATGTATATACGCAAAGTGTAGATTCTCTGTGCTAGTGTTGCCTCTCTGTGTCTGTGTCTAAGGTGGCATGAGGGAGTGATTTAAAGGCTCACAAGGATTTGCCTGTCTTGTTTTAACTGGTAGGTTTATGCATCATCATCATCATCATCATCATTTATTTATACCTGCCCATCTGGCTGGGTTTCCCTAGCCACTCTGAGTAGCTCCCAACAGAATATTAAAAACACAATCAAACATCAAACATTAAGAACTTCCCTAAACAGGGCTGCCTTCAGTTTTCACAGGAAACTGAAGTAGAAGCTTATTAATAGTGAAAGCTTCATTTATTGCCCACCCCAGTTAAAAGCTTAAGACAATAGTTAAACAATATTTAAACAGCCTTGGCCCAGTATACCTGAAGGAGCATCTCCACCCCTATCGTTCAGCCCAGACACTGAGGTCCAGCTCTGAGGGCTTTCTGGCGGTTCCCGCACTGCGAGAAGTGAGGTTGCAGGGAACCAGGCAGAGGGCCTTTTCGGTAGTGGCGCCCACCCTGTGGAACGCCCTCCCATCAGATGTCAGGGAAATAAACAACTTTCTGACTTTTAGAAGACATCTGAAGGCAGCCCTGTTTAGAAGTTTTTAATGTTTGATATTTTAACGTGTTTTAATATTCTGTTGGGAGCTGCTCAGAGTGGCTGGGGAAACCCAGCCAGATGGGCGGGGTAATAATAATAATAATAATAATAATAATAATAATAATAATTTAATAGTCAGGTATCAGAAGCCAAGTTGTAATACACTTGGAATTCTGCTCTTTAGATTCTGCCCCCCTCCCAATGTCATTCAGATGTTGTGATCTCATCTCCCTCTAAAGAGTTCAAGGTGACACACATGGTATTATCTCTGCAATAATCCTGTGGGCTCAGAGAGAATGAATGACCCACAATTACCCAGTGACTGTCATGGCTAAGTGGGGATTTGAAGCCTGGTCCACTCCCTAGTCCCAGCTTGATAGGCACCTCTACACCTGTTGTACTATATATCTAACCATTTATATATGGCCTAATAGTTCCCCAGGACGCTGTGCGTTTGTGTATGTTCTTGCTGGGCTGAATCTAGTGATTTCGGAAATCACCGTGGAATAGATCCTCTTCTGATCAAGAACATACCGTATTTTTCCATCTATAAGACGCCCCCATGTATAAGACCCCCCCCCTATTTTGGAGGACTCAGATTTAAGAAAATGGAGGGGATGTATCTGTGTATAAGACACCCCTTGATTTTTGACATTCTGGGTATGGCTTGGAAGATTTGCCCCTGCTTCCAGTGTTGTGACTAGGGACTTTAAGGTCTCTGGACACAGGCCCATGGCACAAATTTGCACAAATATGCATATTAGCTGCAGAATGGTTGTAGCTCAGTGGTCGAGCACCTGTTTATGTGCACACAGAAGGGTTCATTCATGGGCATCTCCCAGTGGGAATGTCTGAATCCCTGGAGAGCTGCTTCCAGTCAGTGTAGCCAGATGGACCAAGTGTTTGACTCAGCATAGGGCAGTTTCTTAGGCTTCTTATATGAAGGGATGCCTCTAGGCAAGCCATTACTGTGCTTTCTGGGGTATCATGAGTGTGCTGTTTGGAGAGAAAGGCCTGGAGATCCAGGACCTAGTGCAAAAGACTTGATCCTCATGATCCCCCGTAACGAGGCCCATTCCCCTCCTTTACGTTTTACTTAATCTGTCTCTGGTCTCAGCTGAGCGAATCTTTCTGTTGCCTCCTCTTTCCCACCCCTGCCACGCTCCTTTCTCAGTCCCTCTTGGAAACCCACGATTCCGTTGCCTCCAAGAGCTACGAGACGCCACCACCCAGTCCAGTCCTGGACCCCATGTTCAACAACCAGCCGGTGCCACCAGATGCCGTGCGCATGGTGGGGATTCGTAAGACTGCTGGGGAACACCTGGTGAGTAAAGTCTTTTTCCACTGTCATTGGCCTCACCATATTTTAGTTTAAAGGCCAGTGTACTGAGCAGACCTGTAACTAACCAACCAACCAACCAACCAACCAACCAACCAATTAACCAATCAACCAATTAACCAATCAACCAATCAACCAATCAACCAACCAGCCAGCCAGCCAGCCAACCAACCAACCAGCTAACTAACTAACCAACCAACCAACCAACCAACCAACCAACCAATTAACCAACCAACCAACCAACCAACCAACCAACCAACCAACCAACTAACCAACTAACTAACCAGTGCTGGATTTATGTATAAGCTAAACAAGCTATAGCTTAGGGCCCCACTCTCCTGGGGGGCCCCAAAAAAATTAAAGGAAAAAACCTGGATGTACATTTCCAAAATATAAGATAAAAAACAAATGAAATAAAACCTGCATACAACAACAGTGTTTTGTTTTGTGTTGTGTAGGCTCCTATTTGTTATGTGCAAATGGCTTTAGATACCTATTAGGTCCATAAATTACCATCTAGCATATATTCAACACAAAAAACAGCAACAATTTGTTGTTGACAAAGGACAGCTGGACATATAAAGGGCCCCATTACCTTCAGTAGCTTAGGGCCTCATCAAACCTAAATCTGGCCCTGTAACCAACCAACTAATTAACTAACCAACCAACCTGTCACTTACCGGATTTTTCACTCTATAAGACGCACCCGACCATAAGACGCACCTAGTTTTTAGAGGAGGAAAACAAGAAAAAAAATATTCTGAGTCAAATGTTGTTGAAGAGGCTTCGCAACAATCCCTCTTGCTGTTCTGGCTTCAGCGATAGCTGCACAGCCTGCATTCACTCCATAAGACGCACACACATTTCCCCTTACTTTTTAGGAGGGAAAAGGTGCGCCTTATAGAGCGAAAAATACGGTGCATAGCAATAGGGTAGCCCAGGTGGAACAGCTGCTTCAGCCTGACTCATGGTTTGGCTGGACCTGTCTCCATTACCCATAACTGCTTTGCATTGACCCTGCACTCTTGCTGCTTTCTCTTCCCTCAGGGTGTGACGTTCCGGGTGGAGCGCGGCGAGCTTGTCATTGCCCGCATCCTGCATGGTGGCATGATTGACCAGCAGGGGCTGCTGCATGTGGGTGACATCATCAAGGAGGTGAACGGGCAGGAGGTGGGCAGTGACCCACGGGCATTGCAAGAGGTGCTGAAAAACGCCAGCGGAAGCGTCGTACTCAAGATCCTGCCCAGTTACCAGGAGCCACACCCACCTCGCCAGGTAGGAGGCGCCATCACTTAGCTACTTGTCTCCCCTGTGCTAAATAAGGTCTTGGTAATTGCCCCACCTCCACCCTACCTCTGCCTGGAACAAAGATAAAATGTGATCATCATCTCTTGACTGAAACAGGCAGGCTTTCCACTTTATTCTTTCATTTCTTTCCCCACTCCTTTCTTGCTTCTCTCTTCCTTTCAGAAAGATTCCCCGTCCTAAAATCATAATGATTACGCTGTCGGCTGATTAAAGAATTCATCAATTATTTATCTGTTTTCTTTTTTTGGATATTATCAGAACATCCATATTGGTGCCTTTCAGAGCTGCTGGGGGGAAGTCTATGATAACGTCCCAAAGCTCTTTTTCCGAAAAGGAAAGGCCGTCAGTAGTATTTTCTTTTGCATTCCCTGTGGCAGGAGGAGCACACTGAGAACTAAAATAGCCCATGAAAACAAACAAGTTATGTGCTCTTAACTTGCAGGGCCACCAATTTAAATTTGGCCACCACCACCTGTTAATCAACAAAACGTTGAGTCAGTACCGATTAAACCTTTGAAAGCTCAAAGTGCTTTTAAAAGCCCCCCTGTTTTTGGTAGCTGCATGTTTGGCATACGCTGATAATTATTTAGGTCATTAGAAATTGCCAGATAAGAAGACTCTGTACGTGCTGAGCATGGAGACTTTCTTGGCATTTGCAAGTGTTGCTCAGATGTTCTCGTGTTCATAGCAGGCGCCTACAAGAGAGCCACGAAGGACCCTTTATGGCCCTCCAGCAATATCTGCAGCCTTATAGCGTGAATTCCCCCCCGTCCGTGTGACTGTTTTGAACGCTGTGATACTGTTAACTACAGTGGTACCTCGGGTTACAGATGCTTCAGGTTACATACGTTTCAGGTTACAGACTCCGCTAACCCAGAAATAGTACCTCGGGTTAAGAACTTTGCTTCAGGATGAGAACAGAAATCGCGGTGGCGGCAGGAGGCCACATTAGCTAAAGTGGTGTTTCAGGTTAAGAACAGTTTCAGGTTAATAACAGACCTCCAGAACGAATTAAGTTCTTAACCCGAGGTACCACTGTACTGTGATTTTTTTTGCTGAAAGATTCAGAACAGATAAAAGAAAGTACTTCTTCATGCAGCACATATGAAGTAGTGATGGCCACCAACTTGGATGGATGCCTTTGAAAGAGGATTAGACAAAATCATGGAGGAGAGGGCTATCGATGGCTATTAGCGGATGGCGCTGTGGTCTAAACCACTGAGCCTCTTGGGCTTGCCAGTCAGAAGGTCAGCGGTTCGAATCCCCGTGACGGGGTGAGCTCCCATTGCTCTGTCCCAGCTCCTGACAACCTAGCAGTTCGAAAGCACACCAGTGCAAGTCGATAAATAGGTACCACTGTGGCGGGAAGGTAAATTGTGTTTCCTTGCGCTCTGGCTTCTGTCACAGTGTCTTGTTGTGCAGATGTGGTTTAGTCATGCTGGCCACATGACCTGGAAAGCTGTCTGTAGACAGACACCGGCTCCCTTGGCCTGAAAGTGAGATGGACTACTGCAGTGCACTCTACGTGGGGCTACCTTTGAAGGTGACCCGGAAACTGCAATTAATCCAGAATGCAGCAGCTAGACTGGTGACTGGGAGTGGCCACCGGGACCACATAACACCGGTCCTGAGAGATATCCATTGGCTCCCAGTACGTTTCCGAGCACAATTCAAAGTGTTGGTGCTGACCTTTAAAGCCCTAAACTGCCACGGTCCTTTATAGCTGAAGGAGCGTCTCCACCCCCATCATTCAGCCCAGACACTCAGATCCAGCACCGAGGGCCTTCTGGCGGTTCCCTCATTGCGAGAAGTGAGGTTACAGGGAACCAGGCAGAGGGCCTTCTCGGTAGTGGTGCCCGCCCTGTGGAACTCCCTCCCATCAGATGTCAGGGAAATAAGCAGCTGTTTTAGAGTGCCTGGCATGCTCTAGTCCATGGGGTCTTGAAGAGTCGGACACGACTAAACAGCAACAACTATCTTTAAAAGACATCTGAAGGCAGCCCTGTTTAGGGAAGTTTTTATTGTTTAATGCTGTATTGTTTTTAACACTCGATTGGGAGCCGTCCAGAGTGGTTGGGAAAACTCAACCAGATGGGCGGGGTATAGATAATAAATTATTATTATTATTATGAATGCTGCAACCCCATAGTCGCCTTTGACTGGACTTAACCATCCAGGGGTCCTTTACCTTTTTACTAGCCACAATGGCTATGCTGTGCCGCCACAGTTGAAGGCAACCATGTTTCCGAATACCAGTTGCTGGAAACCGCAGGAGGGAAGAGCGGCGTTCTTGTGCTCGCATCCTGCTTGCTGGTTTTCCACAGGCATCTGGTCGGCCACGGTGAGAACAGGATGCTGGGCCAGATGGGCCTGATCCTGCAGGCTCTTCTTAATGTTCTTACTCTAACCTCCACAAGCTGCCCAGCTTTCTGTTTGCAGCTGTTGCCAGTGATTTCTTCCTTTTGTTTTATGTACTACTATATTGGGAAAGTTGGCCAAACTTTCTATATGCTGTATCTAAAAGGAGCCGTCGCGAGGGGGGTCATCTGGGGAACAACCATCAGTCTCAACCGAGGATGGGTAATAGATTCTGACAGGCAGGCAACAGAGTGGAATGAAATTCAGCACCTTGGTCAGCGCACTTTGAAGTCAGAGACAAGATTTTGCATTTGCAAGCAGTGCTCCCTCAGCAAACTGAAGTCTTGCCCCAGCACCAGTCTGAAGCCTAATGACAACTGATATAGTCTTGTTTTTTGGTCAGGGGTGCAAAAATCCCAGGTTTCACCTCCCTGGAGGAACTCTGTCTTCAAGGGGCCACAGTGCGTATGCGAGGCAGGCTGCAGTGTCTCTTGTCTCCCTGGAACTTGCACGCTTTATCATAATTTTTTAATTTGTATACCGTCTTTCTATCTTGCAATACTCAAGGCGGTTTACAAGCTGAAGAAACAGAAAATGTACATCTTATAACAATCTAATGCAATACAAAAATGTGATAATAAAACTTTAAAATAGGCAACCTACGTCAAAAAAGTAACATTCAACAATCATTAGAATCGTATCAAATAATAATAACATATAAAAGTTAAACAGTTGCAATAAATAATTTCTAAACTATAATCAATAAAACAACGGCAAGCCACAGTACATAAAATAGGTAAAGGTAAAGGGACCCCTGACCATTAGGTCCAGTCGTGGCCGACTCTGGGGTTGTGGTGCTCATCTCGCTTTATTGGCTGAGGGAGCCGGCGTACAGCTTCCGGGTCATGTGGCCAGCATGACTAAGCCGCTTCTGGTGAACCAGAGCAGCGCACGGAAACGCAGTTTACCTTCCCGTCGGAGCGGTACCTATTTATCTCCTTGCACTTTGACGTGCTTTTGAACTGCTAGGTTGGCAGGAGCAGGGACCGAGCAACGGGAGCTCACCCCGTCGCGGGGATTCAAACCGCTGACCTTCTGATCAGCAAGTCCTAGGCTCTGTGGTTTAACCCACAGCGCCACCCGTGTCCCAATAGTACATAAAATAATACAATACAAATTGAGAAGCAGAGACTAGAGGGTGGGGCAAGGCCGGTGGAAGGAGGCCTTGCCTGAAAAAGTCTCTCCCCTCACAGTTCTTCCTCCAGGAACAGCTCCCTTATGAGGACTCCTAGGGTCAGAGGGTGGGGCAAGGCAGGTGGAAGGAGGCCCTGCCTGATGGAGTCTCTCCCCTCACAGTCATGGAAGGCCGGGTGTCCAGAGGGAGGTTTTTTTGGAGAAGAGCTGTTAGTGTCACAGCCTGTAGGCAAGTAAATCTCAGGAGCAGGGGGTGGACCCATCGCAGATCCTTTGGATTTTTCCTTCTGGAAGTACATGCCAAAGTATTTGACACTCTGGCTGCTTCCTGAGATTGTCAAAGGAGAGGATCGCTCCATCTTCCATGACTCTTGGTGCATAAAGCATTTCTCGTTTGTCCTTAGTTATGACAGATGGCCTTGCACAGAGACTCCTGCTGTCAATCTCACAATGGACGCAGGGGGAGATTTCTTCATAACCAATGCATTGTTGTGTTTGCATCTCAGATTTTCAGCTCAGCTGAGGTGGTGTGCAGATTCCAACTTAAAATAAAATAAAATATGTGAATCTAAGGAACCCTATAGAAACCATCCCCATTCCAGCCACAGTTGAGGATATAGCTCTTCCCTGTATGCTCTCTCCCTGTTCCTCACTTTTCTTTGAATTATGATCTGGCAACCATTACTTCTGGTAGCATTCGTACACAGTTGGGCATACCACCTCCTGGTATGTCTTCTTAGATGTTCCTAATCCCTATCTATTTATTTATTTGATGGCCACAGGGGTTGCCAGCCTTTTCGGACCAGGGGGCACATTTTGAATGTTGAGAGTTCTGAGGGCACAAGTTACAAAATGGCTGCTGTGGGGGCACAAAATTAGAAAGTGTGCAGTCAGGGCGATGCTTTCCTCATAACTGTATTTCCATATGAGAAGAAGCATAAACTGTTGAATTTTTGCCTGGAAAATAAGACAGAAGCAGGAGGAAAAATGCATTAAAAAGAAGGAGAAAACAGGGGGCCACCAGATGGCACATTGGACGATGGCCGACAATAACATCTCTCCGACCCACACGAGGTAATTAAGAGGCTGCTATGGGAAGTATGCAGTCTTCTTGACCCCCAAGGAGATGGGAGAGACAGCCTTGCCAGCGGTGTCCATAATCCACCCCCGGAATCGAAAGAAGGGGGTGCCCGGTCACTTGGCACACGCCCTCGGTGAAGTCGGCTCTTCCCGGACGCTGTCTCCAATCAGCGCGTGCTGGTTCGCTTTAGCTCGAAAATATAATTGGAAACATATAATTGGAAGAGAAGCTAAAGCACATACATCAAGCGAAGTTCGGGTGATAAGACTGCTGATTAATGGATCTCTGTGACCGGAGCAACGGATGAGACAAATAAATCAAGTGAGGAATTACCATCAAGACACTGGTACGTTTGGACTGAAATGGAAGAGGGGTGGAGGAAAAAACTTTTCTTTTCTTTGCCTTATGTGGTTATTAATAACCCTCCACCCCAGAAAGAAGTTTGTTGCATTTGCTAACCATAAGCAGGAATCCAAGAACTGTGTGGAATGAATTTCAAAGAGAGGATTGGTAAACATTGGAGAACAAAGGAAAGTTTTTATGACGCAGTTTTAAATTGTGTCTCGCTAAGACAGGCTTGTCTAAGAAAGACGGGAGGCGGAGGACGAGTACCATCGGAATGTGAATGATGATTGGAATGTGATCTAACTGGCAGAGCCTTTTGTGAGATACTTGGCAAGCCTGCGAAAATTAAAGGACAGACCGAGGATAAATTTTTTATGGAATGTGGAATGGCGTCTGTCCCTATGTGATATGACTTTTGGGAGAGTCTAAAACCCACACAGAGGATTTTGTTTTCTAACCTGCTTGTGAGGATTATCAGAGATCGCAAAGAAAGGATATATGATAACAACAAGAAGATGAAGAAAGTAATAAAGAGACTATCTGGACAGAACTGGATAGAATTGTCTAATTAAAGCAGCAATATGAGTGATGTTTGGACCCCCGTCTGGAGCTTGGAGTATGGGTACCCCCAACAAAATTTAAAAATCTGGCTGTATAATTTGGAATTAATGTGATTTGGAAATAATGTGATTTGATTGGCCTGTTAATAAAAATTATTTTAAAAAATAATAAAAAGAAGGAGAAAAAGCAGGCTTTTAAGACCCCAGGAATTCCTCTTGCCTGTTGGCTCAACAATTCACTTATCAATCACAGCTCTGACTTCAGTCATTGGTTAAAAACACTAGCAAGGTAGATCAGCCAGGCTTGCTCATTTCATAGAAAAAGCTTGAAAGGGTATCTGCACATTTTTGTTTCAAAACTTTCTTTCTAGGAGAAAGCTCAAAAGTCTGGGGCCGCTGTGCAGGGGTGCAAATGAAGACCCTCATGGGCGCAATGGCTCCTACAGGCATGAGTTTGGCAGCCCTTGCCTTGAATTGCTGCATTGACTAGAACCCTAAATCTTTCAGATTCCTGTACAAAATTAACACCTCTTGGTTTGAATTGTATCTCTTGGACAAGTGTGCAGATTGCATCTACCCAACAGATTTCATACTTCTCATAATGTTTGTGCATTTATTAAAACAACTCATTCGCCACCTTTAAACCAGAAGTTATAATGTTGCAACATAAACATATCAAAATACAGCAGTCAGCAAACATAATGTTATGTCCAACGTCCTGTGCCCATTTAATCATAGCCGATTTTACCGTTTCATCCTGAGTATTCCATTTCAGCAGCAAGTTATACATTCTTGACAAATTCTTAGTTTTGGGTTCTAACAGTTCTGTTTCTAATTTTGATCTTTCCACCTGGAAGCCAATTTTCTTGTCCAATTTAAATGCCTCCATTATCTGAAAATAATGAAGCCAGTCTCGCACTTTGTTTTTAATTTTTCAAAACTCTGCAATTTCAGTCTATCTCCGTCTTGTTCCAAAATTTCCCAATATTTCGGCCATTTGACCTCCATATTGACCTTTTTCAAGGCTTTCGCTTCCATTGGTGACAGCCACCTTGGAGTTTTGTTTTCTAACAAGTCCTTATATCTTAACCAGACATTAAACAGCGCTTTCCTGACAATGTGGTTTTTGAATGCTTTATGTGCTTTGACCTTATCATACCATAGATATGCATGCCATCCAACATACTTTGGTTTTTGAACTGCTTAGTTCTTGAACGTTTTGGCTTCCGAATGATCAAAACCCAGAAGTGACTGTTCTGGTTTGCAAACTATTTTTGGAAGCCAAAGGTCTGACAGGGCTTCTGCAGCTTCCAGTTGGCTGCAGGACCTTCCTTCAGCCAATCAGAAGCCATGCTTTGGTTTCCAAATGTTTTGGAAGTCAAACGGACTTCTGGAATGGATTCCGTCCGACTTCCAAGGTACGACTGGACGTATTTAAATGCTTTATTGGAGATAAAAAAATATGCATTTTTGAATATTAAAGGAAGTAGAAATTTAAATGAATATTTACATGGAGAGTTTTTGGTTTTTTAAAATCACAGATTAGTTCAGAAATGGCACAAACAGACTTAATGGGTAAAAACAGAAATACAGATTTGTCCCTCCCAGGCTGAGGGCTGTAACTCCTCATCTCTCACAACCCTTTGGGAAGGAGAGAGAGAGAAAATCTGCTGCCTCAGCCAATGTCCGTGTCCCTCTCTGCTCCATTCCTTCTTTGCCAAGTGACTTTTCCACTCTGCTCTGTCACGCGTCCCCGCTCTTTGTCTCATGCGGCGGAGTTCAGAAGTGACTTAATGCTTGGGTGCTTTGGGCATAGTGGCGTAAGAATTTAATGAGCAGGTGTCAAATCAATTACGCATAGCCGTCTCACGCTCCGAGCATGGGAAGCTGTGTATGTGTGCCACACAGCCCTTTTTTTGGGCAACCTGGTTCTGGGTGAGGCCTAAGTCGAAGCGAGCAAATTTCTGCTCAGGAGGTAGCGCTTTTCTACCTCAGGCATTCGTCTCTGGCCTAAACCAACTTGGAGGGGATCCGGGCACAGCCATTAGTCCTTCGGGGTGCAAGAAAAGGATAGGGAAAGGCTTTCTGCTTCCTAAGACCACCCCATCTCTGCTTCCCACATAAGATTTGTTGCTTGAGACATCCTCTCCAGGCGTCCTGCTACGGTGTATAGCAGGAACGCATGAGGCAGGGGGACCAGGGATGAACAAGCTTCTCCCTTCTTTCCTCAGTGTCGTTCTTGCCACCTTCCACGAGTGAGGGTGCCTTCATGAAGCGCAGTAGCTCCCCATGCAAGGTACTGAATGAATTGTGGAATTCCCTTCTGCAGTTACAGAAGATTCCCCACTTCACTGTCTCGCCAGAGTGGTGCACGCTCTAGTTATCTCCCGCTTGGACTACTGCAGTGCGCTCTATGTAGGGCTACCTTTGAAGGTGACCTGGAAACTACAAAATGGCCTTGTCCCAGTATACCTGAAGGAGCATCTCCACCTCCATCGTTCTGCCCAGACACTGAGATCCAGTGCCAAGGGCCTTCTGGTGGTTCCCTCGCTACGAAATGCCAAGTTACAGGGAACCAGGCAGAGGGCCTTCTCGGTAGTGGCGCCTGCCCTTTGGAATGCCCTCCCACCAGATGTCAAAGAGAAAAATAACTACCAAACTTTTAGAAGACATCTGAAGGCAGCCCTGTTTAGGGAAGCTTTTAATGTTTAATAGCTTATTGTATTTTAGTGTTCTGTTGGAAGCTGCCCAGAGTGGCTGGGGAAACTCAGCCAGATGGGCGGGGTATAAATAATAAATTGTTGTTGTTGTTGTTGTTACAACTAATCCAGAATGCAACAGTCGCTCTGGGCGGCTCCCAACAGAACATTAAAAACACGATAAAACATCAAACATTAAGAACTTCTCTAAACAGGGCTGCCTTCAGATGTCTTCTAAAAATCAGATAGTTGTTTATTTCCTTGATGTCAGATGGGAGTGCGTTCTACAGGGCGGGTGCCACTACCGAGAAGGCCCTCTGCCTGGTTCCCTGTAACCTCACTTCTTGCGGTGAGGGAACCGCCAGAAGGCCCTCGGAGCTGGACCTCAGTGTGGAGGTGAAGACGCTCTTTCAGGTATACTGGGCTGAGGGCGTTCAGGGCTTTAAATGTCAGCACTGACACTCTGAATCATTCATATATGCAGACACTGCTGAGAAGTAAGGTCCATTGCGCTGGACCAATGGGAGTTAACTCACAATTAAGCAGGTATTGTTTTTCAGCCAAAGTCGGGGCCGCACTCTGCATCAAATTGCAACCAGCTGCAGAACACTTAAGTTCAAGGTGGGCAGGGTAAAAGGAAGCCAAACAATCTTCACAGTAAGCAGAGTGGAGGTGCTGCTTCTGTACACTCCAGCATTTAACTGGAAATGCCTCAAAAGACTCCTGATCTTTGTGAGTTTTGATGGGAATCAACCTGCTCTGTACCTCTTGGACTAATGTTGAGGTTGGAACATGGCAGAAACCAAAATACCTTTAGAAAACCATATGGAATTGTGCATGTTGAGTGAAAATACATATAGGGATGTGTCTTTTGAGAGGAAATGTGTGTACTGCAAGGGGAAAGATGTTTAGTACAGTGGTACCTCAGGTTAAGAACTTAATTTGTTCCGGAGGTCCGTTTTTAACCTGAAACTGTTCTTAACCTGAAGCACCACTTTAGCTAATGGGGCCTCCTTCTGCTGCCACGCTGCCAGAGCCCAATTTCTGTTCTCATCCTGAAGCAAAGTTCTTAACCTGAAGCACTATTTCTGGGTTAGCGGAGTCTGTAACCTGAAGCGTATGTAACCTGAAGCGTATGTAACCTGAGGTACCACTGTATTGCATATTTAAATGTTGATTTTTGTGCAGTTTTTTCAAAAATGTAATTTAATGCAGGAATGGGGTAGAGTGGAACTATGGATTAAGATAAGTGAAAGTGACATGGAGCAGAAGTAAACTGATACTCTTATCCTTATCTCCAACATCCTTATTCTCATGTCAAGGAAATAAACAACGATCTGTGAGTTTTAGAAGACATCTGAAGGCAGCCCTGTTTAGGGAAGTTTTTAATGTTTGATGTTTTATTGTGCTTTTAATATTCTGTTGGGAGCTGCACAGATGGGTGGAGTATAAATGTTGTTGTTGTTGTTGTTGTTGTTGTTACACTCCCCAATTTGCAGCACCTCCAATCACCGACCATTTCACTTGGATTGGGAGCCTCCAACCAGAGGAAGTTTAGGGAAGTTTTTAATGTTTGATGTTCTATCGTGCTTTTAATTTTCTCTTGGGAGCTGCCCAGACTGGCTGGGGAAACCCAGCCAGATGGGTGGCATATAAATTATTTTTATTTTTATTTTTATTTTTATTACAGGACCAGTTAGGCCTGGCATGCATCCCCGTTTGGCCCATGAGGTTATTTTTCCAAAATCAGACCAATCTGCCCCTCACCTGATATCATACATGAGGTGGGGAGACATATAAGAATGTAGCTGCAATTGGGAGCTTGAAACGAGCTCCCGATTATTTCCAATAGGAACTCCCCAGTGCAGCTGAGTGAGGCGCAACCCTTTGCAAGTCCCGACAATCCGCTGATCCTCAGTGCCTTCAGGACCCTGTGCTGTGCAAGTGGGGGGCTTGCAAAGTTCTGTGTCTTTGCCTACAGCTGTTTTGATTTCAGACTGCGCAGCCAAGGGAAAATGGGTCACCCAATGTCATGGTGACATCAGGTGATTGACAGGTGGCTGGCCCTGCAAGGGGAGGGGGGTGGAGATAAGAATCCACCCGCCCCCCCCAGCTGCATCCAGTTCCCCACTCCTTCTTTATTCCATAAAATCTATGCTGTGTTTTGCAGCCTTTTAAAAGCAGCCTTAACAGCTGATGGTTGTTCTTTTGGCTAAACTAAAGCTGTATAAGGAAACATTTCCCTACAGTGAAGCAGGTCTTCTTTAATACATATAATAATATTGTATTCTTTTTCCGTACAGAAAGTTACATTTGCTACTCTGTCCTATTGATTTCCCGCTCGGCCAGCATCAATGCTTATAGCCCAAATCACATACAATTGCATTTTAGGTTTCCTCTTTATCTGATTCCATCCTCTGTGACATATTTCTCGATATGTTCTGCTGTTTTCTTACACTTCAGAAACTGCTGTGGTCCTCATGTGTGGAAAATAACTTTTTATATAGACTAGGAAAGGTTTCCAGTCTTCTTTAAAAGATTCTAAATTTAGACAGCATCTTAAAAAGCAGAGACATCACCTTGCCGACAAAGACCCGTATAGTTAAAGCTATGGTTTTCCCAGTAGTGATGTATGGAAGTGAGAGCTGGACCATAAAGAAGGCTGATCGCCGAAGAATGGATGCTTTTGAATTATGGTGCTGGAGGAGACTCTTGAGAGTCCCATGGACTGCAAGAAGATCAAACCTATCCATTCTGAAGGAAATCAGCCCTGAGTGCTCACTGGAAGGACAGATCCTGAAGCTGAGGCTCCAATACTTTTGCCACCTCATGAGAAGAGAAGACTCCCTGGAAAAGACCCTGATGTTGGGAAAGGAGAAGGGGACGACAGAGGACGAGATGGTTGGACAGTGTTCTCAAAGCTACCAGCATGAGTTTGACCAAACTGTGGGAGGCAGTGGAGGACAGGAGTGCCTGGCGTGCTCTGGTCCATGGGGTCATGAAGAGTCGGAAACGACTAAATGCCTAAGCAACAACAACAAAAATTTGTATCTTTCATCAGTGCCGTCAGTTTTGCCATTTCTGCCTGTTCCAAGATTTTCATCAAACGTTCTTCCTTGGAGGGTGTTCTCTCTTCCTTCCATTTCGCTGTGTGTAGAATCCTTGCTGCTGTAGTCACATGTGCACATAAATACTGTTGAGGCTTCCTTTGGGATTTCACCGTCTACTCTCTGTCAGCTTCGCCTTTGAGCCGGTGCCAATGACTGGGCTCAACCTCTTCAGCCCCGAGTGGGCCAGGCGAGCTGGAAAAGCACTCCCAGAGACCTTCCACTGCAGGGAGCAGGTCTAAGTGCTGTGGACTCACAGCTTAGAGCTGTGAGCACCAAAATCAGTTCCAAAAGTCAGCGGAGCACAGCAGAGTATGGACCACATGAACAACGGCTCTGAAGTATAACTTCTTTTATTCTTTACAGCTACTGCAGAACTAAAATAAACTACAGTGGTACCTCAGGTTAAGTACTTAATTCGTTCCGGAGGTCCGTACATAACCTGAAACTGTTCTTAACCTGATGCACCACTTTAGCTAATGGGGCCTCCTGCTGCTGCCGTGCCGAGGAGCCCAATTTCTGTTCTTATCCTGAAGCAAATTCTTAACCTGAAGCACTATTGCTGGGTTAGTGGAGTGTGTAACCTGAAGCGTATGTAACCTGAAGCGTATGTAACCAGAGGTACCACTGTAACTAAAGACTAATCGGAGACGCTGGACTGCATGAGTGTTACAGTTGCTTGAGCAATCACCTTATCTATATACAGATAACACTCAAACTCCCACAGGCTGGAGCGGAAGAAGCGATGAGCAAAATCCGCCCCCTCCTTTCTGAAACATTGTCAGCAGATTCTTGCAATGGGAGGGGTTAAATATCCTCACTCTCCCAGTGATGCAGTTTTCACGTAATGCTAAGCCAAACCGTAGCTTAGCCAAATCAGAAATTGTGGCCGTCCTCAGTCCTGCTGTGCCAACTAAGCCATGGTTTGGCTTAGCATGTTGTCCGGGCCCAGTCTCATGGTTCTGCTAGCTGCAGACAAAGATTTCTTCTTGGTTTCCTGCCTATGGATTTGTCTTGCGGATGCAAGCCCAGGTTTAGATGTAGTGCTTAGTGGTGGACTTGTAAAAGGATAAAATGCTTCTTAGGCATTCAAGTAAGCAAAAGAAACAACATTTTCCTGCTCCTAGCAGACTTGTTAAAATATAGAAGTCTAAATCAGATAAGTGCTAGAGATGTAACGAGGTTGAGGGTACATTTTATCATATGTGGTGGACTTGTAAAAGATTATTGGGAAATGATATATAAAGAATTGAAAAAAATAACAATGTTTAAACGTACCTTTCCAAACAAACTAGAGTCTTTTTTGTTGGGAATAATTCAGAGGGAAATTCCCAGGTGTCCAAAAAGACTACAGTGGTACCTCGGGTTACAGATGCTTCAGGTTACAGACACTTCAGGTTACAGACTCCGGTAACCCAGAAATAGTACCTTGGGTTAAAAACTTTGCTTCAGGATGAGAACAGAAATCGTGCAGCGGCAGCAGGAGGCCCCATTAGCTAAAGTGGTGCTTCAGGTTAAGAACAGTTTCAGGTTAAGAACAGACCTCCAGAACGAATTAAGTTCTTAACCCGAGGTACCACTATATTTATGTATGCTACAACCGCAACCCGTGTTTTGTTAGCCCCCAAATGAAGAAAGAGTGAGGTCCCAACCAAAGAAAAATGGCAACTTAAAAACTGATGGAATACGCGCAACTTGCGGTTTCAACATATAAGAATAAGAGAACAAGAAGAATGTATGTTTAAAGAAAACTGGAAAATGTTTACTGAATATATGGGTGAAAATTGTGTTCATGTAAAAATGCTGGTAGCAGTAAGATAAATTCAACAGTGAAAGCAAGTTTTGATGGATTTAACAATAGGTAACTGAATGGTTTAGTTCATGTAAAATATGCAGGGATGTGTGGTATGCAAAATGAACCACGGAAAGAGAAGAAGGGAAGTCATGGATTGAAGGTTGTTTAAATGAATATTTTGAAAAACGATAGATAGATAGATAGATAGATAGATAGATGATGATAGATAGATAGATAGATAGATAGATAGATATAGTGCTCAGCCAGAGCATGGCATAGCCCTGGGTAGCACAGGTCATGCTAAACCATGTTTTGGCATTGTATATCACGTCCAAACATATGTAAAAACCAGTGCATGGCGCCTTGCTCTCCCAGTATAGGATGATATGCATTGACTCATCCACTGGGAGACTGAATTTCTAGATGCCACTGGAGAAAAACTAAACTCTGAAGAATGATGCCAACGCCTCACCCTCACAAAGTGTAACAAATAGAGATCTATTTACAGGGGAACTGTTCCTGGTAAACATGGACACTTGATTCTTCCTTAAAGTCTGGAGCAAATTTCAAGCCCTCTTGCAGGCCACTGTGTCAGAGATGTTATCCTCCGAAGACGGGTAGCAGAATGCTTGCAGCGTCCCTCTGCTATCCACCAGTCTTTGGAGTACATCTGGGATCGCTCAGTGGAAACACTTCAACATGAAATGTGAAACGCAGGGAATAAAACATGGGGGGGGGGGGGAGATTTGAGGGCATACGTGCGTTTTGTACGGAATATTTGAGTGTTCTCCCTGTTGCGATGGTGCAGGCGGGGATTTGAGAGTAACGTCTGGTGATGCTAGAAGCATTCCAGAGGGAGGGATTGTGTAATGAGTTAGCAACAGCTCCTTGTCACAAAGCCCATGCTGATTCCAAAGCGAGCGGCAGAGGGGTGGAGGAAGGATGACGTGAGCGGTGGTGATGGAGACGAGCGCTGCTTGTTTTCATGTGAATATAATCCTGCTGCTTTGTGGAAGCAAAGAGGATTATTTCACACCACCAAGCCCAAATAGCGGCCTAAAAAAAGACAGCAGGGGCATGTGTGTATGTGTGTGTGCGTGTGCTTGGGAAGACACATTAACTTATTACACAATCCTCCTCTGCCTCCCTACCTCAATCTTTCCCTCTGTCTGGAGAGATAATATATAACTTGCTCAAGGGCTTTGGGATGGAACAACTTAGAGCGGAGAAGCAACAGGGGAAGAATGTATTCAGGGCCGGCCCTGCTGTTGGGTAGAATGAGGAGGCTGCCTCAGAAGGCAAATGCTGGGAGGGAGGGAAGGAGGGAGAGCAGCATTCTGCCCTCAGGGGCCAGTGGAAGACACAGTCCACCATCACCTGTCAGGTTTCCTTGTGGTCTGTTCCAAATCTAGGACTCTATGATCCTAGATTGCATTTACGCACATTTGCGGGACTGTACTGCAACATTCGGGACTCGGGTGGCGCTGTGAGTTAAACCACAGAGCCTAGGGCTTGCCGATCAGAAGGTCGGCGGTTCGAATCCCCGCGACGGGGTGAGCTCCTGTTGCTCGGTCCCTGCTCCTGCCAACCTAGCAGTTCGAAAGGTAAACGGTGTTTCCGTGCGCTGCTCTGGTTCGCCACATGACCCAGAAGCTGTACGCCGGCTCCCTCGGCCAATAAAGCGAGATGAGCGTCGCAACCCCAGAGTCGTCCATGACTGGACCTAATAGTCAGGGGTCCCTTTACCTTTGCCTTTTACTGCAACATTCAGGGACGCGTGTGGCGCTGTGGTCTAAACCTCAGAGCCTCTTGGGTTTGCTGATCAGAAGGTCAGCGGTTTGAATCTGCTTGACGGTGGTGAGCTCCTGTTGCTCTGTCCCAGCTTCTGCCAACCTGGCAGTTCAAAAGCACACCAGTGCAAGTAGATAAATAGGTACCGCTGCGGCGGGAAGGTAAACGGCATTTCCGTGCACTCTGGTTTCTGTCAGTGTGTCCCATTGCGTGAGAAGCGGTTTAGTTATGCTGGCCACATGACCTGGAAAGCTGTCTGTGGAGAAACGCCGGCTCCCTTGGCCTGAAATGAGCGCCACAACCCCATAGTCACCTTTCACTGGACTTACCGTATTTTTCGCCCCATAGGACGCACTTTTTCCCCTCCAAAAATGAAGGGGAAATGTGTGTGCGTCCTATGGGGTGAATGCAGGCTTTCGCTGAAGCCTGGAGAGCAAGAGGCATCGGTGCGCACTGACCCCTCTCGCTCTCCAGGCTTCAGGAAGCTATCCGCAAGCCTTGCAAGCCCGGCGGGAGTTCCCGCGGGCTCACAAGGCTTGCGGGCAGCAGCCTGCAGCCCCGGCAAGTGTCCGCAAGCCTTGCGCGCCCGGCAGGAGGTCCCGGCGAGCGCGCGAGGCTTGGGGCGGCAGCCTGTCGCCCGAAGCACGGGGAGCCCTCCGGAGGGCTCCCCGTGCTTCGGGCGAGTGTCCGCAAGGCTTGTGCGCCCGGCAGGAGGGCCCGCCGAGTGCGCGAGGCTTGGGGCGGCAGCCTGTCGCCCGAAGCACGGGGAGCCCTCTGGAGGGCTCCCCGTGCTTCGGGCGAGTGTCTGCAAGCCTCGTGTGCCCGGCGGGAGGTCCCGCCGGGTGCGCAAGGCTTGGGGCTGCAGCCCAAAGCACGCGGAGTCCTCCGGAGGGTGTCCCGTGCTTCGGGCAGGTGTGCGCAAGGCTTGGGGCGGCAGCCGTGGGGGGGGGGGAATAATTTTTTTTTATTCATTCCCCCCCCCAAAACCCCCGAGGTGCGTCCTATGGGCCGGTGCGCCCTATAGGACGAAAAATACGGTAACCATCCAGGGGTACTTTACTGCAACATTCAAAGCAGTGCACATTTTAAAGGGTGGCTGGGTTTCGCTTTGCGTATTGCTTCCTGAAAGTGCAAGTGATTTAAGTTCTTCAGACTCACAATGCCTACGATAGCAATGTCTTGCTCCAAATATAACTGAGCTGTCGAAAAAGTCTCTACAAACTGAAAGCAGAGTTTCTATGTGGCTTTGTTATCCATTAAAATGTTTCAAGGAAAACATTTTTTAAGGAAACGGAATCACATTTCTCCCACATCCCCGACCAGCCAGTGCCTTAGCCCATTTCCCTTGATCCGTGAGAAGTAGAGCCGAGTTTGATCTTCGACAACATTTCATTTTTGAGATTCAATAGGGGGCTGCAAGGGTGATGATCGAGAGAGCCTGAACTGAGGTTCTCTTCTCCCTTTGCTACTGCTCAAGCACTGAGCCCCTGAGTTTCTTTGCAAACATCCTTCTGTGTTTTCGTCCCCACAAGCGTTCAGATTGGGCAGGGAGGGGGACGAGTGAAAGGTCTCGACAGACAGGCTCAGATATGATCCGTTTCCCGGGAGACGTCAGCAGTGTGTGTCTCCTGCGAATGCAAATAAAAGGAGTCTATAATGAAGAGAGAGAGAGGCTAGTGTTTTTTCGTCGCTGCCTTCCACCACCAGGATTTATTGTTTGACGATAACAGGGCAAAATGAGTACTGTACTGGCCATGCTCTTGCTCTGCAGTCTCCCTGGCAAATTGCTGGATTCGTCTCCTGACTAGCGGATTGTTCTTTTCAGTCCACAAGGAGGGAGGAGGTGTTTGCAGTTAGAGCGTTACAATGAAAACCAGCAATTTATTGCTAAAGAAAAGGGTACCAAGCTTCAGTTCGGCTAGGAAGCCTCATGTTGCCAACTCCCCACCTCCCCCAAGTTTCTGAGCTGTGGTTTAATTTGCAAAAATGGGCAGGCTAAGTTTGCTCATCTCTGTGCTGCAAGTTATTTATTTCACTGGTTTCTGCAGGTCAAGCTGTGTGTGTGTGTGTGTGTGTGTGTGTGTGTGTGTGTTGTTGTTGTTGTTGTTGTTGTTGTTTGTAGCTAGTCCTAGATGGAATTGCACTCCTGAAGGACCATGCCGGCTGTTTGGGAGTTCAGCTGCACCCAACATGCCCGGGGATGCCCCGGTGGTGGCAGGGCCTGGAGTGCTTTTTACCAGCTTAGGCTGGCACACCAATACCTGATGCCACCACTTCTTCTTTTGCCCTGCTATAAGTTTTCTGGGAAGGTTTAGGGGTTGGTGGTATGGGGCTACCTTTGAAGGTGACCCGGAAACTACAACTAATCCAGAATGCGGCAACTAGACTGGTGACTGGAAGCGGCCGCCAAGACCACATAACACCGGTCCTAAAAGACCTACATTGACTCCCAGTACGTTTCCAAGCACAATTCCAAGTGTTGGTGCTGACCTTTAAAGCCCTAAATGGCCTCAGCCCAGTATACCTGAAGGAGCGTCTCCACCCCCATCGTTCAGCCTGGACACTGATGTCCAGCTCTGAGGGCCTTCTGGCGGTTCCCTCACTGTGAGAAGTGAGGTTACAGGGAACCAGGCAGAGGGCCTTCTCGGTAGTGGCGCCCGCTCTGTGGAACGCACTCCCATCAGATGTCAAGGAAGTAAACAACTATCTGACTTTTAGAAGACATCTGAAGGCAGCCCTGTTTAGGGAAGTTTTTAATGTATGATGTTTTATTGTGTTTTTAGTATTCTGCTGGGAGCTGCTCAGAGTGGCTGGGAAAACCCAGCCAGATGGGTGGAGTATAAATAACAAACAATAATTATAATCATAATTATTACTATTTTATTATTGCAGGATTGGGACAGGCATAGCTATCTCTCGCAGAACTGGAGACTTGAGATGGGTAGAACTGTCCTGCTCACATTTCCCTGTAATACGTATCTTTCATCCCTTCCTGTTTTCAATTCCATGGTTTCTGGTGTCAATGCCACATTCTACCGTGACCTGCAAGCCCACTTGGTTTCAATCTTGGCTGGCTCGTGATGTCAGCCCCCCTCGGATCGGTCCTTCTGAGTCTCCTCTCTCACTCCAGAGCCTCCCTGCTCATCTCACCTTGCTTCCCCTTCCATAGGTGTTTGTGAAGGCCCACTTTGACTATGACCCAGCCTCTGACAACCTCATTCCATGTAAGGAAGCTGGGCTGAAGTTCATTGCCGGAGACCTCCTCCAGATCGTCAACCAAGATGACCCCAACTGGTGGCAGGTATGGAGCTTGTGTCAAATAAATGAGCCATGGGCAGGATCAGGCCCGGGTGCATGTTCATGGGATAAGGCATGGGTGGCGTTCAGGGAGAGCTGTTTGCCGCCAAGAAATCAGTTTGTAGGGCGCTAGGCCAGAACTAGCCAGGGAAATCAGAGTGGCTACATGCAAGAAAAGGAAAGGAATGCCTGGAAAGGAATGCAATTCCTAGGCAAAAAACCAGAAGTCTGTATGAGGGGGTCTCCACCTCTACTGCAGTTCTTTTATTAATACTGCGACTGCTAAAAATGTCAGAATGAAGAAAATGGGTTGCGTGTCTTTGTGGGAGGGGGAAAGGTTTTTCCGTGATCTCGGGTCCTGCAATTTACCTCCCCACCCAGGTGCTCAGAACTAACCTTTGGTTGTTTCAGGCCTGCCACGTGGAAGGCGGCAGTGCTGGTCTGATCCCAAGCCAGCTGCTGGAGGAGAAACGCAAGGCCTTTGTGAAGCGAGACCTCGAAGTCACCCCCTCATCAGGTAAAAGGCACTGCCCCTCCCAGAGCCTCAGTTCTCAGAGTTCCCTGGGAAGAGAGACATAGGTCTGAGGGGGGAAATGGGACTCTCTTAACAACTCTCAGCACTTTAGACAGTCGTGACTTCTTCCCCCAAGGCAGCCTTTCTCAACCTGTGGATCCCCAGATGTTGTTGAACTACAACTCCCATCACCCCTAGCTAGCAAGGCCAGAGCTCAGGGATGATGGGAGTTGTAGTCCAACAATATCTGGGGACCCACAGGTTGAGAACCGCTGCCCCAAGGAATTCTGGGAGCTGCCGTTTGTCAAGGACGCTGACAATTCTTAGGAGATCCTCTGTTCCCCTCCCAGAGCTACAATTCTCAGAGTCGTTTAACAGTCAATCTGTCTTTCTGGGGAACTCTGGGAACTAGCTCTGAGAGGAGAATACAGTGGTATCTTGGTTCTCGAACGGCTTAATTGTTGAACAACTTGGAACCCGAATGCTGCAAACCCAGAAGAAAGTGTTTTAGTTTGCAAACTTCTTTTCAGAAGTTGAACATGCTCCGATTTGAGTGCCACATTTCCAATTTGAGTTCCACACTTCCGATTTGAGTGTCACACTTTTTTTCTGAGTGCTACATTGAGGCCTGTCTGTTTTTGCCATTTATTTTAGGGGTTGTTTTTAAAAGGTGGAACGGATTAATCTGTTTTGCATTACTTTCTATGAGAAAGCGCGGCTTGGTTTTGGAACGCTTTGGTTTTGGAACGGACTTCCGGAACGGATTAAGTTTGAGAACCAAGGTACCACTGTAAAGGGTCTTCTAAGAACTGTTGACAAACTACAGCTCCCAGAATTCCCTGGGGGAAGCGATGGCCGTTTAAAGTGGCATTGTGGTGCTTTCAAGGTGTGTCGTGTGAATGTGCCCCTACTCCCACCTTCTTCCACATGTGCGATAGCTTTCTCTCTCCACAGCTTTGCTTAGTGCCTCCTTTCCCCCCTCCTGGCAGGTGCCTTGTGCGGAAGCCTCAGCGGCAAGAAGAAGAAGAGGATGATGTATCTGACCACTAAAAATGCAGGCAAGGGATCTCAGTGTGCCTTCACATTTCTCCATCGCCTGACCGCGCTTCCTCTGCATTAATGGCTGATGGCGATTTCTTCCCCTCCCACTTCAGAGTTCGACCGGCACGAGCTGCTGATCTACGAGGAAGTGGCTCGCATGCCTCCGTTCCGCAGAAAAACCTTGGTGCTGATTGGGGCTCAGGGGGTCGGCCGGCGCAGTCTTAAGAACAAGCTCATCATGTCTGACCAGTCACAGTACGGAACCACCATCCCGTGTGAGTCTTGCTGATTGCAGACGGGGTGTCAGGAATGAGCCAGCTCCCAGCGAAGGTTTGCAGCCAACTGCAGAAAGCAGCCAGGAACAGAGAGGCTTAGATGTTAGGCAGGGGAGAGCCATCAGCTGCATACCTCCGTTCTTCCTGACCTTGATGGGCTGGCTGATAAGGCCGTAGCTGAGAGCAGGCTAAGCCAAAGCTCATAGGAAGCACAAATAGGCATGAATAGACTCAGCCTCTCAGATCTGGAAGAGGTTGGAGCTGACTCACTAAGTCCAAGGAGTTGGCGAATGGGAGGGTTGCTAGACAGGAAGCAAAACAAGAGGCATTAGAGCCGTAAGTTCAATATCTTCTGTCGTGGCCGGAAGCAGTCTTCAGAAGGGTCATCTTGAGTAATGATGCAGGAGCCGTCCGGAGCTATCTGTTTGTTTTTGCAGTAAATCCTCCTTTTTCATTACCTACGCTTACTGTGTTATCAAGATGGGAACCTGGACTCCTAACACGGGGTCACGGAGTGCATCTTAACATCCTGGCAGATCCTAGTCGTGTTGTTGCACTCTGTCCTGGGTCTGTGTGTGTATGCGAAGGAGACTCCTGCATCTTGTGTTAGGAATGGATGAATCGGTCTATTTCTGGGTCCGTTTCACATTCACACAGCTTGATTTATTTGTAAAATAATATTTGTGGTTGTGTGTGTATGTGTGTGTGTGTGTGTGTGTGTGTGTGTGTACGCACACACACACACATTTTTTTTTGGCTTTTCAGATTAAAGTTTTACAGCCACATATCCAACAAACAACATAAAAACAAGATTCAAAAGAATCTCCTGGACTTCCCTCCTCCCCTTTGCAGTTCCTATTATTAATCATTTCTTCCTGCCATCTTTTACGATAATCCAAATCTTTTACCTCTCCATTGTGTCCAAACTGGAGATCCCATCTCCAGTTTCAGTTTCCAGGTGATCTTTCTTTGTTCATCTGTGGTTCTGCAGATACTTCGCGGAGACCCAAGGAGCACGAAAAGACTGGGCAGGTGTACTGCTTTGTGACCAGGAGTGAGATGGAGGGAGACATCAAAGCAGGCCGCTACCTGGAACACGGCGAGTATGAAGGGAACCTCTATGGGACCAAGATTGACTCCATCCATGAAGTCGTAGAGTCAGGCAAGATGTGCATTCTGGATGTGAACCCCCAGGTACTGCTTCTTTTCTGGCTCCAAGGGTTGGGACCGAGGGAGGAGTGGGGAGAAGGTCTTCCCTTGGTCGGCTGTGCCAGGAACCTTTCCTGGTTGCAATGCTAGGTCTTGGATTGCATAATTTATTCAGGTCACATAATTTGTAAGTACAGAATTGCAACTCGACTCTCATCAGTGTTGCAGTACTGGAAGTCTTTCTTTCTTCCTTTCTTTCTTTCTTTCTTTCTTTCTTTCTTTCTTTCTTTCTTTCGTTCTCTCTTTCCTCCTTTCTCTCTTTCTCTTTTTCTTTCCTCCTCCCCCTTCCTTCCTTCCTTTCTTCCTTCCTTTTTTCCTTCCTTCCTTCCTTCCTTCCTTCCTTCCTTCCTTCCTTCCTTCCTTCTCTCTCTCTCTCTCTCTCTCTCTCTCTCTCTCTCTCTCTCTCTCTCTCTCTCTCTCTCCTCTCCTCTCCTCTTCTCTCTTTCCTTCCTTCCTCCCTCTCTCCCTTCCTTCCTTTCTTTCTTTCTCTCTCTCTCCTCTCTCTTTTCTCTCTCTCTCACTCTTCTTTCCTCTCTTTCTCTCTCTCTTCTCTCTCTCTTCTTTCCTCTTTCTTTCCTTTGTCTCTCTCCCTCTTTCTACCCCCTCTCTTCCTTTCCTCTCCCTCTCCTCTCTCTGATGCATCAAAAGGCTGTGAAAGTTTTGAGGACAGCGGAGTTCGTCCCGTACGTGGTGTTCATTGAGGCACCGGATTTTGAAACCCTTCGAGCCATGAACAAGGCAGCGCTGGAGAACGGTGTGGCAACCAAGCAGCTTGCGGTGAGTCCCCTCAACGCCCACATGGCAGGCAAGCGGGCAGAAGCAGTGGTGAGGAAGAGGGGTAGCAGCAGCAGCTGGGGCTAGCGGCTGCAGGGAAGGAGGCCTCTGGAGACGGCATTGCCAGGCACACCTCCTGCACAGAACTTGGCCGGGGGGAGCCAGTCCCTCCACAATAACCCCTAGCGTAACACAGAAGGGTTGTTAGAATCTAAGCTAAATACCATCATTTTGATATAAGGTGTGGTCCTCATAAATATATCAGCTATGTTAATGGAAATGCTGTTAATGAGAGACCTCCAGCCATCCACTTATGGGGAGAGACTATGGCATGGAAATCTTGCTGATGTATTCAATGGTCCAGTTATTTGACAGTGTTCCTGCTCAATTTTCCTTTCTTCTTCTTCTTCTTCTTCTTCTTCTTCTTCTTCTTCTTCTTCTTTGCCTTTAATAATAATAATAATTCAATTTATATACCACCCTTTATCAAAAGATCACAGGGTTATGTAGCATATTATTATTATTATTATTATTATTATTATTATTATTTTATTACTGTTGTTTTACAATAACCTCTCTATTCTTTATATTCTAATAAAATTTATTCAAAAAACCCACACAGAGCATAAAAACAGAAACATACTAATAGACAGCATAATAATAAATAATAACAGCTTCCCGCTGCACAGCTTTAACAGGCCATAGATTATGTAATGGCCAAAGGGCTGGGTTAAGAGGAATGTTTCTGCCTGGCTCCTAAAGACATGTAATGATGGTACCAGGCGAGCCTCTCTGGGGAGAGCATTCCACAGATCGGGAGCCGCCACAGAGAAGGCCCGTTCTCTTGTTGCCACTCTCCGGACTTCACTGGGAAGGGGGGCCTAGAGAAGAGCCTCACGTGACAAGCGCAGGGTCCGGGTCAGTTTGAATGAGGAGGGGCGGTCCCTAAGGTGTCAAGGTCCTGAGCCGTGGAAGGTTTGTTGGTTTGTTTTATTACGAAACGATAACAAATTTTGCACAGTAAGAGAAGAAACATGACAGCTTGCACTTTTGATATCGACAAGCTAGAACATGTGCAAAAGAGGGCAACTAATATGGTCAAGGGTCTGGAAACCAAGCCTTATGAGGAGTGGTTGAGGGAGCTGGTTATGTTTAGCCTGGATAAGAGGAGATTGAGAGGAGATAAGATTGTTGTTGTTGTTGTTGTTTAGTCGTTTAGTCGTGTCCGACTCTTCGTGACCCCATGGACCAGAGCACGCCAGGCACTTCTGTCCTCCACTGTCTCCCTCAGTTTGGCCAAACTCATGCTGGTAGCTTTGAGAACACTATCCAACCATCTCGTCCTCTGGCGTCCCCTTCTCCTTGTGCCCTCCATCTTTCCCAACATCAGGGTCTTTTCCAGGGAGTCTTCTCTTCTCATGAGGTGGCCAAAGTATTGGAGCCTCAGCTTCACGATCTGTCCTTCCAGTGAGCACTCAGGGCTGATTTCCTTAAGAATGGATACGTTTGATCTTCTTGCAGTCCATGGGACTCTCAAGAGTCTCCTCCAGCACCATAATTCAAAAGCATCAATTCTTCGGCGATCAGCCTTCTTTATGGTCCAGCTCTCACTTCCATACATCACTACTGGGAAAACCATGGCTTTTACTATACGGACCTTTGTTGGCAAGGTGATGTCTCTGCTTTTTAAGATGTTGTCTAGGTTTGCCATCGCCTTTCTCCCAAGGAGCAGGCGTCTTTCTTCAAATATCTAAAAGACTCGTTGTCACATGGAAAATGGAGCAAGCTTCTTTTCTCATGCTCTGGAGCACGCACCCCCAACCTTCGGCCCTCCAGATGTTTTGGACTACAATTCCCATCATCCCAAACCACTGGTCCTGTTAAGCTAGGGATCGTGGGAGTTGTAGGTCAAAACATCTGGAGGGCCGCTGGTTGGGGATGCCTGCTCTGGAGGGTAGAACCTGAACCAATGGCTTCAAGTTAAAAGAAAGGAGACTTTTCGGGTTACAGTGGACGCTCGGGTTGCAAACGTGATCCGTGCGGGATGCACGTTCGCAACCCGCAGCTGCGCATCTGCACACGTGCGGGTTGCAATCCGGCGCTTCTGCGCATGCGCAAAGCGCGATTTAGTGCTTCTGCACATGCATGGCCGTCGAAATCTGGAGGTAACCCGTTCTGGTACTTCCGGGTTTCGGCGGTCCGTAACTCGAAAAACCGCAACCTGAAGTGTCTGTAACCCGAGGTATGACTGTATTGGGTTATTGCTTTTATTTTGAGGTTTTATATTTTGAGGTTTTATATACAGTGGTACCTCGGGTTACATACGCTTCAGGTTACATACGCTGCAGGTTACAGACTCCGCTAACCCAGAAATAGTGCTTCAGGTTAAGAACTTTGCTTCAGGATGAGAACAGAAACCGTGCTCCGGTGGCGCGGCGGCAGCAGGAGGCCCCATTAGCTAAAGTGGTGCTTCAGGTTAAGAACAGTTTCAGGTTAAGAATGGACCTCCGGAACGAATTAAGTACTTAACCCGAGGTACCACTGTATTGAGTTTGTTCTTTGAACCGCCCTGAGACCACCGGGTATAAATTCAATTAATAATAATAATATAATAATAATTTGCATGTCCTGCCAGGATGCTGACCTGAAACGGACGGTTGATGAGAGCTGCCGGATCCAGCGGGGCTACGGTCACTACTTTGACCTCTGCTTGGTCAACGACAACATGGAGCAGACATTCCAGCAGCTGCAGGAAGCCTTGGAGAAGTTGCACAGCGAACCGCAATGGGTCCCCGTCAGCTGGGTCTACTAGAGGGACGCCCTGCCTCTCCTCCTCCTCCTCCTCCTCTTCCCCACAGCCTCACGAGTGTCGGCTTTGTCCTCCTCAGTTGGCCCAGAATCCCAGAACTCTTAACTTGCAGCACCCAGCACATGCCCCCCCCCCCCGACGTCTTTCTCCTTTCCCCAACCACCGGGCACCACCTGAATAGCCCAGGCAAATCAGGCGCAGCAAAAAAGTTGGCTTTATTAGATTCGAAAAGCAAAGGTGCTTCCTTGATGGTCCGGCCCCAGATCACCTCCAACCAGCCAAGAACTCTGCCACAGATGTGGGGAGGGGCGGCTGCTCTCCCCCACCCTCTCCTACCATTGCTGGCAACGCAGGAAGACTTCATCTCATGGTGGACGTGGGGGGTTGGTCAGAGGGGTTGAGCCAGGCTACCAGTTACCCACAATGCCTTGCCTCGTCGGCTCCACCCAGTTGTGTCCGGCTCCTCTGATTGGGTCAGGCGAAAGAGGGGTGGGCAGGAACACAATGCCTCTGCAGTCACAGCTAACTCACTGCCAAAATCACTGCTTTGTCAATGGACCACAATCTCAATATTGCCAAAAGAACTGGTAGCCTGGGGTGTTGCCCCCTCCCACCCCCCCGAACATACCACGCTGAGTAGATTGGAGGAGGGGAGGGGCGAATGCCTTGCCAACCTTGGTCAGCACGAGATTTTCCGGGGTGTTGGAAAAACGGCAGAGGGACGCTTGAAAGGTTTGTAAGCGAGTCAAGGAAGAATGTGATGCAAGATAGCCTGGTGGTGGGGACTTTGCACTTGGACTTGTTCCCCTGGGCCGTGGCGGCTGGCGGCTGAACGAGATCCTTCGGCCTCAGTTTAGCTGTCTGTAAAATGGGGCTATTTAATATGGTTTGTTTTCGTTTTACGCTGTTTGCAGAGGTAGGCTCCTTCACCGCAAATATCCCCAAAGAGCTGTTGGGCGCATTGTGTCTGGTACAACCTGGGTCTCCCTCGGCCTCCCCATAGACCCAAAGACCTCTCTCCCTGCCCCAAGCTCTTTCAACTCTCCTAGGCAACACTGGGCAATGTGGGCTTATGGTTCGACTCTGCAAAAGGCAGCGTCGTCATACCAGCTAGGAAGTCGTTCTTCTCCAGCCTCCGGGAAGCTGACCCGCTAGTAGGAAAGCAGCGTAGGGAGGCAGCGAGGGAAACCCAGGGCTGGCATCAGGGATCGGCATCGGTGGGCACCTGCCAAGGCCCACACCTTTGCAAGGGGGCACCACTACCTCCCTGCTCCTCAGCTGACTTCTTGCCTCCAGGCATGTAAACATTAAGAGCATAGAGCTATAGCATGCTGCTCACCTGCCTTATTGTCTCCCTGTAGGTGGATGCATGGATCTCGCCTGGGGGAGAGTGGGCACCATAGAGGGGAAGTGGGGGGGCACCATGAGCACCCATTGTCCAAGGTGCCCTACCACTTACAAACAAACCCCTAAAAGCACCACCAGAGAAAGCAATAGCAATTACAGTCATCTTTGATCCTAATCCTTGCTGTTCCTGCCCACAGCTCTCTTTGTCCCTTTTTACAACACCAAAACGCAAAAGAGATGATCAGGCGTTTAAAATCCGTAGTGCAGAAATAATGGTCTGCTTCTCATCTGCGCCTACGTGAAGCCCACTCCCCTCGCGGATTCTGCTTCCCGGATTTTCCGTTACCTGCAGTTGCTTCCCTCGAGTTCCAGGGTTCTCCTTTTCTCCTGCCAAGGACCAACAACCACTACCTCACAACTCTATGGCAGCTGTTAACTGGCGGGACTACCCGCTGCAGGGCAAGGGCAGAACCTTGGACTTGGGGAGTGTTTTTTATCACCAGGTAAAGAAAAGAAGCTTCTCTGCAGTGCTTCTCCCACATGCCAATTTCTTTCTCCACCCCCCTTAAAAAAAACGAAACCCAATTTCCTCCCACCCATCACCCACCTCTGAGATGATGCTGAGTCCATGGGGAGCTGGTCAGCAGGGCAACGTGGGGCAGAGCCCAACCGGTATATTTACCACCGTATCTTTGCAAGGGAGGAGGGTAGAGAGAAACCCAGAACAAAACAGCCCCATCTCAGGCAGACCCACACTTATGCATCGGGTCCAGCGGTTATCAGGCTACTTTCATGGGGCCAGGAGAGGGAGGAGGTTATAGAGCTGGGATATTTTCCTTTATATGTCAGAAGACAGGATAGCTGGGTCACTGCCCCAGCTCCGCCCCTCCCAACTATATTATGAACATTCCTCCTAATTTGTTCACAGAAAGTTTGTGGGGGAAAGGTAGACACTGTTGGTTATTTATGGAGCATTTTTTGTTTGTGGAAAGGTTAGGCCATGTTTCTCGTGCATTTCCCCGTCCTGGTTGCAAGAAGTCAAGTTTTGGGGAGAGGGAAGGGGCAGCAGGTTTGTTGTGCAAGAGCACAAATCAACTGCAAGAGTGTGTTACCTGAATTTGCCAGGGGCAGCCTGGTAGCACCTGAAGTCCCTGGCCAGGTTTCCTGTTACTTGCAACACCCAGCGTTAATTTGAAAAGAAAAAAATAGCAATAACTCCACCTGCTGGTGATCAAGTGTGTGCTTTCCCAGTAACTATAAAACCCACTTGCTCATGGACAAAACTGCAAGGAGAAGGCAGTGCATTGATACTGTTGGGGGGAAAATATTGGGGTTCAGTACCCAAGACCCTGGACAGCCAATAAGACGCAGAGTCCAATTGTCTGTCAAGCAGAACATTTATTTATTAAATCACCGCAACACATTCTGGCTTACTCTCACCGTGCTGATGGGGCAAGCAGGACCCCGAGAGCTGAAACGCACCACTGTTTCTACCAAACATATATCAAGATGTATTTCAGACATGGAGAGAGTCAGGATTTTCCGCTCCACAATAGCAAGGCTGCGAAACAGGATCTTCTGATCTTCCTTGTCCCCTCATTGTTTGCTCAACAACCTTCCTTGGGAGATAAGCAGGTCTGGAGATAAGGGCTACGTGAGGAGGACATCTGCGGTTATCAGTTTATGCAGACCTGACATTCCACCCAGCCCAGAGTTGCAGGCGCCTCCTTGCTCACAAACACGTTTCTGATTCTTACATCTGTTGATAACTTCAGATTTTCAATTCCCACCCACCCACCGCCAGGCAGGACTCTGTGAGTGGTTGCTGTTGATGTGGTGGGGACTGTCAGGAGCTTGTCCTACTCTCGAGTAGGCCCCTTGCAGAGACACATGCCCTTCCCTCCTGGTCGATCGGGAGCTTCAAAAGCTTTCTTCTGCCCAAACATCATAGCGACTGATGCCAACAGACATTGGCACACTTAGGGATCCGCAGAGTTTGCACAGTTGCGTAACAGACCTCAGCATTTTGGCTAATCTACTTTATTTACATATAAACACACATGGAGCACTGCAACATGGCTCCCTCTCTCTCTAGAATCAGACAGCAAAGAGAAAAAGAACAAAGGACAATAGTCCCACTTCACGCAACACAAACATCCTGTCTCTGTCACTTCCCACTCTGTGGAGTCAAAACATACCATGTCATGTGAAAGAACAATCCTATGACTGCAATCATGGAGCAGGAATTCTAGCAGGGACTGCTTCTTCTGCTCCACAAATATAAGGAGGGGATGATGTAGAAAGCTGCTGCAGACTGCACACCCAGTAACTCCCCCCCCCCAAGTAGGGGTCTAGATAAATTGAAATGGAGAAGTTGTGGAACAAGGAGGCAAAGCAAACCACCACCACCACCCAGAACAATAACAGGGACATTTCAGAAGAAACCTGCTCATTCCCAGGAGAAGAAAAAGCACAACTCTCTGGCTTTGGAATATTGGTAGGCATCGGCTAATCTGCTTTGAAACTGCCATTATATACCACAGGAATGAGAAAGCCGTGGTCCTCTGGCTGTTGTCAGAACCCAACTCCCATTGGTTCCGGCCACCATGACCAATGCTGAGCAATGATGGGAGCTGAAACCCACTGATATCTGGGAAGGCCAAGCCTTTCCCCTTCCCTCCTTGGATCCCGAGCGCCTTGTGAGTCAAACGTTTTGGCTCCCGAGCGCCGCAAACCCGGAAGTGAGTGTTCCAGTTGGCGAACGTCCTTTGGAACTCGAACGTCCGACGCGGCTTCTGGTTGGCTGCAGGAGCTTCCTGCAGCCAATCGGAAGCCACACCTTGGTTTTGGAAGTGGAACAGGCTTCAAGAACGGACTCCGTTCGGCTTCCGAGGTACCACTGTACTTGCTTATCCAGAAAGAAGGTTAAACATAGTGGGACTTCTCAGTAGACATATTTAGGATTGTGCTGCAGCATGGATGCAAATCTGGCAAGATAACATCAGTGCCGGATTACCAAACAGGCATCATAGGCACCGGCCCATACCTTTTAGGGACAACGGATCAAAATAATATTGATTTGATCTTGAAAGAAAATTACAATCAATCTTTCTTAGTTCCGTGTCATCCCTCTAAAATCAGAAACGTGTTCGGAGATAATTTGCGAGGGGGCCCCTGAGATTTCAATTCCCTCGAGGCTTCCACAGCGTTTAATCCGGCATGGGCTAAAATCCTCATTTGAATTTGCCTTATGGCAATGCCTTCTCTCCAGACACAGTGGGAATGGTTTGATCTGCGGCCCTTACTTTCTTGCCACCCTCCCAAGAACCACGCCTTATTTATTAGCTTCTCAAATAACTGCTCTGCCCCTCCTTGGGATCTTAACTCTCTCGTGATCAGTGGCTTCCAAATCTTTCTCATGTGCTTTTTATATCCCACAAAATGTATGCGTGCATGAGTTTTTAATTTTGTACAGATAGCTGAAATAGAGGAGAGATTTATGCACCTTTATTTGGGGCGGGGGAAAACCTGTATATTTAAAGAGAGAGAAATCTATATAAATTGGTAGCAATCACGGGTGTGCAAAGAGGAAACAAGTATTATTAACTGTAGCATCCTGTCTAGAAATGGCGAAAAGGACATGCCTGATGTTATAG